GCACTCGAAGCTTCGGCATGACTAAGCGGCATGAACATTTAACCGCAATAGTAGGCACATATAGTAATCCGTAGTAAATTCTAGAAGTAGTACAACTTGTATTTAAGTACAATGCCTCTCCCTCGAGAGGCTAATTAATTCTCTCTCTCTTACATTCTCCTCTGTACTCCCAACAAAGTTGAGGGGGAGTGTTGGGATTTGCAACTTCAAGCTTATGCCAGAAGATTCCCGAAGCTTCGGCTTACTCATTTGTCACGATACTTAGATATATTTAGTTACTTTGGTAGAATATTCTAGATACATTTCGTAGTATATAAGGAGCTCATTAGGAGCTCTAGTAGCTAACAATTTAGTATTATACCTACTGCAAGCCTCCCACTGCAATAATTCCAACAAGTAAACTACTGTGGACCTCGCTGACTCGTCAATAAGACCAAAGGAGAGGAAATCTAAGTAGAGTAAAGTAAGATAGCTAGACTGTTGTTTTCAGGACATTTGTATAATATCGGTCAAGAAATCAGGAACAGATACAGTCGACGGTTTAGATTTTGGGGGCACTGATTGTCCACATGTACGTGTCTCGCGGATCATCTAAACACCAGCAGACCGCACCCTTATGTAATCGGAAGCACATTCACAATAATTATTCTTCGTGTCAGTCTCGGCATCAGCTCTCGAGAACTGACGGCTTTGTCGGTAACCGGGCCACAGAGCAGCGGCCCACAGAGTTTCTCTTTGAGCCGCCGAACTCCCGTCGCAGTAAATGTTAGTCATCTCGTTGAGATGGACACCGGTGATTACCTGCCCCAAAGGCAAGATGGTACTTCTGTGACAAAACATCTCATGGTATAGCGTCTTTTGCCAAAATTAAGCACCTTCATCGCCTGACTCTACATTGAATTATGCTATTCACAGTTCTGTGATTCTATGATATATAACGGCGTTCTTTTATAGGTGCAGGCACCGGGCCCTGCGACACTTTCTACGTGCAGAAATAGATACCCGCGCTTCAAGTCAAATATGTAGCTAAACTTAAATCAATTCTTCTTATCTTCGCTTTCCGATGTGAACTCCTGGGTATAACGTTGCACAAAGTTCTAAAGCTCGCTTTATCCGAAGTGAATATATTCGCCCTTCCTAACAATCGGTATCTATTCGCAATGTATACAAAGTACGAAAAGAATCAATGCTCTAAAAAAAGTACACAGCCAGCAGACTAGATCAAAATGGAACACAAACACACCGCTCCGCGCTATCAAATATGTGGGGCCCGGACTTTCATGCTCAAAATACCGGAGGAGCTGGTCGAATCAACAATCGTCCCACGGGTGGTACCGACGTGATATTCAAAGGGTCTACGACTTCGTACTTGTCTCCCTCTAGGGCTGGGAAAGTCCGAGATATTAAAAAGAATACCGCCAACTTGATCTCTGTAACCGATTATTCAACGCATCTGTACGAAGTGATGCAGGAATGGGACCATACCTGCGACGGCTAGCGCTCGTCCTGGGCATGCGAATCTCCCTAGACCAAACGGCCAGTAGGTGGGACTTACCATGACTGCCGGCTTGCCATGGCCCACCCACCGATCGCTGACAAATTCTTCAGCATCCTCGCCATGGTATGCGGGATTCCTGTGGGACAATGTCGCAAGGGGACACACCAACTGTCCTTGGACACAGATAAGCCTATAAATAAGGACCTGTATCAATTCCTCGAACCTACCTTTTGGAATAGTGTATCCACCGAGTGTGACATCTCGCATAGTGAGCCGAATCGTTGACAAAGTATCACCCTTCGTGCGCATGACCTCCCGAATGAACGAGTCGAGCCGCTCAGCTTTCTTCAAGGAAGCGTTTGTTAGCGCAAGCTTTCCAGTATGCTCGTCCACTTCAAGTATATCTTGGAGCTCTGCACGCAAGGTCGGTATGACTTCAGGACGCACGGCCAGCTCGAACACAACCCAGACGATGATCGCGGCACTGAGTAGATAGTGAGAAACCGACGCATCACAAGAGGCAGACTTTTCAGCGTACGTTTGGTGGATCGAGGCAAAGAGTAAACTATCTACGACGTCAGCACCATTTTCAGTTGAGATTGGGTGCTGATAAGCATACCCAAGGGTGAGGCCTAATATCCATAGGCTGTCGAGCAGTGTTAGCCGAACGACATGCGCATCTTTGTAAGAGTAGCGCTGGGCAAGGTAGTAGAGCAGAGATTCCTGAGGCTGGTTTATTCAATCAACTCAATGGAGCAATAATTTTCGTACCTTGTGGAGGTGACCTGTAGCGCCAGTTTTTGAGCTGAGTCTTAGGTCTTTCCAGACGCGGAATCCGATTATGCGAACAAAGTTCCAAGGAATTGAGAATCCCATTACGCGTACCCTGACGGAGATAGCTTGTATCAACCGCGCTTGAAGAACTGACCAAAATCCCTACCATGTGATGACTCTCCACGTAGTTGGAAATGTCCGAGACCAGTATCCTATGTTCTGATAGATTCCTGAAAGGACAGCAATGTCGGAAGCGATTGTTTCCGCCGCTTGGATATCCGCCAGGGTGGTGTACGTCTGGGGGAGAACATAAGTTAGCGCGCAGTGCACTGTCCGAATAGAACACCTACCTCTCCAAAGATAATCGTAAGCATCGATTCCGCCATAGTCTTGTGGACTAAACTGGCCAAATCGACCGGAACCGGATTCCTGGATGTAGCATTTTGCGCCTTGTCGGTCAACTCACGCATATTTTGTTCGAATATTGGAGTGACTATCCTTCGTCACTGAATATTTCAGATAGGCAGGATGCGAGAACATACTTTTCTGAATTATCTGATTCATGAGGGGAACAAGGCCCTCATTGACTAGTTTGTCGATGTCGCGGATGAAACTCCGAGGAAGCAGTAGTAGCGGATGCAGATTTAGTACCTAGAATGCTCGTTTAAGCGGGCGGCTATAAGCCTTAAACGAATGTCACATACCGTAAGAGTACCACTTTCAAAGCTGAAGACGGAATCATTGGTGAGAACTTCGGTAGTAAATTGATCGTTGACTATGAACTCGAGCTGCAGAACTATCAGCGAAAAGAATCGCAAATCCGTTAGAAGTATGAATACCCTTCCTTTCCTGTATACACCTATTACGGGCCCGTGCTCTTTCAAAGCCGATTCATATGCTTTTCGGGGGTTTCGAAACATATCTTCAGCCTGAGTAACACTGAGCACTCCCGACGCACCCATAAAAGAAACAACCTACCGGGATATCGATAATGGGAGGATGTCCGTTGGGCAGGATGCGCTAACGTCATAGTTTTAGCAGCTAAACTGAGCTACAATCAGTCTCAGACCAAGGTTAGCCGATTTCACAACAGCAAACCCAGAACACTCACTTTGCTAAGAAGAATCCACCAATTATCGTCGTTCTCCACGTCATAGGGACAGCCCAACTTGACGGAACCGACAGAATTCAGTCGCTGAACCAACTCGGTTGCTGCAGGAAACAACAGCAGTGGGCCCTCACTTTTCCCAAGAAGAACACTACGCCGACGGGCGAAGAAGAGGACGCTGTCAGGGATAATCTCCGGTCCACGGATAGGCCGTGTTGTAGTTTGATAGTGTGGATGGCACTCTGGGATCAGATCCTGCATGGCTTCCCATGTCTGTGTTATGAACGGCATGCTAAAACAGCGTACGATCGTTTCACAGAACGAATAATCGGCGTCGGAGTGTCTATCGTAATTCTGCAGAGTGCGACTGTAGTCGTGTTGGATGCTATTGCAGTATTCGGTGTATCTCTGTGAGAGGACAGCAGAGCGGAAAAGGTCCTCGTCGAGTGCTAAGAGGAGATCAGAGAGTAAAGCTGGATCAGCAGAGGCTGTGAATTGGATATCCTTCTGGGAGGCTCAGTCTTGCTCTCCCCGAAATCGATCAGGTAGACAATTTTGGCGGTAAGATGGGCTGCATTCGGTTTCTACCAGAAGGTGGATCGGGGTATAATGGTGGGAGCAACTCTATTGGCGTTAGAGTTTTGTAGGGTGCCATGGGGATAGAGGGAAAAGAGATACCCAGGCGAGCCCCTGTTCAGCATAGGTATCTGAGACTTTCGAGCTGCAGTGACTGGGCATCCAAAACTCTTTCTGGAGTGGATATCTGGATGCTCATCGATGAAGCCCGTAGCAGTTTGAATGAGAGAGTCAAACTAGCAGCAGAAATCAGACACGTTCAAAGTTTGGTATTAGGCCAAACTCACTCCTCGCCGATCCTTCCACGGACCGTCCCATCTCCAGGCATTCAAACACGCATGCACGATCCCAGGCCTACCCTCCCCGACTCCAAACCCCCTCGTTTCCAACCCAAGTCGGTATGCCTGCAGAAACGCATCCGCATCCTAACGCAGCTCTCCCTCCTATCCTGGGAATCCAAATCCAGCTGCGTGGCGTCCTCGCATCGAGAAGTGTCTATAAGCAGGGCAGGGAGACGGAGAAACGTATGCATGAAGATGTCCACAAGTGAAGGAAGCAGCTTTGATTGCCGACAGCCCGAAACGGAAGTGACTACCTTTCTCTCTTAGGGACCTTGCGCCGGTACCAACATCAACACCAACACCAACTCAGCGCCGTATCTCATCTGTCTGATCATTACACAGTACGGTACATTCAGGCACGCCGGATGCAAGGATACAGATAACTGCACTACGAAACCTAGTCCTCACTACCATCTAGCCAACGCTCACGACCGGCCAGCCCAAGTCAAACCACCCAGGCCGTTGTAAAACTTAAAGACCTATAGACGGGGAAACCAAAATCAGTACTCCCCTATACCTAACCACCACGATAGACCGGAACGGCATAAAAGATTTTTAGAACGGCATGCACCTACTTTGCGACCGTGGCAATAGCCTTTCGACTTTCGACTAGCTCCCTTGGGAACTCAACATCACCAAGGTGGCCATACGTGGGCCCGAGACTAGGTTCGTCGTGAGCAACTCTTGCCAGCATCTCATCCACTTGCGACGAATTGCACTCAAGTATGGCATGTTCCAGTGACTCTACCGCAATCCTACAGAATCGGCATTTGTGGTACTGACGTTCAAGTTTCAGTCTTCCAAGTTCTCTCCAATGAAGCCTCTCTATTGCCAGGCTGTGGGTCAACAACAGAATCCAGGTTAGGGCTCTTCGATGGTTCTTGATTTTCACATCAAGGTAATGGCGCAGGGTAAGTGCTACCGTTCTGGATTTTTTGTTTTCCTCTCCTTAGCTTTCTTTCTAAACACAGTTTCAATATACTCCAAGTACCATAAAGGGTCTCCACTCCGAGAGACGTATATAACCGCAACATTACGAGCCTTGATGACTACCGTGACTCGCTAGCATAAACACAGAAGAATCTTGAAGCGACAATGCTTGTTTTCTCTGTCGTCGGGGAAGATGTCGGGAATGTGATGACGAACTCAAAGCATTGGATAAACGTGCTACGATATACGTGAGTTGGGTTTTACTGGGTATGTACTGAATAAAGGCGCTAACTGGGCAGCGCGAAATTCAAGATACCTCAATATCCACGGTGACCCTACGGCGAACGACACCGCATGGGATAAGAAGCCTGAAGCGGACGTTACAAGACTACCCCAGGAAACACGCACCATACTACCGCTGGCATCCGATTTCTTGAGGAAATATTGGTTGTCTAAGGACGAGTATGATAATTTGTCAAGTTAATATTCTCGAACCTGTTGTACTTGAACATATGGATTCTTTCCATAACTTGAGTCACTACAAGTGAGACCGATGATATAAGCGGTTTGGCCTCAAATAGGGACCTTTCAATTCTTGTCCCGGCACCACGAGCGCTCTCCTTTCTCTATCAACTACTCAAGCCAGCGCTCTCATCGAATGGCTTTCAGCTACCAGACCCTACGGGAGTTGGAACTCCTTCCTCCATCACACCCGGATTTGGCTATAACTGACACTTCTCATATTTCTCGTGGCATGACACCTCTATCCGAGAGCCAAATAGCCGCGCTTACAGGGCTCTCTGACGTTCAAAAAAGCAAACGGTCATTCACGGCTTCTGTCGATTCGGATTTACTCTCTGACCTCTTATTGGCATTGGACAAGGACCTATCTCGTTCGACCGCCTTCGCAGATCGGTATGCAGAATATCATGATGCCGTCAAAGACCAGTATAATTGCTTACTCTCTTTGTACAATAATGATATGGAGCTGGACGAATCCGATGACGACAATGACTCCAAAGGTGGTCGTGAGACTCATCCCTATAACAAACTCCCGGTTCCCCCTCCCGAAACGACGGTTTCAGAACCAACAGTGGACAGTTTATCAAAAGTGATGCTGGTACACGCATCAAGTATCGTCCTGGACTTTATCCCTGAATGTCGCCCTCAGTACAGGAACAGGGTGCCTTGCGGTAGCCTTCCTGGACTCCAGATTGTTCCCAGCGCTACGCTCTCCTACCCGAATCGCTCTTCAGCAGGTCGTGAGCTTAGTACTGTGATCAATGAAGGAGTGAACCCGTTACGCTTTTACCTAGCAGCAACCGAATTAGTCGAGCGGCTCAACGGTGTCGGGTCAGTCCAGCTGGACTATCCTGGTACCTTTACTAACAACCAGGATAATTGGTGGCTCCTCTTAAACAAGGTCAGTTTCCCGTCCCATTCCGGACTGAGTCAATTCTAATCTCTGGTTGATACAGGGTGCGCTGTACTTAACCGAAGTGAACCTTACTGGAGCCAATATTTTGCTGTACTACTCTTGCAACGCATTTCTTGTGCTATGGCGGCAGCGCAACGAGTCATCGCCAGATCATATCTTTATCAGCGACGTGAAGGGAAACTTTCGTGGAAACTCCCTTGAGCAGCAGTTCTACAGTGTTAGTGATGCTGGTCTCCAGCGTGCTCGCACTGTATTTCCAGAGCCGGATGGTGGCTACCGGCCATACCCCCACATCCACGATGTTTATTTGGCGTTGACTATCGTTGCTGCTCTGGCTGTCAATCCCTCGTATGCTGAGCAGTTTCCCTCGCTGGAAGCTTTTCGGATTCAGCGTCGGACCCTACCACCTGCGAAGCCATCGAGTGTATATGATGTGCACGGACAAGATATAGAACTGTCAGAATCTGATGGTTCATCGATCGACACTCTGGCTTCGTCTCCTCATGGTCCAGACTTGACTCGTGCATTGGAGACCTCCAATCAACTTCATGGCGGCACGAGTGAACCGATACAAGCCAGCCTAGTATGGGGCGATTATGCTTCCAAGAACTGCAAGTTTTCGTGCCTCGTTCCGACCCTGGTTGGACGCGATATCGTCGTCCAGTCTGAGATCCGAAGTAGTATCGATGGGTATACCTACCTGGTCAACGTCCGCGGGCTTGAAAGAAGGCTCGTTTTGAAAGTCTTTCGGTTTGATGCTTTTGCGCAGGCCGAGTTTAGTGCCTATATGGATTTGAAGGCGTTGCAGGGTAGTATTATCCCAGCGTGCTATGGCTTTGGGTACGATCTTGACCTACCGTGGATCCTTCTCGAGTATATCAACCCTCCTCCATCGTTCATATCACTCTCCGATCTCAAGCAGATTAGCCGTCCCCATAGGTAATGTACTTCATTCCGCTGGGATTGTTCCATCGTTAACCCTGCTGTCTGTAGAGGCAAGATTATCCATGCTGTCAAGCTGCTTCATCAGTTGGGGTACAGACACGGCGAGTTGCTTGATGATAATATCGTCTGGACTGTGGATGAGGATCCTGTTATTATTGATCTTGTGGGTGCGAGGAAACATCGTTGCGGGACTTCGTGTAGGGAGGTCGAAGATGTGCGGCAGCATCTTGGTTTGACGCACTATGATGCTGAGTTGTGGTCCCTTGTCGTTAGGCCGACTCGTGAACAAGAAGCTGGGATGTTTGTTGGTGGAAAGCCGCGCAGTCCTCAGCTTGCTGAGGACATTGAAGCCTAAGCAATTTCTCTTTCGTTGCATTGTATTTGATATAAGAATGGAGTTGTATGTACTTATCGTCGTTCTGCGGTTATAGGTGGAATACTACCTATCTATATCGTCTTCGTGGTTGGTCTCCATGAAATGATTAATATTTCAATATAGCGGAAGAGCGACTGGTGCAGACATAACTGGCGAGGATGTAAACCCTACTGATGAAGAAGCTGCTAGCGCGCTGGTAGTTCCATCCTGCATGGCTTTCTATTGCACTACGTCGTTCTCCGGGAAAGAGAGCCGTACTGATCTATTATTACCCGTGTGGCACCGGAGCCAATGAGGACTGCATTCAAACATTCCGAATCCTAGTATAATTTCTACTGAACCAAATTTACATTTATGTATAGCAATATAGTAATGAATTTCTCGCCGATAGAAAGTATCCTAATGGATGTTGGGTGGGGACCAATTCTCTTTCTTCAGCCATTCCTCCATTGTCTCGATGAACTGCTCAGGGTTTGTCGATTGCGATGGACGCTTAAGCCGATCCATCCTCAACGTCGCAAGGGGATGGTCATCTTCGTCGTCGTCATTCCTGTGAATATCTTCAAACTGTCCCGGAAATCCTGCAAGCACCCGAAGAACATTGTACTTTCCACCCTCCGGGCACATATTAGGCTCTGGGATTCCTTCAATCATTCCCCTCAATAGATCTAATCGATGTCCTTGTCCATAGTAGTCCTAGGCGGAAATGATGAGGGAAACATTTACTGATATATGGATCAAACTTACAGAGTACGTCTTGAAGAAGTGTTTGGGAGTAACAGCGTCCACATACTGTTTTATCTGGAAAGGACTGAGTCTGCTCGCCTGGCCAACCATGACTTTAACTGCTATCCATAGATACTGTGGCTGTCCCAAGGTATCTGGCGAGCTATCGTCGAGTTCCACCAGAAAGAGCATGCTAGGCCCCATCGCCGTCTCTGGATAGAATATCCCAATGTGGTCATCTGGTCTTATGTGAGTCACAAAACCAAAGTAGTTTTCAGTGTGCTCGCTGATTTTACTATCAGCCGCCCGAGAAGTCAGGAGACCCCCATATTCCGGTAAATAACGATGGTTCAGCCCAGATACGTTCCAGGTACCCTTTATCGGATATCGTCGAGGAGGCTCGGTAGGATTCTCGGTAAAGTCACGCAGTGCCACGAGATGAGCATGTCTGGATCCTAGCCCATGGTCACCGCCAGGGAAAGAGAAGAGGTCTCCCAGCTTCTGAGGTACCGCAAGCGCAGAGGCAAGATAGAATGCCAGGTAGTCTCTGAAAGTGCTGTCCGAGGGACTGTTCCGAAAGTTTTTGCAAACATATGCGGAGAGACCATTATCGAAAGGGCTATGCAGCTGATTGAAGTATGCTACTGCAGCCATGAGAACCAATGGTTCATGGATACGTGCTCCAAGGTGTGCCTCTTTGCAAAATCGCGCGATGCCGAGTTCGAGAAACCTCGCGGTGCTCCCCTAAGGAAAGGCGTGGGAGTTCCACCAACAAAGGATTTGTACGCGACATTTCGAAGTTCCATTTTCATTTCATCTTCTATAAAGAACCACGATGAGAATCCGTCAGCGTATTTTAGAAGGTGCACTTACCGAGCTGATCAAACTGTTTCCGTAAGGGATCGGTAAACATAGGGATACTCGCAGTCAAGGCCTGCTGCCTGGGAAGCAGGATGAAATCGGTCGGTGTGAACCCTGCGACGTGCTCAACAAAGGCATTGAACACGACCAAAGGATCTTGAAAGCCTTGGGTGATAAGCAAGCAGAGGAGGTTTGAAGTAAAACGATGCCTGCCACCAGCTAAGTCACCATTCCCAGACATCAGAGTTGACATAACAGGACTTACCGTCCACGTAGCCACATCCAAATTCTCTCCAGTAATACCGTAATAGATTGGTCATTCCTGAGATGGTCAGGAATGAACTGAAGGACGTAGTCCCGCTGACGGCTCTGATCATCAAAGCAGCCGGTATCCCATGCTTCTACAAATGAAGTCCCCTTTTGCAGACTGGATGCCACAGCTTCCTGAATCTCCTTCGCTGACAATGCTGAGCCTGCGATAATAAAATGGTAGGAAAGACCGAGACACGATCGTCCCAGAGCATGGCACCAAGATTCGACAATCTGTCGAAGGAGCGGTCTATGAACGGTAGCGGTTGAAGATAGAGAAAGGAAGGCCGAAGGAAGCAGTTCGGCAGCGATTTGAGCCTCGTCGATCACAATCAATAAATGGTTGTCCTCCGGACTAAGCAGTTCGGCGATACAGGCGGATATAGATTTACATTGTTCCTCCAGAGCTCTTCGATGGAGGGTTTGAAGATGTGTGAGCAGACTGACAAATATGTCACCGAAGTGCCTAATCATGCCTGGCTGAACTTGGAGAGCAGTCCACCGTGCTTTGTAGACGTTGTTTGATATCTGATCCGGCGGAACGTGTCGCAGAAATTGGTAGAAGATAATCAGACGGGCAAGAAGGACTGCCGTGAACAGAGACTTCGATAGTTCATCATTGTGCAGGAAGGATGGGTCGGTCTTATTTGTGGGGACATCTGCCGTGAAGCCAGGCAATCTAAAAAGAATATCATAGGCTTCCCATAGATCATGCGAACCAAGGTTGCTGGTAGTGTCAAGCATCGGAGAGCATGAAAGATAGAAACCCCAGGACTGACAAAGAGTCTCCATCATTAGACGAGTCTTCCCTGAGCCAGCACTGTTGACAAAAATCCTGAAATAATGGCCCGTCAATGGGATATATGTAATTCAGCCGAAACGTCTTGAACTCACTTATGATCATGGCTAAGAAAGGGCTGAACCCGTGCTTGTAGATCCTTATTATTCTGAAATGAACCCAACTTGTACAGCAATAATTCGGGACGATGAGGATTTTGCGTTAGTGTTGGAAGGCTAAGGTTGGTGAGATGGGGAAGCACATCAGGAGGCAAAGAATTCGGTATTTTCCAAGACTGGAATGTGATTTCTCCCTCGACGACCTTTTTGATTTCGCCATCTAGCTGGTCCAAGAAAGCCCGCGTAGTGACTTGAAAGCGATAAAATTTTAGTTCGGACAGCCCCAGAACCTCATTCCGAAGAACGGCTTACCATCCTGAAGGACCAAAACAGGATCCGAGATTTTACTCGCCTTTGAGGACTGCTCAAAGATGTAGCCCACTAAACAAACAAGGCATGGATAAGCAGCATAAAATAAGATCTGTCGGACCCACAGATCAAATACTGGCTGGTCTCGTTAGCCTCATCCATACTATCCAACGCAGACTTAAGCCTATCGATGTTTGCTATTGCTTCCCTGCAGGCAGATATAGACTGATAGGCTGCAACACGGGCGCCAATCATTCGCCACAGTTTTTGCGCAGCTGCTTCGTCAGATTGAAGTTGGCCAGCATCAGTATGTTGAGCAGACTCGGAGGAAGACATCGAGTATTGAAGGGGAGCAAGTTGTTGTTGAACCACGAGCAAGAATCTGTCTTTTTATTAAGTCAGATCAAGTCCTCTGCTCTTGTACTGGCTTGACGACAGGCTCTTGTTCTCCATGGGGGCTGACATAAGAAAAAGCGGATTCTAGCCTTTAGAGAAACAAGAAAGCGTGCGAGTATATATATCTGACACATGGGTAAAGGGCGCTTGGACGAAATGCAGCATGGCTCGCATCTGATCTTGACTGAACAAGAACAAGAACTTAACTGGACGCCGGCTATAAGCGGCCCGTCGACGACCGAAGTTACTATTTCTCCGAGTCGGTGATGATGATGATGATGATGATGATCTGGATTGGTTACCCGCAACACGCCTCGTAATGGGCGAAGACGCGGGGGTATAGTACGCTACTGTAATGTAAGCCTATACCGCTACTCGTTTGAATGCTCTTCTACTTTTCGGCTCTATGGACTGTATAACTATCTGGTAAAATTCTACGTAACTTTTTTTGTGGTCTCGTTGTTTCCGTTGTATGGGTACTCTAACTACTGAGGGGGAGAAAAATAAATAAGTTGGGTGGGAGATGGGCCTTGCTCAGGCCTAGTTGACGCTGCGTCGGTTCTATCACTCTTCGTCTTCTGGTTCATGCGGCTCGGGCTCGTCTTCCCATAGCGGCATGCCCACTTCTTGCCTCGGATTTCCGGTCTTCGTGAAGGCTCCTGACTCTGCTAGGAAGCTCGCCACTGCTTCGATGCCTTCTTTTGTACCCAAGAGGTCGCACTTCTCCGAGTCGGATCTTTCATCCAGCTCTCATCTCCCCACCGCTACACGAATACTCCCCTCATTTTGAACATCCTGAGCACCGGTCTAGTTACTGTTCTTTATCTAACATCGACAGGATGGCCCTCACGGTCCATCCATCTCTCTTCAAAGACTATCCTGACATCTCCGACTTCGAAAATGCGTCACGCTTTTTGCAAGCACTACGCATGTCGATGAAGTTGGAGGATGCGCCGCCATCATTCTTGTCTACAAAATGCATTCAACAGCTTCTCCGGGAAAACCCTATGTACTATGTCAATTTGGAACGCCGCCATGCTCGTGGTAAACTAGATGGGCTTGAAGACACACGCATACTTGCTCCTTTCCTTTCTATTGCCTTCATCGTATACTGACGTACTTAATAGCCTTACTATGCCCCAATCCTTCTAAACCGGCTTGGAGAGGTAGCCGCTATTTAACAACTATCGAGTCATACTTGGAGCGTCTCCGTCATGGTTCCGACACGTTCTGCAACCCCACTGCTTCATCATTTTGGGCTCCCAGCAGCTATAATTTTAGTGCCAAGTACAGCTTCAGATACGCTGACCACATCCAGAGTCTGGAAATACCCCGTCTCGTAAACACCAGCGAGCCTGTCCTTCTTCTTCATGACTTTGGTACATTCTCTAACAACGCCACACTGAATCACCGTATTGCACGCATCTATCAGAATAACACGAATTCGTGGGTTCTTCCCTCTTCCCACAATTTCCCTAAATTGTTTCACTTGCTTCTGATCTACTACAGCTTCTTTGTCAATGGGTCGGCGTCAGGCAAAACAAGGCTGTTGTTGGAAGGCCTTCATCAAAATTGGGGATTCTATTTTACTGCTGCCGTCGATTCTTCCAAACTAGGATCGAACGACATCTCAACGATGATGATCGATTTCGAGATGGAGGGTGTGTTCAACAGAATCCTTCCACCAAAGGAGGATCCCACTTTTGAAATCTGCTTGGATCTTAATGCCCGTTTCACCTACCGATACTTCAGTGTGGTACTCCTCGCTCGTTTGGTCGTCTTCAAAAGGTTCTTGGAAGCCGCGTCGGGGAAACCTGATGATGGAATGCGACATCGCTGGCTTCTCGCACAGCTCCATCCACGTCTTCTTCAGTTATCCAATGGACCTAAACGCGACCCATTCGATGAGTTGCGAGACATTATGCAAGAATGGGTTGTCCCCACCGAATTCTTTGATGAAGCAATCCGCGAAACCTTTGGACTCCATCTTTTCTCTTTTCCCCACAACTCCGGGAACACCACTCTTCATCGTGATCGATGAGGGCAATGTCCTCGCGGATGGCGGAAAATACACTTTCTCTGATGCATTTGGGGACGGCCGACCAATCCTCAAGGAGTTGTTGACGACTTGGCAACATCATGTACAGGCTTACGATGTCACTTTTATCGTTGCTGGTACCGAAATTCCGCGGAAACACTTCCAAGGTGATCAGTGGAGCAACTACCAGTGGAGTTCAGATTCGGGTGACTTCGGCACTCCCGAACTACATAGACAATACGTATCTAAATTCTTGCCACCATCCATAGCGTCGAGTCCTTCTGGCGAGGAGCTACAGTTGCGGATGTGGAGATGGTTTCGCGGGAGGTTAGTATCTCCGACTTTGTCTTGAAGAACCGTATGTGATGATACGAACTTTTAGGCATAGATTTACGGCTTCAGTGATTTCCCAGCTGCTTGCCACCGATTTCCAAAGCCCCCACCGCCTCCTTGACTTCCTTGTCTGGTTAAGTACCGGTTATGAACCTCGCGATGGCGAAGCGTACAGTCGTGCAGAAGAGTCCAGGGACTTTGAGCGTCGTTACTTGCCGATGAAAATGCCGGACCCAAAACATTGTAAGCCTCATCAAGTGGCTCCTCCTCTCGGCGAAGATTTAATCTTTATGCATAGATCCTTCCGTCAAGGCTGCTGTCCATGATGCTTTGATCCACTGTCTCGTTACTCTTGATCATCGTTTGGTCTTTGGGATTGATCGAGTCGACGCCGTTTCTCGAGGTGTTGGACGGTTTATTGATGCCAACATGGAACAGATTGTCATCGACGAGCCTCTCTGCCTCGTAACATGTGCTCAATGGTTTGCCGACAAGAAGAGATCTCTCACAGACATCGATTTCTATCTATCTGCGGATACAAGCTACCAGTGCCCTCTTTCTGCCGCCTGTTTCGTAGCGCTTTGTTTAGCTCACGTCTTTTCTCAGCCTCGAGCTGTAGCGGATGTCCTCTCTTTTCCAGGTACACGACCAGACTGGGCTAACCAAACTGCGAGTCTCGTGGATTTTGCGTCAACCAATTCCGGCGAGGAGATTGGCATATCTAAATATACTTCTGGCACCTCTCGACGTCTGGCTTCCGTCGCCGAAACGCAGGCCGATACACTCGCTTGGTTGAAAGACGAGCATAGGAGCGTGTTTTGTATTCATTCTGCTAGCTCTACAAGCCCGACTCTGTTATTTAGTCTAAAGCTCGCAGACGAGAGTCTCCTTTGGCTTTTCTTGCATGTCCATCTTGATGGAAAGACGGAAGAACTGGTGCCTGAAGCCGAGCTCCAGGACATGTTGGAGGCCCTACAACCTGAAAATCTCTTCGACCAACTCGTGAGTTTTTGCGCTGTCAATGTTGGTACATTATTGATGTCACCCAGGCCGACGAAAGAACAGGCATCGATGGATCTCTGCCCACAGACGTGGCTCCTCCTCCTTCCACCGCCAAGTCCGACTCGTCTGATCCTCCCAAAAAGTCTGAAGCACCAGATGACTTTCTTAAACTGCTCGAGGGCCTTCCTAACAGGAACCAGGGTGTGGGCGCGTACAGTGTTCTGCGCGTAGTCGCTTCGCTGCGTGCCGATGCCAAGCTTGACCACCTGGATGTTAATCCCGATCACCCCATCGCTGAGCTTAATACTCGGTTTGTGCAGAGTATAACTGAGAAATTCTCTGCGAAAGATATTCTTGAAGATGTCGTAGCGAATACGACATATGTCGAGGGGTATACGGGAGTGAAGAGGAAGAGTACCGATGATAGACCTACTTTGAAGCGTCGGCGGTCAGCATCTTCATTTATTGGCAGCGTTCAGGAAGTTGATGTATGATATCAGTATATCATAAATAATGTGTAGTGAAATATCTTGCAATATCTACCGTCGCAACTCGTTGAATGGATTTGTATGCCTCGTGTCGACGCTGAGATTACTTTCATTTGTCCTGTGTTAATGTTACTCATACGGGAGACTTGTATACCCGTATGCCCACGAATTCCCATCTGGAATACTAACAGGCGACGATGCCATAGTACCTAGTCGCATAATCTGGGACAGACAGCACTTGAAGCAAAAATCTAGTATCATCCACACTTTTCATCCCCGACTAAGCAGGATAAGGATAGCTCCGTTAACGTTATAAGTAAATGTGCTAGCATGAAGATGCTAAGGATGTGCGGTATGTAGACAGCTGTTCATACAGTCAATCACTGCCAGCATCTGATACATTGTTCACTCACAACATGCACGTTACTTTCGTCTTCTCTTTGCTTGCTTTTTCGGTGCTGAGAGGGACTCAGGTAGCCACTCATTCACAGGCTCCGCCGGCGCAGATGTCGGTTTCGTAGGAGCCGCAGAGGATGGCGGCCCGTTCTCCGCCTCTCGTTCCGCACGCGCAATAGACGCCGCAATTTCCTCGGGACTGACTTCTTCTCCCCTCTGTATCCGTGCGGCGATGTCTGGCGTTACACGGACACGTCGTACACCAGTCTGGAATCCCGGTGCTAGTAAGAGATTATTGGTCGTGGCAAAGACAGAGTAGCCCAGAGTACAAACCCCCTTTCCCAATGCCGTGAACTTTGAGCTTACGAGCTAGGTACCATTTGCGCGCAAAATATGCCGACACGAGAAGAACAGAAGGGACGCTGCCGGAGGTTATTTACAAAAATGCCGGGCGGGGTAGTGCGACGCACGCTATCCAGAGAAGTGAAGGGTAGTCGTCGATGTCTGGTACTGAGGACGTCCTTCTCGACATGTTGTACGATGTAGTCAAGGAAAGAACTCGGACGTGGTGGGAATTTCATGAGCGGAGGCCGGCCCGATGGATAGCTGTCACGTTTGTCACGTGTAGCGCATGGCAGGCAAATTTCGCAAATTTCTGGTGCTTCAGTGCTCGACCTTCATCCAGGTTTCTCTTTTCACCGTTCAGGGTACGGGATAACTCCCTTCTTCTCCTCAAATAAAGCCTGAATTCTCTGGTTATTCGATCGACATGGCTCCCAATTTCGAGGAGTTGAACACGAACATTCCTCGTGCAGCATTGAAGGCCACGAGAAATGCCGCTCTTTTACCTCCAGATCTCGCCTTTCACAAATCAATGGACCCCGGTTTTGCAAAAGACATAGATGTTTTCTCCTCCAAGGTGTTATTCTTGACGAATCGGTTGCTCGAACTGGCGGCAACTATTGATACTCCAGGAAAAGGCAAGGGAAAAGTTCGGAGCGAAGATGATATTTTGGATAGCTTTGAGACGCTTATCGTTGACCGTATGGACCAACTGCTGGAGCGTGTCGTGAGTTCCTACCATGTATGCTTCTGTGGTTGTATAATGACATTCTTTCAGGACACCTCACTGGATGAGTACCAGGGTAAGACAAAGCCTCCTGCCATTGCAATAAATCCCTCAGTGGACCTTTCTTCCATCAAGGTTTGGATCCCTATCAATTGTCGCTCTTGCTTGCCCTCATGATATCCGCAGCAGAAGAAGAAATCGTCAGGTCAACCTGCTCCGGTCATCCAACATGCAGCCAACTTAGCTAAGCCTCAACTCAAATTCAAGGTCCTCGTCGATAATAGCAATACACCTTGGTATCCTCGTTTGAAACACAAATACCACGCGAAAGTTCCCTTAGGGTACAAACTTCTTGATCAAGATAGTGATGCGTCTGATAGCGCCAGTACATTGTATGTTTGCTATTCCATTCTTATGCATCCTCTTCTGAGCGATTTCGTAGGTCCACTCATCCGTATCGATATGAAATCACCCATCTGTCGTACCCACCGCATATGTTTCATCAAGCACCACCAATACGGCCCAAGCCCTTCGAGACCTCCTCTTTCAGCTGGGTTTCTGCGCCAGAAGAGCTGCAAACCATGCTGGGGAAGCTCCGTCAAGTGACAGAAATAGCAGTCGACCTGGAACACCACAGTTATCGTACTTATGCAGGATTTCTGTGCCTGATGCAGATTAGTACACGAGAAGAGGACTGGATAATAGACGTTCTTTCCCTTAGAGATGAACTGGAAGTTCTCAATGAGGTTTTTGCAGACCCGGGCATCATCAAGGTTAGTAAATCATACCTGTTATAACCTGAGACCAACCCCTACATACAGGTATTCCACGGCGCCGATAGCGATATCGTATGGCTGCAACAAGACCTAAATTTATATATCGTGAATCTTTTCGACACCTACCACGCATCTCAGATTTTATGTACGTCAAAACCTTTTGCATCCAGTGCTAGCGAAGCTGATGATCGCTAGCTTTCCCTAAGCATGGCCTCGCGAATCTACTGGAGATGTACTGCGACTTCCTCCCCGACAAGCGGTATCAATTAGCCGATTGGCGCATAAGGTATGGAATTCATGTCTCTTAACATGCTGGATCTGACAGTGTCACCTTAGGCCACTTCCTGAGGAGATGCTGAAATATGCTCGCTCCGATACACACTTCCTATTGTTTATATACGATAATCTTCGGAACGCGTTGTTGGATCGTGGCGAATCCCAAGCTCGTTCTCAAGCTCTAGAAGGTGGCCCATCATCCTCTCCGTTATCCAGCGACTCCCTACTTCGTGAGGTGCTTGCCAGATCACAGGAAACCGCTCTGAAAGTATACGAGAAAGAGCTGTATGATGCCGCTGAAGGAACTGGTAGCACTGGATGGGATACCTTGGCTCGTAAATGGAACAAAGGCACTCTTCTCGCTTCGGCGCCAAATGTGGGCGTTGGTGCGCTTCAAAAGCAAGTATACAAAGGTGTTCATGCATGGCGGGATAAGATTGCCCGCGAGGAGGACGAGAGTACCAGGTTAGCCGATATTAGACATTCGTAGCCTCGTTCATTCTGACCTCCGATTCTTCCAGATATCTTTTGCCTAATCATTTCCTGTTCCAACTCGCAGAAAATCCTCCCGCCGACATGGCTGCGCTATTGAGAGTTTTTCATTCTCCTCCGCCTTTAATGAAAAAAAGAGCGAGGGAGCTGTTAGATACCATCCGTGATGCAGTCAAGGCCCATCTTTCGCGTTCTGTTAGTGCCTCAAGTATTCTCGAACCGCAACCAGAACCCATGGAAGTCGAGCACGTCGATGAAGACGTTGTAGCTCCAGAAACTCAGCCAACACCGTCTTCTACCCTGTGGTCCGGCTGTCAGTCCCTGCAGACTCTTATGTATTCTTCTCATCTGATATCTCCCATTCATAGCTACGGCTGCATCGAGTTTAGCGTCCAAATCATCGCTCTTCGGGACTGCCCTTCCGAAACCGTCCGTCCAGTCATCGTCCCCAGGTATCGCAACTTCGCAGAGCGCATTGTTTGGAAAGATGGCTCGCGTAAGGGTTCAACAGATGATTTCATGACATTGGTACTGATTCTCACTCAACAGACATCGAACACGAACCAGAGCAGCGATACGAGTCGGTTCCGGGAACTAGTTACCCGGATACATAGTACACTTTCCATCGCGCCATCTGTACCCAAGGTATTTACGTCCGTTTCCACGCTGCAACTGCCGTGGTGTACTAACTTATGCTTAGCGTGTCAGTATCGAACCTCAAGAGAATGCTATCCCCATGCAAGTTGACGAAACCGCTGAGGATGGTATAGTAGAGATGCAAGCGGAGATACCGTTTATCCCTGCGTCTCAAAGGCAGCCACGGGAACAGATTGAAGATACCCTTGTCGTGGTTGGTCAGGCTAGGCAGAAAAAGCGTAAACGAGCCGCCCCTGCAGATACAGATGACGGCACGACAGGAACGGAGGCGACTTCTTCCAAGAAATCGAAATCTGGAGAGGGTGAAAGCGCCGTTCAAGATCCAGAGCCGTTTGACTTTTCGTCTGTGCCAAATGTCCTTGACCAAGTTCCGGAAATCCACGGAGATAACAAAGTAAAAAAGAAGGGCAAACAAAAGAAAGGTGCGGTGTTTTATTGCAACATGTTTTTCCGGAATCTCATAGGAAGAAGCAGGCGGCGGGTCCTATTTCTATGGCGATTTCCCAGCTCCTCCTAAGGGACATAGTGAGGTCAAGAGTGGAAATCAGTCTCACACATTCCAGAAATGACCGGGGAATTTACGTTCTTGAAGGCGAGGTTTGTTTGCGTAGTGTTCATTGCCAATCAAATACTCGCTTGTGACCGGACTACCCGATATCTCCCTCGTTAATAAGCTGGAACTTTCGCCACAGAGTAACTGTTTTGCGTAAAGTAACGTATATGTCATCCCCTAAACCTTTTCGAAGTCGGCAGTTTTTTGAAGCGAATTCACGTGGAGCGATGATTTTTCGGCTTTTCACCTCGTATCTCGGTTGTCGTCGGACGAAAGACGTAGTGCAAGCTACTTCATTGGCTCTTGGTATGGATGAATCACATTACTTCCCCAATTTCCCCCGCTGTGGGCATTCAGAATCTTGAACAATCCACCCACTATTTTTTCCCGCCAATGACCAGCTCTGGTGCCGCGACGCCCGCTACAGTGGCCTTGAATTCGACGACAGATGTGCGTCAATCCAGCATCGTAGAGGGTGACGACCAGTCTGTCGCTGCCCCAGTGGTCGAAGAGGATGTTTTGGATATCGAGCATCTCCCGGTCCAAGATGATCCACGAAAGTGGTCATCCATGCGCAAGGTAAGGCAATCTCACGGTCGCGTGCCGCCCTCCATTACGATCGTCGTGCTCTAGAAATTTGTCCTCGGAGTGATCTGTTCAGGCTCGATGATCGCCGGATTCGGAGCCAACATACAAAATCGTGAGGTTGCTTCCATAAGATGTATGACTGGCAGTAATTAACGAACTTTATATTAGCTGCGATCGAGGATATGGAAAGAGACCTCCCTGCAACGAGTGGGCAAATTAGCTTGAGCATTTCCTTGTTCATTGCCTTGCAAGGAGTCACACCCTTGCTTTGGAGTTCTATCAGCGAAGTGAAAGGCCGCCGGGTACAACGCAGCCAAGGTGTTTGGGTGCTGTTTTGACTAATTCATTATGCCAGTTCGTCTACCTGATTTCGCTCCTGATATTCACCGCCGGTTCAATCGTCGTGGCTACCAGCAAGACGATAGGCTTGTAAGATTCTGCTCCAACACTTGTGCCCAAGTAAATTTATTTATCAAGCGCTTCTTTTCCATAGGGTGATAGGAATGCGATGCCTGCAGGCTTTAGGGTGCGTATGGTGTTTTATCTGCTGACTTTCTTACTCATTGGGTCCAGCTCAAGCGCTGTGATGACTATCGGCGCGGCTAGTCTTGCAGACATTTTCGATCCTCAGGAAAGAGGAACAAAGGTTCGTGCCCTTAGTAGGACTGCTCAGACGCTTATTCCTGTCTCACAGATGGGTATATACTATATTTCTCCTCTTCTCGGTCCATCTCTAGGACCAGTATTTGGTGGAGTCCTCACTACAGGATTTAATTGGCGTGGCCCCTTCTGGTTCCTCGCCATCCTTGCCGGGTCTAGTTTTTTGTGCTTCTTGTTCTTTTTCAAAGACACGTACAGGAAAGAGCGAAGTTACGCATACCAAAATATCTTGAAACGGCATTTGAAGGAGCAAGCACAGCGATTGAAAAACGAAGAAAAGCAGCGGGCCAAGGAAGCTGAAACTCTGGAGAAACCAACCGATACGAAGGAGACGAGGGAGGACGGAAATGTCAAGACCGATGTTGACCTGGAAAAACAGGAAACTAGTAATCCTAACGCCGGCGCTTTGACCCCGGAAGCTCTACCAACAATAACGCTCTCTTTGAGGGATGTCAACCCGGTCCATCCGTTATGGCTCGTTCTTCGACGCCGGAACAATCTTCTCATGCTATTCTCCTCCGGTACGCGGCCTTTTGTGGACTGTGATATATGATACAACTCGACTCCTCCCCACAGGTATTCTATTCTCATACTGCTTCATAGTCGTATACACAACATCTCGAACTCTCGGGAGCGCTTACGATTACGATGCGCTTACGATAGGATTCATCTTACTGTCGTTCGGACTGGGTCTGCAGATTGTTTCTCTTTGTTCGCTTTGCATCACCGAAACTAATGGTATTATCTGTTATCCATAAGGATCGATGGCGGGGAGCATACTAGGAGGTCGTTTCTCGGACCGTGAATTAGCAAGGCTCAGGCGAAAGAATGGAGGCAAAAGTTACCCGGAGGTTTGCATCCCCTGCCTCCTCTGCCTCCTGCTTCCCTCATCTCTCATTTTCAATCTCTAGATGCGCTTGAGGAGCACAGTATATAGCATCTGGCTCTTCCCTATGTCGGTCATAGGGCTTGCGTGGGTATGTCAACAGCGCGTGCATGTTTCTGCGATATGCGTTATGCTATTCGTTTCGGGTTTCTTCGCAATGTAAGTCTACGCTCCTCAATCAAAATTTGGATCTGTGTGATCAATGCGTTCCGTATTAGCTCTGCTTATGCCAGCGAATTGGCTTATATCGTTGATGCAAATGTGGGTCGCTCTTCCAGTGCTGTAGCACTAAACAGTTCCTTTCGTGGAATGGCGGCATTTATTGGTACGGAGATCGCAGTACCTGTGCAGGTTTGTCACATGTTCTTGCAGCATTTTTCCTTACTGACTTGCAAGGACACTCACTGAAAGGATAAGCTTGGCGATGGTGCGTTTTTTGGGTTCTTCGTGATGGAAACTAATACATTGTTTACCTACTTCCCCTCCTTACTGCGGTGCTCACAGGCTGGATGTATACAATCTTTGCCCTAATTCTGTTGCTCAGTGGACTATTGGTTTTGCTGGTAATAAAAAAGGGCGAGGAATGGAGAGTTCAAGGAGAAGTGAGTGAAGACGGTAGCAAATAATAGAACTTAGGATGGCCTCTATTGGAAAGCTGTTAATTGACCCTAGATCCTGTAGACCAGCAATATGTATTCCACAAAGTCTATGTCCTGATTTTTCTGCTTTCTCTAAATGTCAGCGGCCCGGAAGCATAACCTCAGCACCGCCACCATCGCCACCCAATTGCGACTGCCATCCTCACTCAACGAGGCCACCCAACTCACCGGTGTCAAAGACCCACTCGTGCAAAGAAAGAAAGAGCTTATTAGCACACAATTATATTGCACGTGCGTCTAGGTAACAGTTGTAACGATGTAAAAAATCACTGACAACGGGATACACAGGATGCCACTTGTTTCCGTTTCCGATATTCTGGGAACGAACCATGCTCCAAATGAACACGACTGTGTTGTGATCCAAAAGTCTCTGTCTGAACAGGAACAGCTCCTTGAGCAAGTTCGAACACAAAAGGCTGATCTTGAAGAGCAGCTTTTGGTCACTAGCCAACGTGAAGCCCAACTTGTCAAGTCCATCGCTGACCATCGTACGCTCCTCCGTGCAAGTCCTATACGTTCTCTCCCTGCGGAGCTTCTGGGAGAAGTATTTCTCGCTCACTGCGCACAATACCCAAATCTTGATTCCGGTCGTCATGATGGTGTTGCTTTCCGGAAGAGTCGTCTACGACTCCTGTGGGTATGTAGGAGGTGGCGGGATGTGGCATTATCGATACCCAGGATTTGGGCGGTTCTGTCCGTGGAATACCACGCATTCAATAGGCCTCATTCAGAAGAAGCCGCAGCTTGGGCTTCGGTGCTTAAGAGATGGATATCATCGTCAGGGCACCTGCCTCTCAGTATTAACTTCACCTTCACCGAGTCTTGGGATTCACATTATCACAGTGACTACCAAAACATTGCCTTCAATGCTATTTTTTCCCAACTACATCGATGCAAATGTTTCATCGGCAGATTGGAGTTCGATTTCAATGGGCATGATGCTGTTCATAGGGCACTAGACCAGAATATCCCAGATGCTCCGATACTTGAGACACTTTCGCTTCGCTCCTATCGTTCCAGCTCCGCGTCACCCATCATCAACTGGCGGCGAAAACTTTATGCCACAATTCCTCGACTTCGTCATCTAGACGTCGACAGTGCCAGTGGTATTGTCTCCTTACCAGTGCAAAATATCATCACGGTAAAGCTTGAAACAGCTGCGTTGAGCGATCTCTTCTACCTTGTGGAAAATGCGGCAGTCCTAGAGGAATTGGAAGTGGGAGAGGTGGAACAGAGTAGAGATCTTCGGCACAGCCAACGTGATGCCCATCGATTGGACAGTCTAGTCAATGTCCATTTCCGGCATACCGACAGTGCAGCGGTCAGTCGATTCATTGATTATGTGACGCTTCCTTCGATCAGCGAGCTCGCTGTTCGAACGAGCTCACCGTGGTCAGATCCCGCTGCCTCATGGCCAGATATCGATATCTTCATCCGTTTTTTCGAGCGATCAGCGTGTTCCTTGACCAAATTGATCATCGCGGCTCCTGAAGTCGACGAACGTGGGTTTCTTCTGGGTATACTTCCCTCCGTTCCGTCCCTCCAAGTCTTGCACATCGAAAACGAAGATTACGACGTGCCCTTACTTCTTCCATCCTCTGTGATTGAGTATCTCACCGGCAAGCCCAAGAGACAGAACCTTACGGCACTCACAGACCTACGAATTTCTGTACAGCTGCGTCAAATGACCGGTGTGAAGAAACTCCTCGATTACCGTCATACGAACTGGGGGACGCTCGGAGTAACTAGGCTTAGTTGCTTCTCGGTTATCGTTGTAGCGGCGCGGCTCTCTACAGCTCAGATGAAATCTCGAAGACAGCAGATGCGGGAAGTCTTTAGCCCCTACCAGAAGGCCGGTCTAAGTTTGGCGTGGCGTATTCAGAGCCGGTGATTTTTTTTCATTTATATATCCGCCTTAGAATGGCAAGAATATATCTCAGCTATTTTTTTTTCGGCCAACCTTTGCCACTGCACGTTTCAAGTTCTACCATTTCGCATCATCGATTTCGTATCGGAACAGGTGCTGCTTGGACGTAAGCTCAGTCGGCCTTCATTCCGGTGCAACTCTGTAGCCGACCAGCTGTGCACTGTGCCAACTGGCGCACAACTTCCGCTGTAACGAAGAGGTAGGCTGGACTGCGCCGAAACGTTTCTTGCACATGTTGAAAGCCGTGTCATCGAAATAACTGACAGTGACTGCGTGCTGACGCTGTCTTGCCCCATCAATGGTGCTCGTCAAAAATGCATGTAGTTGATTGTCAAATACGGAGCGTCCAAGTCATGTACTTGGCCGGTTCTCTACTATCTATCTTGAAGAAAGCCAAGAATATTTTTTGTTTCACAATCGGAGATCACTGTTGTGCACGTTTTCGCGTTCGCTCTTTCCCCAACTTGATGCACCTAGCCTCAGTACGTTTTCGGAGAGGGTTTTATTAAGACTATGTCTACGAGACCGTCAGTGATTAACAGGCCAAGTTTGAAAATCAGATGCGACGGTTGCATAAGCTCATACATTAATGGAGGGGTTGCTCAAAGTTTCCACATTTCTGCCAGCATATTGATGATACTTCATAGTATTCCTTCTACAAATATATTCAAGATTACAGGGAACCTCAGCTTTGTAGTGATACAAGTCTACTACCTACGGGGTAAGCCTGTCAGGTGGAAGTTCGGTCCGTGAATGAAGAACTTACGATCTTTGAGTGTGTCGTTATTGCTGGTGTAACACTTGCGCTAGTTAAACTCTCCGCTCCATACTCGACGCACTATGCCAAAAATTGATTGGGTGAGTCTGGGGAAGACGCCGAAGAGGATAAGTAATCCCATACCTCGAATTGCCTCCACACTCAAGATACCTCGGTGACGCAATATAGGCAGCGACTTTTTGACCTCTTTGAGTGAAGCTCTCAGAGTCTCGGCCCCCTTGGCACCTGTGCACAAGAAGCTATAACAGTTATGCCCACATTGACTGTGCAGCTTAAGATCCACGCTACGAAGCGATGGCATGTCGCGACAATGGCCAATGTGTTCATCCAATAATGACCATTCATGACACGGCGGTACGTGATTGCCTCGTAAAATCACCAGCAGTTTTAGCTCCTCCAACGTACGCGTCAATGGTATCAAAGCGGGAGGTGGTACGAAATCGACGCTAACGTACAGCGATCGCAGACGCGCGAGATGTTCTGTCTTCAGAAGAGGCCCTTGGCTCAATGAAGAGTCCCATTCTGATTGTCCGAGTCCATCAGTTCTTTCTCCCACGCAACAAAATGGGGGACATACCAAAAAGTTGCCGATAGACCAGGCACTCCAGAGTATTCGAGGCTTGATCGATGATGGCTTGAACCAAAGAACGCTGCCTCTGCAGATCTTTCCCCGTAAAGCCCACCGAAAGCTCACGGAGGTGATGGGTGTCGAATAGAGAATTTGGTCCTGATAGATACATTGCGCTAACTGGACAATCATATCCTGATAGCTCCAATGCTTCGAGACGCGGACGTATCACGGGCTCCCGTACGTCTGCATCAGCCAGACCATCAGAACGGGGAGCGCGTGAATATTCGATCCAATTCAGTGAAAGCCGCTTCAAAGATGGTGATCCAGCGAGGCGGCCCATCAGAGTGCGTGGTAGGTCGATATCTTCCAGTTGATCAATGTCAATGCACTGGACACTGGGGAGGGAAAACGACCGAAATAAAGCCTCCTTGAAGACCGACGGCAGCATACGCCACGATACCTTGCTATCGTCAGCACCAACGGTGATGCGTTGCAAGTTCTGCAGAGAATCGAGGATGCATGGTAGCGTGTCCTCATGATAAATTCCGCGAACACCTCTTCCGTATTCAACTTGAAAGTGTACCATTCGAAGTGAGACGACAAAGAACGCGATGTAGGGTGAGCTGCGAAGAAGGGAATGAAAGTTGTCGCAGGTACACATTATTCCCCCAGAAAATGGACGAGCACTGCTAGAGCGGTAGTCCTTTTGAGCCAAGATGACTCGAGAAAATGTGTGCTTGCGGCTGGAAGGGAGAAAGGCATGAGAAACGAGGGCGCATGTTTTTAGGGTTGGCATATCGTCGTGCACGAAGGCGATGACTTCGTCAATGAGCTCCTGGGGAATGTAGCGCATAGTCTAAGCAAGTGACTAGTGGGAGGCCGGGGATGGATTTGAGCGCAGATTTGGGGCAGTTAAGAAGCCAAGAATTTGTTGCGGGCTTTTCAAGTATCATCGTGGAATACCTCATGTGTGAATGTCAGATATCGGGGGGTGTACCGAAAATATTCGTCTTTGCTCCTAGAAAATTAAGTCGAGGCTTGAGATCAACAAATCCGGTCCCGAAATTCCGAGCCGGCGCCCATATTTGGTCATCACCTTCCTCTCTTGTCATCCACCGCGACTGACGTCTGATACACCAGTACATACAATCACTGGTCCTTTCCGCATGTTAGTCATTAATTATATCGCACCTTTTATTGCTTCTCACGTACGTTGAATTTTTATCATTGACTGTCCATCATACTCATGATAGTTCCCCGGGTTTCGGCGACAACGGTGGACAAAAATCTAGGCCGTCTGCGCGTCTATACCCGCTTCACGGAGATGATGAACTTTCTGCTGATCTGCGATGGCAACGCTCGCACTGTCGCAGTAACTTCCCACTCCTTACACTGATCTTCCACACTTTGGGTCGCTCGCAAATGCTTTCATGCATTACTGGGGGCTCATGAAAAGGACCCCAAGTGGCGCCGAGAACCCCTTTCGATGCAAATTCCTGAATCATATTTCGAAGCGCATGGCGCTTTGGGGGCTGGGTGTCCGTTTCAGAACTTGTTACCGCCAGAAATCGTCACAGAATTTTCTACGGGACGGAACTATTAACGGCCTCGACTCTTAGCGTGTGTTATCTACGTTCAAAGAGAACCATTCCTTTGAAGAACTTCCTTATTTTGGCTTTATGTTCTACTCGGGATTCCATTCGAATCATGGAAAAGCGGAAGACCGTCAAAGGGATTGCTCTGGATCCAAGGTCCCTTTCTGTTTGAGACTCTTCGCTATTATCTTGCGTCTTGCGATCAAAGTATATGCATTCCCGCCGCTCATCAACATCGGACAGCACTTTAGCATCTCGCTATCTATGCAATCACGTAGACAAGACTTTGACGAGACTCTTGATATTGGCCCGCGCTTATTTTAGCCTCAACAATCATGAGCTTGCGAACGGTATCTCCGCTGGACCCAATATACCAAGCCATGTACTAGTGTATGTTTTATCATATCCTCACGCAGGGCGAACCATTCTACAGTCTGGAGAGCGCCCGGACTGCGTGGAGGCGCTCGATCGGACATGCTGGCGACTTCTCATTTTGTCAGCCGACGCAGCTCACACGAGGAATAACGCCAGTCAAATCTGTAGTCGCTTGCAACAGAAGGAATCGTCAAGTCTTAGTCCGGCCTTGCGTTGGTTGATAGTTATGGTAAAGTTGACTGAAATTCTCCATCAATTTACTCCGTTCGTTTTGTGCAGATACTGGTCGATAGTCCAATCTAATATACATGGAGTATATAGCGATGGATTTTGGGACAATCCGCTACATGCTCGTTGAGGCTTCTGCCAATCTTCCTTGTTAAGTATCGAAAATTGCTAACAATTTCCCACCAGCAATCATTGGAAGTCTTCCTTCAATTCATCAAGATCCTAAATGCAACGACTACTGTATCTACATATACCTCTAACGGTTCGGACTTGGCCTCAACAGACGCTGCAGGGATGCAACAGACTGATTTCAAGTTCATTGTTTCAGCATTCACTCTAGTGGAGAAGTATAACGGTTTTCCGAGCATGGGTCGATTTTCCAGCACTCCTAGCTGTCCGAGCCACTACTGATTCAATTCTTCTTTTACCTTTATCTAGGGTGCGTTCCCTATTAGCCCTTTGTTAGCCCTTTCCGCGCGTTGACTAACAGCTCAGTTGAACGTTCACCCATAGACCGCCAAGACCGGCCATTGGTGACTTTTCCAGATTGTAAAGACCCCCGTTGCTCAGTTGTGTGCGCCTGACAAGCTCATTAAAGTGGCGTCTGGTCGATCTGACAGACCACTCGGTATCTTGCTTCTGGTGAGTGCGGCAAAGGAATAGCCATTGGCAACTGCTATGATTTACTCCACAGACTCCAGCCGAACTTTATCACGGATAGTCTCAGGCAACGCATTGAGTTCCTGACACCAGGAGCAGCAGACGGAACAACGAAGAAGTTCAAACGGAGGTTCTAGTGAGCGGCAAAACCCGATGAAGTTGTTGATCTCTAAAATTACTTTTGGACTTTAGTCTGTCTTCCCAAACTGGGACGACAGTGCACTTCCTCCGCCTCATGCAGGTATTGTCCCGAGGCGATGGCGGACCGATTGTGACATATTGGATGCCGTTACCGATGGACAGTTGGGCCCAGCATTCTGATAAGGGATTATAAACGGGACTGCGACGTCACGGGTTGTTCTTCTATCACTTTTGGACCGCCTTACCTTCGTCGCCGTCGCCTTTGGTCCGAAGGGGAGGTTCAAGTGTGACATCGAGGACGCTGCGGACAAGAGTATAGAGTTTTTGGAGCTACAGCGTCGAGGGGGAAGTGAGGAGTGAAAGCACTTATCTCGCATGTTTTCGTTTTGTTATTATACCGTCACTGATACTCATCACTGCGCTATGTTATCAAGCATCAAATTTGGAACTTAACGTCTTGCGGTTGATGGAATGACGGAATCATTGTGCGCTTTTGACTATTGAGGACCCTGACCTTCTTCTGACCTTTTACTTTCTCTTGTTGGAAAGAGCGTCTGCTGGAGACTTCGTGAGAGTAACTCTTGAGCATGAACTATGGGTAGTACTGGCAACCTGGCCGATGTCCTTTATCTGATTGTCCGCTGTTAAGTCGTCGAAATTTTGGCGGACCGAGTAAACTGATCAAAGGCGTTTATATCAGTTGCCATGTTCACAATACCATCTTTCCGTCATCGAGAGCTTCTCAACAATCTTACTAAGGTTTGCATACTATTGCTTGGGAAGGAGAAAACGACGTCGCAAAGGTCAACGATATTCTTGACGTTGTACTTGGGGACATATTACGAAGCTGTGCCTGTCCTCTTAAGTAAAGTGTAAAAAAATATTAACAAATTATCTATTTCTATTTTGGGATTCATCGTTTCTGTGCCGGTGCTTCATCTTAGTCTCTGCCACCCACCACCACCTACCGCCATTCTTTGCTTTCCTCTCCTCCTTTCTGTTGCTTGCCAATCCCGGAATCGAGCCTTTGGTTGGCTCGATTTCCGCTTTAATTCCCATAATTTTCTTTATTTTTCTCAACCATGGCCCTTACCCAAACGGTAACTTTACCTGGTCCGGGTCCGTCTTGGGACGAGGAGGTGGTACCGGCTCTGCGAAAAAGTAAAATCTTCGACGAACATTCCTGTTGTTTGAGACTTGCTAATGATATACTCCAGGACTGGAGAATGAGAGTCGAACACTTGCCCGGCGCATATCAGCTATTTCTATAACCTCGTCGGAGGACGTGTCGAAAGTGACGGCGAGCAACGAGTTTGGATATCGAGGACAGAACTTTGCTTTGAATTCTTATCAAAACAATGCGACAACTTCGCGTTCTCGACCCTTTCAACAACAAGCACGGACTTCCTTAGATCGTGGTTCATCATCCTCACGCGTTACCCCTGCCAAATCTTCTTCGACCCGTTCAAGAACATATTCGCAACCTTATTCGTCTGACACGCAGAAAGGACGACTTAATGGGAAGTCCAATGGTTCGCGGTCAAGATCTCCTCGCCATGTCGAAGCCAAACCAACTCGCATACCCAAGCCTACTCGAAGCAGAGCTGGCAGTACCTCAAGTCATAACTATGCCATCCCGGGAAATAGCGGCAGTCCCTACGGTTCCCCGCAGTCAACCACCACTGATCCTGACTTATGGATAGTGCATGAACAACCGGCAGCTGCTTCTCGTTCGACTATATCCGAAACGAGTCGTCAACAACCGATTCTTCTCAACGAGCCGGCTCCTTTCAAACCAGAATCATCCCCTTCTCTCAATGCATATCAATCCCAGGAAAGCATCCGAAAGCCGCTTGACGACCCTCCACGGCCCTCCATGGAATCAGAAGAACGTCCGTTTGAGCATTGGTATCGGGGAGAGGTGTCGCGGAATGGTGGTGTGGGCGAACTAAGAGTAGGCCGGCGCCAAGAGATGCTGGAAATCGCCAACTATGGCCATTCCCTTAGAACGAAAACCGAGGCCCAGAATGCTTTGACGGACGCCCTTGAGGAAGGTAGGCGAAGGCGAAGGCGAGCGGACAGTGTTGGCGCTACTGAACGCAGGGGGAGCTTCCACATGGAAGAAGATGGCGTTGCAGACGCTACTCAAGTAATGGACGAGCACCCATTGACCGACTTGGATGGAGAAGCTTCGGACGCTGGGAACTCGTCAGACTATTACACGCCATATTCCAATCACAATGGTGTGTCTGATGCTTCGTCTGCTTTGACACCTGGGCCTACAGCCACGCGTGGATCGCGGAGTATTACGCCCACTTTCCATCGACCATCTTCCCGTCAACAACCATCTCGAATACCTACACCTACACGTCAGATGACCGAACACTCTCGAATGGCGACACCTACGCAAATAGCAAGGGGATCTAGCGAGCCCCCTTCTTTTGCATCAACTTCATACACTCCACCTAGCCGTTCGCAGACTAAAACCGCCTCACCTACATTGCAACAAAAACGTGGTGCTTCACCCGCTTCTCTCTCTGCGTCATCAAAGTCAAGGACGACCATATCCAAAGCTACACGTGCTAGGAACGAGGCTTTGAGGAAAGAACGAGACGAAGAAGCAAAGAGGCGCAGTGTCGCTCATTACCCAACACCCAACGACGATATGCGAGACGCCATACCTACATGGACAGAACCTGTACCTCGGGAAGGTAATTGGGACGATGTAAGTTAAGATTCATCAGGTCGTAATATCCACTGATGTATCGCTCCCCTAGGTGGTTCTACCAGTCGTTGCTAGAAAGAAGGGCCTCAACGGTCATTACGAGCAAGCGGATGGTAGCCCTAAGCCCAGACCAACGGAAAGAGTCGTCGCACCGGCAAGTGTTCTTTTACCCTACGCTACAAGTCTGTTTTGGTTTACTTTCATTGACAGGCTCCCGGAACATTCGGATATGACCACTCGAAGTATCGTCCACCGTTGGATGGTGATCCTGACAGTATCCTCATGGATGAGTTCGGAAGACCTAATAACGACCACCCAACTGTACAAGATACGGCGTACGAGGAGGAGACAAAGCCGCGTCCGCCACTATCTCCAATATCTACGAATCATGACCGGACACCCTTGCCGGTTCGGACGCAACCTCCTGCATCGCCTGTACCATTCTCACACTACGCGCCAAACACTACCGCAAAACTACAACCAGTTTCTGCTGGTGCGGCAAAGCTTGAGGTCCAGGAACCTCGTCTAGAAGAAGAGGATGCAGGAGGATGCTGCAAGTGCGTTGTTATGTAACCTTTTTCATATTTCATTTTGGCGCGTATGGATTTTCCCTTCTTCTCTGTCTTTTTTCGCATGCCTCCTCGTTCTGTATTGCTGTGAGCCCTCATAATCACTTACCGCCTTAGGCCTCGTCCTCCTTGCTATCGATTATCACATAATCATACTTCACTGTGTCCTTCCTTTAAGACCACTGTCGTTCAATGGCACATGTCAGCGCATCCACCACTTTTGTGCTTTTATCCTCGTGTATTCATATTCGCTTTCGACCTTACCGTACGTTCCTAATGCGCTTACTATGTGGACAGTTTATTCTCTTTCAACTCGGTTTTATCGGAATACCCTACAGCACAGTATTTACCCCATCATGCAATTCATTTGGAAGTCAAATATTCTCCTCTCTGCACACCGAACACAGAGTCACAAGCAATGGACATCACTGTTCACAAGCATCTGTAACCGTGTAATCCATACTGTCAACCAGATGGCCTTCCTTATCCACTCTCACTTCCGTGGTAGCGTATTTCGCGGTTACCGTGTAAGTCGCGCCGGCGTTCTCGTCCACGATAAGAGTTGTTTTATTGGTAAACGCTTCAATGACTTCTCCGTTCCTAGACCAAGTAATCGTATAGCTTTCATTCGGCTCAATTGGCACTTGTCTGAACTGGGCTAACGGGATCAACTCGACAGTGAGTGTTTTGGACTTCCCAGAACAGCCCTCAGTCACGTCATCGATTAGGTTGACCTTTGACAGCAGGGCATGCCAGAGGCCTTCTAGGCAGACTTTGCAGAAGTTGGAAGTCGTGACGAGTCGCATGAGACAGTCCTCGTTTGTTGGGCGATAGGACGTCTTGTTCGTGGCGGAGTAACTGTAGGAACGGGGAGCCATTAATCTTGACTCTTTAAGCATAATTATGGAGAACGGACGTGGGGAAAACACCATAGTAATTCGGTGCCGCAATGAACCTGCAATGAGTGTGAGAAAACATCTTTTTTCTGATGAGAAGGGGACCAACGCACTCATTCTCATCACCGAATTCCAAGATTTCCACGTTGCACAACTGAGCTATACCTTCCCTGTCCGCGTTGAGGAGTGTGAACTTGACCTCATGCGTACCGCCAGCCAAAGCATCGTCTTGGTAGACGTCATAATGCCATCGATCTACGCCCAGTCCTTCTTTGGGAACCCAACCTAGGTCAATACCATCCAATTCCACCGTGAGGTCGGAGCTCTCCAAAAGGCCCGAGAGCGAAAATCGGACGAGGTGGCGCGAAAACGTTCCGGATGAAACGAACTCGGTTGTCCAGGGCTTTGATGTGTTGAGCATAGACCAAGCGTAGTCTTGAAGCGGCATGACGGATCGTTCAACGCGAGGAGGTTGGCCGTCCTCTGGTGGGTTCGTAAGCCAATGAGCCCATGGAACGGGTTCGCTCAAGTCGTGATATGCATCGACGCCGCGGTAGACCTCACCTCCATCATACTCCTCCCCAACAAGGATGATGGAGTGCCCAAGTTCGTGGCGTAGGATCGAGGGTCCGTTGACTATCGATGACGTGATTACTCTGTAGGAAGATAAGCTTTCTTGCGTAGATACTTATGGCCACTTCGTACTGACGTGTATCTGCCACCAAGACCTATCGCGGATACATTAGATTTAGGATGCTAGGCCAGCCATCAGTTTCTCACCCCCGTACAGTGGATCATTGCCTTGGACCTTAAATCGGTAAAAGGTTCCCTGACATGGGAAATTTTGTTCCTTACCTAGCAAAATGGGAAAATCACATTGATCTCCCATGGAGGAGCACGCAGCTCCCGCCACTTCTGGTTTTGCATAATAGACCCCGCGAAGTTCTGTTCCAGGGCGATAGAGGCCGTACGTGGTACTGCGCATTGATTAGTGCATCGTAAGTGAGAGACGATTGTTTTAAGCTTGCTTCTTAGGCTTTCCACCTACACCAACACCGCTCTGAGAAGTACGTTAAAGGCAACGTAATGAATGAGCTTGGAATACAGTCACTCACTTCTTGACTGGGTGTGAATGCGGCCCAGAAATTGAGTATTGGCTGGACTGTATTGAATGTTTGGTTTTTGGAGACGTCCTCCGCTAGTCGCATAGCGTCCACGATGAATTTTTCGCGCTCCTCGAGAATGTCTATGGGAGGAGTTTTATTAGATAAAATCACACCAGAGACGAACGCTCACAGCCATCGGAGAAGAAAACCAAGTCAACTCGGTTACTGCTGGGCCCTGAGATGATAAGCGGCTCGATTTCAAGTGGAGGGGGTTCGACACCACTGTAATCGAGTGTTTCTTGATCTGGGTACCAGTACGGGATGTGGTATTCTTCATTGAATTGGCGAACACATTTACCCAAGTGGCTAGGGACAGATAGGTGGTCATTGAGAGACTCAGAATGGTGATGCGCCTTGGCGCCGCAGATTAGAGCCAGAGCCAGAGCCAGGAAGGTAAACAACATTGTCGCCCTGGAGATGCTTGAGTTATATTTAATGATTAGATCTGAGAGATATAAAACTGTCTCTAGCAATAGGACACAATGAAAACGATAGATTTGGAGACGAATGACTGCTTTTTGATAAGTAGTTCGTGGCAGGGTCTTTTGGTACTCACCGATTGTAAGAATACCTAGCAGGCCCAAGGACTTTTTGGATCCTAATAATTCGAATCCAAAAATACAAGCGAATGAAGCGACTTCACCTGACTGAGGTTGAAGCTTGAAGTGTCGAAGGTTGGTCGAAGTTCCTGTTGAGATTAACTTCTCGACTTCGTGAGAAAATGGACGTGCGGGGCGGCCGGGCCGATGATTCCAACACAGCCACGATCATCTACGGCAAGCGCTAGATCTACCACTGCTATGTGTACAGATTCTACACAGCACTACTAACAGACATATGTGCCAATTATATGACCGTTTGTCACTCTGAGTCATCTTACATAGAGCCGTTGACTCTGGTCTATGGCCCCGGGGCCCCCAGGTGAAATGTATAGCTTCCAACCCTTTTCCCGAATATAACGTTGCTGTGCGTCAATGAGAGTTTGGACTCGTGTGCTTCAAGTTCACTATTCAATGTGTTCAATGTTCCCTTTGTCTTTTTTTTTAATTGTCATAGCAACCCTGCCTCTCCCGATGTGACAGATGATTTCAAAAGGTGTCGAGCATTCCGAAATTTCGAAGGCCCAGCTCTCATGCATCATTCTACAAATCAATGTTTTTCCATGGATTGAATCATATACCGCATATGATTATTATCCGGTTGAACCTGCTGATTTTTTCATGTCAATAAATATAGCGATTTGAGGTCTAGTAGCGCTAGTGCGCGCAGCAAAAAAGCTATTATAGGTGACGTTAGGTCACGGTACCGGCGCTTTCTTGACTGGGAACTGGTCAGTGCTGGACGCGACACTCTCTCAGGAAGCGCGTTCCGGCTTCTGTTCTCTTTCTTTCGTCGTGACAGACGCCTTCTCTTTCCGTTCTGGCCGCTGAGGACGAAAGAGCTTTAACGACCTACTAATACGGACATGGCGACGCCTTCAAAGTCGACTGGCAGCTCGAAATCCCTCCATGATTATGTGCGTTCGGCCCCGATGTTCTTGTCGTTGTCCTCATCGTCAAGCTGTAGCAACTGGGAGACTCGCTGGGCAAGGGTGCCTTTGGTCAAGTCTACCGTATGTGTTGATTCTTCGACATCGAGATCCGGCTCATTCGTCGCAAAGGTGCACTCAACTGGGCCACTGGAGAAACCGTTGCTGTCAAGGAGATACAATTGAGCAATATACCAAAGAGTGAGCTGGGAGAAATCATGGTGCGTTCATTGTCTATTCCATCCATCCCTTCCCTTGACCTTTTGCCTTTGTACATAGTCCGAAATCGACCTTTTGAAGAACCTCAACGTGTGTGCAACATCCCCGCTACTGCTATACCCTGACTGTCCTCCAGCATGCGAATATCGTCAAGTACAAGGGTTTCGTAAAGACACGGGAGTATCTGTACATCATTCTTGAGTGCGCATTTCGATCTGCCCTTCCGATGCTCCTCTCATCAGTGGCATAGGTTCTGCGAGAACGGTTCACTGCACAATATTTCCAAGCGATTCGGAAAGTTTCCTGAGAACCTGGTATCCGTGTACATCTCCCAAGTACTGGAAGGCCTTGTCTATCTTCATGACCAGGGCGTCATACACAGAGACATAAAGGGCGCCAATATCCTCACGAACAAAGATGGGACTGTGAAACTTGCGGACTTTGGAGTGGCGAGTACGACTGCCAACGGTGCCTTGGATGATGCCGTCGTGGGGAGTCCTTACTGGAGTGCGTGTCATTTTCATCCTTGCGGGACTTACATTGACTTGAACAGTGGCGCCGGAGGTAATTGAACAGTCTGGTGCAACAACAGCGTCGGATATATGGTCTGTTGGCTGCCTCGTTATCGAACTCTTGGAAGGGAACCCGCCCTATTATACGCTTGAGCCAATGCCTGCATTGTTTCGCATCGTCCAGGATGATTGCCCTCCGATACCAGAGGGCGCGTCTCCCATTGTCAAAGACTTCCTATATCACTGCTTCCAGAAGGACTGCAACTTGCGAATATCGGCCAAGAAGCTTCTCAAGCATCCGTGGATGGTCTCAACGCGTAAACAAATGTCAAACGGAGAGGCGGCGACGAGAGCGGCAGATCGAAGACCGTTGAGCAACTACAACTATGATGAAGCAGTACTCAAGGTGCAAGAATGGAACGAGGCTTTGAAATGTCCGCCTTCACACTTCTCTCAACTGCTCATGGCTAACTAGCGGTTCTTTTAATGCAGCGCCCTCACGACCATCCAAGCACCCTCACCGAGGACCACGATCACGGCCACCTTCGCCCAGTCGCTCCCCTACCGACAATTTATTCAAGCCATCTTTACCCACGTCTACGTCTGCTGGCTCGGGCCCGTCAACGTCAGCCCCATCGGCATGGAAACTGGGATCTGCTCCCAAAACCAATGGAATAGGCTTAGTGGAAAAGATTCAACCTTTGGCGTTTATCCTGCAGCCACCAGAAGTACAGACTGACAACTGGGATGATGATTTCTTGGAAGGGATATCTTTCACCAAGTTGCAGGGTTCGTCACAGCATGTCCTCTGTCGTTTCCATATTAATAATTATCGCTTAGCCCTGGAGCGGACCCCGCCTGACGATGATAAAACTGAGACGGATGACAACGCGCAGACTATCCGGCCAAATCGAAGTCCTGGTACCAGTGCTATACCCTTGGCAAAGGCGCCCTCACCGGAAATGAAGCCCATAGTGGAAGACTATTCTGACCTGGCGGATGAGAATGAATTGGAGAATAAGGTCGCCAATTTCAAGGTGAACCCTCTATTGCTCCCGGATACCCTTTTGATGCTAACAAACGGCTTCTATGTCACAGATGAAGAACTCTGTCCGCAAAGGTCTCTTTCACCCAGACGACATCAAGGCCTTTGCGTTATCTAATTCCGTCCCTGCGCCACCAAAGTCCGCGCCAGAGTTAGCAAGGAGGACCTCACGTCCTTCTCTCAGTCCCATCAGGTTTCCATCTGCTCCCCTTCCGGGACCGCCTTCTGGCACTATGCGAAGCTCTCATTCACGGTCGTCGTCATTTGTTGGGACAATTGGGAGCAGTGGGGGGTCGTTTGGTCGCGCGGAGGCAAAGCGGGCTCAGAGTACGCCAGAGTTTGATAAGTATGCGGAGGGGGATGATGAAGATTATGAAGATGTCTTTGGGAAGCCAAATGGAAACAGTAAGTGAATTCATAGGTCACCACGAGTGCTTGAACTGATGGGTTGAGCAACAGCGCTGGAGCAACCCATGCAGGCATTACAACTTAATACAAGGCTATCGAATAAGTCATGGGTTCGTGCTTTATCGCGTGGCGTTGACCATTACCACTCATTTGTTGTTATTTAGTTAGGGGATGAGAACTCAGATGAAGAGGATCCATTCTCTGAGATTGATGAAGGTTTTGCGGAGGATGACCTGGAAGCAAACCTGCAGAGAGACAAATATGCTCGACTGTGCACCCAAGTCAATCAGCTTATCGATGAACTCACGCCTTCTGCGCCTGACTTCCAATTGCGGGACGCATGCGATCAGCTGGTTTGTTACGACAACTCCTTTGATACTACTGTTGTACTGACAATTGTATCAATACAGCTCGGAATAATGGCCGATACTCCGGAGATGCAAGTCCAGCTGGTGTCATCACATGGAATGCTTGCTATTTTGGAGGTTCTGGAGGGCAAGTGCTCAAGAGACGTTAACATGAAGTTGTTGCAAATTGTTAATCTGGTGGGTTAGGCATCTACATCAGCTGCTCGCAAGATGTTTACCGTATTGGTAGCTTGTTACTGCGGATTTGGGCTTCCTCGAGAGTTTCTGTTTAATAGGGTGAGTGGATTGGCTGGTTTTGGTGTTCCGTTCGTTCAAGTTATTCTAGTGGGATACCAGTCATGATGGGTACGCAACATATCAATTGTTTTCGCTGAAAAACTCATACCTGGCAGGTTTTACTTCCAAAAGGTACCCGTCTGAATGCCGGTTGGAGGCCTCTAATTTCATCCGACTTCTTTGTCACACGTCCGTTCTGACCCTTCAGATGTTCATCTCGTAGGTCGGAGACGCCGAAATTGTCGATTTTTGCTTATACCCTTATTTAGGTGCCGAGGTCTAAAGGTGCTCGTCGACCTACTTGACGAAGACTATGCGGAACAGACCGAACTGGTCGTCCACGCTCTTAATGGAATCGGAAGTGTGTTTGAGCTTCAGAGTCCCACAACGAAGAACGATTTCTGTCGAATGTTCATTCGAGAAGGACTTCTCGACCCTCTTTCATCGGCACTCCTCAACGTAATGGCTAACCGAGGAACGCCGTCAACGGATATGAAGATGAAGATTATACAAATTTTATTGGTATTTTCACAGGTTTCGCAGTCGGACATTCACGTTCGCAATGCGTTGGGTACGAGGAAGGTCATACGCCGTGAGTTCTGATGTCTTGAAAAGATGGACTCTGCCAAACGCTTTGCCCGACAGGACTTTTACGTGCATGCGAGCTGTTGGAGCCAGAATGTCTCGTGTTGATGTTGAAAGCTGTGAAACATCTCTCGATGAACTCGACACTCCTGGACGTATTACAGAATGCCAACGCTATTGAGATCCTCGTTCGCATTTTGGATGAACAATCGTCAGGTCCTCACAGTACAGTATGTGTCTTCGTTACAACTATGATATCATTTACTTACCTTCAACGCAGGAAATGTCCAATCATATCTTTCAGACATGCTTTAACCTTTGCCGCCTCAACAAATCGCGTCAAGAGGAAGCGGCACAAGCTGGAATTATCCCTTGCCTCAAACGAGTCATAGAGACGAGTTCGCCGTTGAAGCAGTTTGCTTTGCCCATTCTGTGTGATCTGGCTAGCGCAGGGAAGAGTTGTCGGACATACTTGTGGCAGCAAGATGGTCCTAGGATGTACTTGAAGCTACTCGAAGATCCTTATTTCCAGGTTAGCGCCTTGGAATCTATCTTGTCTTGGTAGGGCGTACATATGTTCGAAGGCTTATCGGGCTGACTTTACACCCGCAACAGGTTACAAGATGAAACTGCACGAGTCGAAGACGAGCTCATGAAACCGGACTCTATAAGCTCCTTACTCCAATGCTTTGTTTCGGCCAAGGCAAATTCGTTCGAGAATCTCCTTGATCCCTTCTTGAAGATGACACGTCTCTCTACGCCTATCACCATCGCCATGACCAAGTCATCAGCCTTCTTCAAGCGGATCATCGACCGGCTAGCACACAACACGAAAGCTGTCGTGCGGCTGAACCTCCTCCGTATTTTGCGAACAGTCTGTGAGGTACACCCCAATCGTGCGGTTCTCGTCGAAAGGTATGGGCTCCTGGGTATCGTGGAGAACCTGAGCCAAAGCGGCGGAGATGGTGCGGTGCTCGTTCGAGAATTGGCGAGGGAGATCGTACCTGTTCTGAAGCCCGGGCTAAAGCCCGTGGCGAGAGGCACTGGGTCCGAGTCTCCGAGGACAGTCGCTCCGAAGAAGACGAGAAGGACGGCGTCTGAGACTTCGGCGACTGTGTATGGGCAGGAGAGTACTGCGAGATTTGGTGTGCCGCGTCCGAGTACGAAGAAGTCGACTCGAGATCGGATGAGGTTGAATGAGATCCCGTGGCAGACAGACAGCGGCTCTGGGAGTCAGCTTTGATTTGTATAACACTCCTTTTTCTCTCTCTCTCTATCCCTCTGCTATATCGTCGCATAGTTTTCGTTCTTTATTTGGGTATCTGCATCGTATAAGTACTTGACCTCTCATTAGCATTTTTACTGAACACTCTCATTGCATATGGTATAGATATCATTATCAGATAGTCTAATACTGTGGAAGATGTAAGTTATGGATGAGACGGAAAAGAGTGGTGTGCTTACCAGCTAGCTTCCTTTTTTGCGTCCGAAGACGACAACTAGCAGAAAAAGGTTAATTGCGAGCGCAACGAACCATGCTGAAGTCACAACGATTAAATGCACTGATCAGTAAGAGTTGTAAAGCAGTATAACCGAGAGCCTTACCGTTGAGCTTCCAATCCAAATGCTCTGAAGGAACGGAACCAAGCTCCCGAAGCGGTCTTCACTTCCTCATAATGAGGATTGATTCTGCGAGACCATAGTCAATAGACCAGAGTGTCTGGAAGGCGAATGACGAATTCGGCCGTACCGTACACCGTACCGACAAGGCCGTCTAGCAAGATTGGGTACGGTGGACATCCCAAGGCTGCAGCATGCTTCACGTGCAGATGACTCAGAGCAATTGCGTTGGTATACTACTAGTATACCAACGTCATCTTCTTACCCTCGTATCCCTTCTCTTTTCGCGGACATCGAAGAAGGTGACATACTCTCTCTGGCTTAGATTCCAAGTTGTCGATAATATGTTTGTTGTATATAAAGTTAGTCTAATACTGTGGAAGATGTAAGTTACGGGTGAGACGGAAAAGGGTGGTGTGCTTACCAGCTAGTTTCCTTTACTGTCGGACGGTACGAATGAATGGTATCTGGAATCCTGATACCAATGCCCTAGCACGGTCCTGCGCTCCAACTCCCTGAGCGTTGGTGATGAAGTGGATGTGCATTCCGTATTGCCTTGGGTAGGCTTCCTGGTTCACTTCAATTTGAGGGAAGAAGCCCATAGCTTCAGGCGGCAGACCCATGGACACGACGCCAGATACAGAGCTGGGTTTGTTTAGATTGGACCCGGCGATGGGGAGGGCAAGGCCGTCGAACTCTCGAAGACGAGGGAGAACGAACTCCACGAGGGTGCCGATGAAGTCGTACATGTTTTGGCCCTTCATTGTGACCTTGGCGCCGATGGGAATCCCGGGCCTTAGCCAGCCACCGACTTGTTTCTTTCCCTTGACGATTTGCACGCCTTCCATGGTATGTTTTCCTCCACCACCGTTTTCCGTCTCTCCTGATAGTGCCCGGAGAGCCATGACCACACCCAGAACCTCGCTCTTGCTCATCACCGCCTGTTTTACCATAGTGTGTATCTGGATCTTCTCCAGCTTCGTGACGTTTTCAGGCGACGAGGGGGGCGGGGGCTGTCGTCCTAGATGAGACCCGCCGACTGGGGGATTTTTCCGGTATTTGGAGTAAGGATCCTCTGGGTCGAATTTGAGTCTGATTTGCCGGGGAGGTGGGCGAGGACCGCGTTCGTGGACGTAGGTCATGTACATGACGTCGTCTTGGAGGGTGTTGTAGTAGTGGTCTTCGAACCGGCATGGGGAGAATTGGCGGGTTATGATGGTCGTAGGTGGGATGGGTAGTCGCGTTCGTTTGTCTCGAGGGAGATTCTTTTTTGGGGTGGGGACGAGGCCGAAACGCGCTAGGGAGGTTGCTTTGGTGTATTTTGTGACGGCCTCTATGGCGGGTTTGGCGGTCGTGGTGGCCATCTGGATTTTGGTGAGTGAAAGGATGTCGTACAGAAATAATGCGTACCCTTAAAACTTTGGTTTTTGGACGAAGCCCAAGGATGACGGCAATAGAAATAGAATATTTTTAAGGCCTCTTTGGGCCGACAGACCGGGATTTCATGCCGAGATGCCGGCACATCCGGTATACGAGGAAATCTCAAAACCGCTCTCGCTCATTTGTGTACCTTTGGCAAAGAAATCCTCACGGCTCACTAACTACAACTGCCGGTAAGCTGCGACGCGTTCAGTCTACTACATATCGTCATTGACATACATTCCTCTTTTATCCAGAGTTTCGCTTCATTGCACATGAACTTGACGCGCCTTTGTTGAACCATCATTGCATCGCCCCTGCATGCCATACCGACATCTATTCCTCCCATGATACCTCCGAGGCTCAGTCGGGGAACTCCAGAGACGCCTCGACGTAGGAAAATGCCCTCATCAACCCATATTCAAGGTGTGAAGAGTGGGCAGCCTCGTTGTCTCGAGGTGGACCATCTACGGCTCAACCTCGTCCAAAAACTTGACTTGAAGTATACTCCCGATAACTGGCAGCTTCACCTGATCCAACGGATAATTCAAGGCTAGGTGTTAGATTGCACCCCCACTTTTTCACACTCTATCAAGTTGGAATGAACATATTAACAAATTTATGAGGTCAAAAAGGCCGCATCCTTGCTGTCTCTTCGTACAAAAAGGAAAGAATCGGGGACCCGGCAACTTCCGCTACTGGACTTATAAAGCAGGCTTTCACTCCCGTTCGCTGAGACATCTCCTCTGGCTTCTTTCGTTACTCATATGTCGACCAAAAGCTTCCCAATACTGTACAAATCTCAGAAGCGGATGGTCATCTTACTTCAAGCTGGAATCCAACCCAACAAAGGTATACCATCCCTCGGGTTTTACAAGTGGTTCAATACAGGCAATTTTTCCGTTGCAATCTGGTCTCCAGAGGATGAGGACATGCTTTTGACACAGCTCTGGGAGGATTGGGTTTGTGGAGGCCATCATGTAGGCTTTCATCGCTACAAACACCGCTCACAGTTTGGCACACCGGATCTTTGGTCTCGGAAGGCTATTGGTACGACAATGTGGCCTTACAATGATATTGTTCATGAGGGTACTTGAGTCTGATTCGTCTGTCTCATCTTGATTCTTATCTTGTATAAAGGCACTCGTATCACACACCGAGGCCGTCCGTACCGTGGCACGACGTGGCATATCATATATTCAGATCATCAAAACTTTGTGGAAGAACTCTCTCGTACCATCACCACCAATGACCCTCCTAGTCCTGGCCCTTACATCCCCCTTGAACTGACTGACAAGGACATACATGAAGCAGACCGTCGTTGGATTCATGGCGTGCCGATCTTTGGTACATGGCATCTAGCTTCAGATTTCCATATTCATGACACTTGTGAAAACAGGAAAATCGTGGTCTGGCAAGCGTGGTTTGAGCACGGACTGGTCCGGGGACACTATCGGTTTTTTCTCCATACCTTCAGGAAGGGGACGCTCAAATGGTGACTCGCCACTCGATTCGGAGAGTGTCATCAATTTCCCACAGTATGTTGCAATGTATCGGTCTCGAAACCCGCAATCATGATATTTCAGCGATGTCACTTGTTCAAAGAGGGATGTCAGTATGCCTCAACATTTGCGGTAGGCTCCCCCATTTTCTCCAGCTATACACTCTGATGCTTGTCAGGGATGTGATAAAGCAGGGAGCACGACAATGGTATTTGTTTACCCCTAAATTTAATGACCGAATGGAATCGAACACTCTCGTAGGGACGACCCGGATCAACACTCACCATACTATTTTGAAGAGTCGCTGACCCTTTAGCCAACGATGGTCGATTTTCTCGTCCCAGACTTGGTAAAGGTTCTCATCCATGTGCAGCCGTCAACAATTCCTGGCTCGTGGATTGTGCAGGAGCATGAGACAGGAAAATGGGGCCTTGTTTCTAGTAAGTATTGACTGAGATAATTTGCGGTTTTAATCAGTAATTTGGATAATTAGTGAATGCGGTTCGACGTGTTGGGCTGACTCATCCTGCAGATGAATTGTAGTTTTCCTCGGTGTGGAGTTTGATTTTGGACAAAGGCAAGGATGCCGGCGGTGGGAAGGAAGGAGCCGTCGACTTCCGAAACAAATAGATGCAAGTTGCTACACTGCCACATATCGCAACTACTTGTATTATGCCCTCGCATTACTTTATATACAACAAACATATAATCAACAACTTGGAATCTAAGCCGGAGAGAGTATGTCACTTTCTTCAATGTCCGCGAAAAGAGAAGGGATACGAGGGTAAGAAGATGAGAATGTGCGGGAAATGCCAGTACATACGATATTGTGTGCGTTGCGTCTCACTGGCAATTTGGACGCGTATTTACTTACCCTTGGTAGAGCGAGGCATGTCAGAAATCCGATTGGCGTCGACACAGAGAGTATTGTCGCGAAAAGCTGCGCTTCATTGATGGGAGCGCCTGGGTTGAGGTATGTGCGAAATCCACTCTGAGTATTTCTCAGACAACGAAAGACATACAGGAACGTCGATGGATATTTGAATGGGCGACTTTGGAAGCCCTTCGCATACACACCACCGACGACCTCCTTCATAGTTTTCTGCAGCTCGATGTGATGTACGGCGACTTGACCAGGCTTGGTGGACGTCCGGAACAGACTATTTTCTTATCCAAGGCATCCGTTACTCCGTTTTCTGAAGCGCCGTGGCTTACGAATATGGAAGTTGATTTTAAGGAGGCTCAGGAAATTAGGGATAACGGAGGAACGGGACGAGCTTTTGCGTTTGTCTGTTTTCGGTGGGAGCGCGATGGGCGTATGATGGCGTTTCCTTTGAGAATTGACTTGACTGCGTTGCCGACGCCTGGGTATCAGCATATCTGTGCTTGGAAGCCTATTCTTTATGGTGTTGTCCGCGAACAGATTTCGATGGATGAACTGGCCCAGGATATACTGCAAGCGGGAAGTACTACATCTTCGATGAATCTGAATGACATGGATTTTGAAGATATTATCGACGACATGGGGATGCTTTCGATGGTAAGTAGATGTGCTTGCTCTGTGTTTCGTTTCTGACAAGTTTTGTAGGATGCGTAGATACAATGGACTAAGCCTGCTTATTCTATGGTAGGAACGCGGCCTTTTGAAAATATCCTTGATTGATTCGTATATGGACCAGCACTACGTAGCCAAACTGGCATTCACACCTCTAACACATTGGAAGGCTGGCCATATCAAAACAATATGTACTATATTTTCTTGGATGGATTCGGATGATATGAATTTTGAAGATATTATCAATGATATGGAGATGTTCTCGATGGTAAGCAGATATGCTTGCTCTGTCTTGTGTTTCTGACAAGTCCTGTAGAATGCGTAGATACGATGGACTATATTTACTTCGCGGTAAGAATGCATCCTTTCGAAAAATACCCTCGATTAATTCTGATATGTTGCTAGTACGGTAGCCAAACTTGCATCCTCACTCAGTCTAACACACTGAAAAACTTGTCATATCAAAACAATGCACTATATTTTCTTGCGATATTATCAACGCTTCGACGACCATGGAACAACTTCTCGACATCTGCTATCATAAAGCCAGCGAGTTCAATGATATCCTATAAAGCATGCACGCTGATTTGCAGCGAACTCATGCACCGGTCACGAGGCTGGCATCCGAGGCTTCTCAGCTTCTTGGCTGGTGCGACAGCTCGCCTCTTTTGTCCGCCCACGGCTAGCAGCTAGTCAACGTCATAATAGATTTTTGGAAGGGTACACAGAAGACTGCATCCGGTCATAGGAGGATGCGAGCAACAGTCGATACCACGCACGTATCTGGTTGGATACATGACGTGACTTCTTACCACCATGTCCCATCGCCTTGTACTGCTTCTCTTTGCTGCCTTGCGTGTATCAGCTCTATGGCCTTTACCACAAAGCCTCTCAACGGGATCAACACACCTCCGGCTCTCTCCTTCATTTGATATCGCGCTCTCGGGCATCGACTCTCCACCCGCAGACCTCACTGATGCGATATCGCGTACTAAACAGTATCTGTACAACGATAAGCTCCAGCGCCTGGTGGTAGGACGTGGGGCGAACGACGCGGGTGTCATTGCTAGTGCTGCGAGTCTCGAGAGGCTCACACTTGTCTTCCAAGGAAGGGAAGTGGCGAGTATCTCGAAGGAGGCGGTAGCGGAGCTGGGGACCCGCATGGAGAGTTATACTCTCGCTATCCCTGCTGATGGGTCAGACGCTACCGTCACTGCCAACTCGACACTGGGTTTGTTCAGAGGTCTGACGACGTTTAGCCAACTGTGGTATGACTGGGAAGACAGGGTGTATACTCCCGAAGCACCGGTGGATATTGTCGATGCTCCAGCTTATGTATGACGTAAAATTTTCACGCCTTTGAATCTTCTTTTCAAACATGCATCCCAGCCGTACCGTGGGTTAATGCTTGACACAGCAAGAAATTTGTACGCGGTCCTCATTCTCTGAAAGTCTTTTCTACTGACTCCAATTATCAGCTTCCCTGTCTCCGACCTCAAACGTACGCTAGATGCCATGAGTTGGGTCAAGATGAGCACGTTTCATTGGCACGTAACAGACAGCCAGAGTTTCCCTCTTCAAGTTGCGAAATTCCCTGGCCTGTCCGCCAAAGGCGCCTACTCTTCTTCGATGACTTACTCTACTGCTGATATTGAGGATATCGTCGCGTATGCGGCTTCTGTACGTAATTTCTCGTGCCCCAGTGACGCTAATTGAATCATAGCTACCTAGCGCGGTATCGACGTTTTGGTCGAGGTTGATACTCCAGGGCATTCGGGCATTATTGCAGAAGCGTATCCTGATCACATTGCTTGTTCCGGGGCCACTCCGTGGCAGGACTACGCAGGTGGTGCGTCTTTTAGCTTTCTGAGCTTTCCCAGACCACTGATTGAATGGTGATCAAAGAACCCCCCGCTGGACAGCTCCGCGTCGCGTCTAGTGATACTGTGAATTTCACGGCTTCCCTGGTTTCGGCGATATCGTCCATGTTCCCTAGCAAGTATTTCTCGACTGGGGGGGATGAGATCAATTTCAATTGTTATGACCAGGATGAGGTGACTCAAGCGGATCTGGCGGCGAGAGGGATCACGATTACGCAGGCTTTGGGATTGTTCACTGAGGCCACGCATGGTGTTCTGCGTGCGGCGGGGAAGACGCCGGTTGTGTGGGAGGAGATGTTGCTTGATTATAATATTACGACTCTTGGGAACGACACGGTTGTGATGGTGTGGCTCTCGTCTGAGCATGCAGCAGCTGTTGCGGAAAGAGGGTTCAAGTTCGTTCATGCGGCGTCGGATTACTTTTATCTTGATTGTGGTGCTGGGGAGATGCTCGGGAATACTGTGGATCAGAATAGTTGGTGTGATCCGTTCAAGACGTGGCAAAAGGTATCATTATCTGACCCTATTTATGCTTACCGTGACTTACCCCTCCCTTCAGGCATACTCATTCGACCCCACAGCGAACCTGACGGAGAAGCAAAGCCGGTTAGTGCTGGGCGGCCAGCAGCTCCTTTGGACGGAGCAGTCTTCTCCATCGAATCTGGATCCGATCGTGTGGCCTAGGGCTGCTGCTTCGGCGGAGGTGTTTTGGAGTGGAGGGGGAGGGAATGAGACTGAGGCACTTGCGAGGCTTCATGATGTTGGGTTCCGGTTTAGGCAGAGGGGTGTTGGGGCGATTGTTCTCCAGCCGTTATGGTGTGCTCTGAGGCCTGGTCTTTGTAATGCTTAGGATTCCTTTTTTTGATGCCTAGGACGAGTGTTTGGTTACAGCCGTTTTTACTGCTGGCGTAAGACTTCGTTGTCTATTTTCTATTAGTGCACACTGCGCTTCAATAATCGTAGCGGTAGGAAGACGACGAATAAGATGTTCCTTATGGTCGCTACTATAGTCGACGTCGTTGAGGATGAAAGCCTCTGGGCTGACGGTGGACATGGCGAGAACTTTGGCGTAGAACTCAAAACTCTGGCGTACAAGCACTTCCAAGCAACAGCATCGGGAAGAGTGTCGGTATGTTCGCCAATGAAGAAGCGCGCGTACAGACAAGACTGGAGTTGGCTCTCGCATTCATCGAATACGAAGGCTTCACCTGGTTCTGGTTAGGACCTACTCCATACCTATTTATAGTCCTCAATGTTCCCCCGCGCGGCAGGGAAGGAAACGCCATCTCAAGGGGGAGGTACCGCTGGCGGCCGTTGCTGAGCTATTGAGTATGACCGAGGTTGATGAAAATGACAGATTGAGGTATTTAGTGTATTGAAGAGTACCGGGAAATTGATCAATCTGTCATATGCATCATTTTACCTTTATGTACGTTGAGCTCACTCAATGGTCTTTTTCGCAGACCATGTCAACGGGAGAAAAGTTTACCGATAGCGCCAGGATCCTCTGCGGCGGTATCCGGACGCTGCATTCCTCAGCCATACGACTCGAATATTCAGAATGACGCGACTTTGTGCTGGAGCCTATAGCCACGGCGGTGATTGTAAGTCTGGAAGCAGCGGGCAATTTTGGGCTGTGCCAAAATGTGTTCCTGTTTTCCCCGGAGAGCGTTACCACCTCTTGTACCGGCGGTCCAGGCCTTGATAAGCGACCACCTTCGAGAATCGACCCCACATCGAAGCATTCGGGACTTGTTGGTTAAAATGCACGGCGTTGATCCGTGGTATGTTTTCAGCGCTTAGGCGGTGGTTAGGCCTGTCGAGCCTCGTCTGGAAGCTCGCCGTACCCATCCGACCATCACTTGCATCAGATTTGCAAGGGTGTCTTGAGGTATATAAACGAATATTTACCTGACCATCTGCTCTCCAGCCACCTTTGGTTTATTCGCCTGAACTCACTCTCTGCTCTGCGCTCTTCAGTTATTCTTAATTAACGTTAACGTTAAATTCTCATCGACATCATGTACTACACATACTTGGCTCGCCGAAAGGTTCGTCTCCCGCTTTATGTGAGCGTTTTACGTTTATACTGATGGTCTTTTGTTGTTCCAGTCCCTTGCTATTTGGGTTGGTCTGCAGACGAGCCTTGCTAGTTTCGTATATTATCGGTACCGGACACCTAAAAGGTTCGTTTCCACGTCGGTGCTAGCGTTTCGAGTTACTGATACCGTATTGCAGTCTGACCGACTCTTCCCTTTCATCAAGATTGGAGCAGCTTAAAGCTGTACCCATGACGCACTAATCTGCACGTCGACATCATCGGGATGTTTTAATCCTTACTATCACTTTGACTCCGGGAGATCAATATGACTCGGGAGGTATGACAAGAATGGACTAATTTATTTTATTGTACTTGCAATGGTGTATATACGTATGAATACGTACGTTTAGGATGGCGGATAATTCGAAAGCATAACGAAAGTTTCGAAAACTTGGCATGAAGCTCCCATAATAGGAAGGCGATGTACTGATGGCGCTTCGACGCCTACCACCACTATCTCATGCTCAGCTGCCATTAGTAGCACTTTCGTTATGGCACCCAAACGACGAATAGTCGTTCTAATCTCCGGCTCAGGTACTCTAAATTCTGATGTTGCACTAATATCGTGTCTGAGCTAAAAATCCCAACGCAGGTACAAATCTGCAAGCTCTCATCGACGCTCAGAACACCCCGGCCCTCCCAAACGTGGAAATCTGTCTCGTCTTATCGAACCGAAAAGCGGCATATGGTCTCACCAGAGCAGCACAAGCCAACCCACCCATACGAACGGCATATCTGGCTCTCCAAACCTTCCTCAAGACTAACCCAGGCAAGACACGGACCGACTACGACATCGAAATCGCAAAAATCGTCCTTCAAGAAAAGCCTGACCTCGTTGTGTTAGCAGGGTGGATGCACGTTCTCGGGGAAGGGTTTTTGGACTTGGTGTATACGGACGAGAGGTCGATTCCGGTGATCAACCTCCATCCTGCGCTTCCTGGAGAATTCGACGGCGCCAATGCTATTGAGAGAGCGTATGAGGCGTTTCAAAAGGGAGAGATTGCTCGTTCTGGGGCTATGGTGCATCGGATAGTCAAGCAGGTCGATCGGGGAGAGCCAATTGTCGTCCGGGAGATACCTTTTGAGGAGGGTGAGGCGATAGAGACGTATGAGGAGCGACTGCACAGGGTCGAGTGGGAGATCATCGTGATGGGCGCGAAGATGGTTCTGGATGAAGTAGAAGCAACTTGTGAGTTCAGTCTTTTCGTTGCTTTGATATGTGTACTAATAGTCTGGCAGAACGTTATCAATGTATACAATATTATACAAAATCTGTATGAAACGCCTCGTAGCCGACCGTCTCGGCCATATAGACGAAAGGTCGTACTTGAGCCAAGCAAACCCATGTCCCAGACTCAGACCAAACGTTTACACAGAAATTTATCGTTACGCGCAACACCGCTCTCAATTGATGACCGCGTCCTTTTGTTAACAACATTTCGAGAACGTCTCCGGTCTCAGGACGTTGACGACTACTATGACCCTTCGCTTCTCTGGATAGCGTGCGCGCGCACTTCTGTTTGTTTCATGAATAAATAGTTCTGGTCTGATTATCGTTTCCACTTAGGACTACTACGGACATGGACATCGATCGGATCTATTGAGGGGAATGATTGAAGGAATTGCAGAGCCTAATATGTGTCCGGAGGGTGGAAAGTATAATGTCTTTCGTGTGCTTGTAGGATTTCCGGAGCAGTTTGAAGATGCTCACAGGAATGACGATGATGAAGATGGACATCCTCTCGCCACCTTGAGGATGGATCGGCTAAAGCGTCCGTCGCAATCGACGAACCCCAAGCAGTTCATCGAGACAATGGTGGAATGGTTGAAGAAAGATACTTTGTCTCCGCCTAGTATTTATTAGAGCAAATCATTAAAACGTATTTGAAAATTCGACTCGAAAGTATATCCTTGGCGTGCCGTAAGAATACGAGTAAACTGCTGCGCACTGTCTGTTCACGTTCATCTTGTCTGATCCCACAACTTGCTAAGAATCTTAGCATCGTCTGTGAAGGTGCCAGCGTGGTAAAAAGTGACATCCCCCTAATGCTTCAGCACCTTGGAGGTGAAGGCCGGATTTGGACATGTCATAATCCCGAGCACCTTCCGGCGTTCTCCGTTCCCTGCTTTCCTCTCACCACGTATCTGAGCGCTTGTCGCTGTGCTATTCGCTATGCCTCGCTTCACTCTACTCTAAGGGCTTGCTCGACGACCCCAGTTCCTATGATAACGACAGTTCAAGCAAATAGCGGAAGTAAATCACATTTAAATGGCACCCTTTTCTGCCCGCCCATCGCGACTTATGTCGCGTTCCGTCCAGATAATTCTGGGAAGAGATATAGTCGAGTCGCCGGAACACACAGACTCGGACAACAGCGACAGTGACAGCGATAGCGACGGTGCTCGTTCTGACGGGACAATTGAGGACATCGACTCCTATCCGAGATGGGGACTGGGTCACCCGCTGCAGCGCATGGTTCGCATAGAAAGCAGCGACGACGATGCGAGCTCGTATTACAGGAGTGGTTGGTCGTCGTGTGATTCAGAGTCGGACTCGTCCACTTCGACTAGCTCGTCTGTCGTCTACGATATGTACGTCGTGTGTCGTATTCTTTGCTATTTGAGGGTGTTTATTTTGTAACTGCGCAGCGACTACGAGAGCCTTATCGATGACCTGCTATTGAAGGATCCTGGCCTTTACGAAACCAACAGTCTCGTGCGTGGTATACATGTTACTGCAATATGGCACTGACACCCCTTTAATGCCGCTTCTGTATAGGTCATGGTGGAACCATCTACTCCTACATCCAATGACACCCTTATGATAAAATCGTTGTCGCGAACTTCTCCAGAGCTCTTCCTTCTTCTGGAATTTAATCATCCAGAGTATCGCACGGATCCCTGGAATCCCTTTCCTCACATCCTTTGCGCCGTAGAACGCGACGAGAAAGTGTTCCTATGCTTGCAGCGGTTGTTCCAATTCGACAAACCTCCGTTTCGAAATGTGGCCAACTACCTGGACTTTTTCAGGCAGTCACTAGAGGTGAGTGTTAACAGCCGAGCTTGATGAACCAACATTCACATGGTCGGCAGGGCCTCACGTTTCTTCATGAACATTACATATCTGAACTGTCGTGCTTCAACCCTGCCTCGTTCATGGTAGACATTGGTGCTGGCACCTGTTCTCCTACGGTGGAGCACTTTGACCGCTCCAGATTACCTGTCAAATACTACTATGCCGACCTCTCCTCTGCCGTACAGGATACGGGCCACTTGAAGGCAACCTATATAAAAGATGTCAAGGAATGTGGAGCGATGATCGACCGGCTGCTCTTCAACGTATGTCTCCTGGAAGCGCGTATAATCTTTTCTCACGAATCCTATAGCTACCCAAGGTCGGACCCAAACTCAAATCTTTGGTCAATGCAATGACTTCCGGTGGATTCGGCGCTGATGATGCGAGGAAGCTATTTGAAGCGCTTTGCAAGTCCTTAGAATCATCCGTGTTCGACCTCCCAGTTCCACCGCGTGACTTGAGCACGCCTTTGAATGCGCCCTCGATGACACGTACACGATCGCACCCTATCACGAATAATTACGACGCTAGCACGGTAACGCTGGTTCCGCCACCCCAGATCACTAGATCTCAGTCAAACCCTAAGCCATTTTGATCTCTTCTTTCTTCTTTGGATATGTATCACGCACATTCCTACCCTATATTTCTATAGCGCGTTATTCTCTAGATCTACTGTTTGATTATTCTTATACCTGTGACGAGGACGAGGATTGGGCGCCAAAACGCGTACTCTGTTTGTGCGTAATATGATTTGCTTTTTACATCGAAACGTACTTCTTACGCAGGATCTGGAGCCACTAACATGAAGGTTCCTGCTATGGGGTTTCTAAGTCCAACTGCTTCACCAAATTCACTGATGTTGAAGGATGTGACAGGTGTATTAGCATCAACGAGAACCTGGTCGTTGAAATCTTGCGGCTGTTCGAACACCAGAAAAATATACCTTCAAGCGATGAGTATTCAGTCTCAGCAAATCCACTCTACATACCTATGAGCGTCCGAACCTGCGGGAGGCGTCGGCTGAAGCCAATTTGAAACCGCGGCCGTCGTATTCGTCAGGGGAGTGGGGCCTGCGATGGAGTGCTTCGACACGAAGTTCCCCCCGAGGAAGTGCCGAACTTGAGCAATGTTGGGATCCTGGGGAGTAGGAGCATCTGGGTCGACTGTCGCGATGACGAAGGGCCCGTTTCCGACATTACGCCCGACGAGGGCGAACGAGGGAGGACCGACGGTCGCTGCAAGGTATTTATTATCAAACGGTAGAAGAGGTATTCAGCCGGACACCGGTGACAAACCATTGCGGGGAAGCTGTACACCTGCCCTGAGGACGATCGCAGGACCTGTTGCTTGAGGCAGGGAGACTTCAAGAAGGAATGACGGATTGAATGGAAGGGCTATGTCTTGTGGGATCTGTGTAGCGTAAGGACGAGAATGTAGCATTTCAAGGGAGGGGAGAAATACCCACGTCGGCGGCATCGAACGCTTCTTTTACCCTTCCTAAGCTAGTATCTTGCGAGACTGCGATTTGAGTGAGGAGACCGAATAATAAAGCAATTGCGAAAAGCATGTTCAAAGGGTAGGAAATCGAGAACGAGCCGCTCCGCTTTAATAAGCAAGTGAAGCCATTGCGATCTCCGCTTCACATTTCTATGTAGAAGTGATGAGTAACCTACATGGGGACGATGATGAGCGAATGCTCACACTCTGCACTAATATAAGTAAGCCGGTGTGGGAAATGATCTTTTTTAAGATGTCCTGGTGCTGCGGTCCTCGTTTTCGGAGCCCGAGTATAGCTAAGTATTGAACATAGCGAAGGGCATGGTGTGGTTTAGGCGTCGGAAAAGATCAGTCCGCCAAGGAGGAGTTCAACATAGATTCCTCGTCTAGTTAACATGCGCAGTCCATGGACAACCGTGTCTTCACATTCGAGAGCCTTCTTCTTGCTTCCCGTGCTCAACCGCTTGTCAAGAGCCGGATCCCATATATCCACTCAGCACATGTAGTCGTCGTGGGACGCGGATGCCCGAATACATTTTTCTCCCGCACGGCGTGTACAGGCCAGGAATAGAGCTTTCCAAAGTCTCTCGGCACAAACGATGTCGGTGGATTCAGCGCGAGGAACAAACATTTGTCGTCGGAGATGTCATACTTCTTGGCGCCTTCTGTGGTACCGTCCCGTGTCGTAATTCTCGGAGATCGCATGGCGTACGTCTTCATTTCCAGGGAATCGTTTATCTCGTTTATTAGTTCAGCAATGGTAATGAAGAGGTGGGTCACTTTCCCAGAAACAGCATGGATGGAGTAACTGCAATGTATATAATCTCTTTTCCACATGGACGAGCTCACGCTCTAGAGCACTACAGGATCAGATTCCACCAAAAAGAATGTCCCAGCGATTGGGTCTCCGAGGCCCACGGCTTCACCGAACGCGCTGATATTCCAAGACCAGTATGGTGAAGTGGAGTTAACGAGCGTCTGGTCGTTGAAACCTTTAGGTTGCTTGAATACCAGGAAAATGTACCTTCGAAAGATAAGTAATGTAGTCTTTTCGAGTATGCGAAGAATATTACCGGTGTATGCCAGTGCCAACAGGAGGGGAAGGCTGAAGCCATTCCGAAACGGCGGCTGTCTTGTTAGATAAGACAGTACAAGTATCAGAGATATGTTCTGCCACGAAGTTCCCTCCCAGGAAATGGCGAATTTCGCTTCGCGATTGGACGGCGTCCGGATCGACTGCTGCTACAACAAATGGGCCTCTGTTGATATTCTGGCCAACGAGGGTGAATGAGGGTGGCCCGACGGTCGCTGAAGGGCGAGTAGAATCAGCGAAGCAATATCGAACGACCGAAGATTAATGGCACCGTTGCGGGGGAGCTCAACACCTGCCTTCAAGACGATTGAAGAGTTCGTTGCTTGAGGGAGCGAAACTTCGAGAAGGAAGGACGGATCGAACTTGAGATAGATGTCTTCCGGAATCTATGAAGTAAAAAGGATCAAAAAGTGGGTTATTTTCGGGAAGCCTGTCAACACTCACATCGGCATTGATAAAGGCTTGCGAAACTTCGGTAAGGTTGGTGTCTTGAGAGATTACCACTTGGGTGAAAAGATTGGAGTAAAGCAGCAGAGCCAAAGTGAGGAGCATGGTCGGAGATGGGAGTATTGGTCGAAAGGCGTTGCTTTCATAGCGCCTGTCCAGTGATTAGGACTATTATGGTTAGCTAGGCGACTGGCAATTAAACGGCTCCAAAATCGAAGGCGCTTCTCTCTAAGGTCAGGTGCAGATCCTACTCTATGCAAAAAAATCATCGTTACTATGGGTGGAGCATATTCTTTTTCATCGGTCGATGTAGCATGAACTTCTCAAGACATGTAAGGGCCACGACACTCGGTACGGCTGGATTCGAGAGAGAAAAGGGTGACGTCGATTAGTATGAGAAGCGAAGCGACCAGAACCGAAGGTCACCTGATTTTTCGTCTCCGAGTCGCTTACTGGTACGTTAGAATTAGCTCGAAAACCAGCCAGTCGTCAACCCCCGCAGCCGTCGACCCACAGTCCATGTATATCGAAGGTACTAGACTTAACAGCAATATACCGGGTTAGTCTTTGGGCCGCTGAAAGGGAATTATGGAGACGTAAGGAGGTTGAACTTTGTCCCCGACTCTGAGGATCTAGGAGTCTGAAGAAAGGATCAATACTTGTGGTTACATGTGTCCTGGACAACAGGCGAAGGTTCTTCATGCAAATCCCGTTGATTCTGAAAGCAGCCAAGAAGGTGCTTCTACACGGCAAGAACCCAAAATAAATCAACTGAATTTGCGTAGCCGCCCTCTTGTCACCGGCGATAAGGCCACGCCCTGCTGGCAGTCATGAGTCTCAGTCTTGTGTTAGCGGTCCTGGGCCAACTCCGGCGTGGTAAAGTTCTAGAAAGGGCGAAAGGGCGTCGTCGTGCTGGGTTCCACATCCAGAGTCAACATAGGCGAAAAATCGTGCTAGAGTACCCGGAAAAAGAGTGGCATAGTGCTAGGCAACCGTTTTTTAGGTGGCACTCTTCCACAAGGTGCATACGGCTCTCGGATGTCGCGTAGGCTTGGAATGAGGGACCAAGCAAGTGTCCCTGATGGGGTTGCCCGCAAAAAGAAGCGCCATCAATACGACCCTTTCTTGGTTCGAAACCGCGAGCATTCAAACTTCCGTCGTTACTCCCAACAAGTTGGCTTATACCTACTGCTCTTTTGCTTTGACACTACTTTTACATAAAGAAATCCCAGGATCCTAGCCTCGGGCCTTCTTCGTTACTTGCACTTCCTGGATCACTTCTCGCCTCCAATTGCTGCCTAACAATAGATGAAAGCTACTTTTGCGTCGTTGCGACAGAACCTCTCGATAATTCACCGATACGTCGTAAATGGATGTGATCCGTATTTTCGTATGTGCTCTCGTTTTGGCGCGTAATATTACCTAGTATGACTCTTTTCTTAGCATTTTGCTGAAATTCACTCATGTGAGCTCTCCCTCGGGGCATATTTTCGCTCCCCATCTGGGTTGCCTTCATTTCACCGACTCCCTGTCCCCATATGCTACATTATAGGAAATTGACGGCCCCTTGTTACTACCTTTACTTCATTTCTTACTTCATTGAACTTCTCGTACCTCGGGAGCAGCACTATAAAATGTGCCCGCAGCTATGTTGGAAGTTTTCACGTCTCTTGAAGACTTCTTCCCCTCTCTCCCATCCTCTCTCAGCTTGACCGTCCCCCAATAATGGGCTTCAAACACACTCTTTTCTTATGTATCGCGTGCTTTGCAGTGGTAACTGTCAATGCAACCGCTGTGATGCGCCGTCCCGACAAATACAAGGATTCTCCTTCCACCACCGGCAACCAAACGACTCCAGAGGCCCGCGACCTTGAGGAACGTAACAAAGGAAAGGCGTCTGTCGCGTACTTTACCAACTGGGGTATATACGGCGCCGATTTTCGTCAGTGTCCTGTCTTTGGCATATGCATTGCTCTAACACAACCAACAGAACCTCAAGATATTGTCACTGACACTTTGAGTCGTATGGGTGTTCCATTTTCTCTTTTTACAGTTGACGTATCGTAGCGTTTAGACATTCTCTACTCGTTTGCTGATGTAGACCCCTGGTCTGGAGTTATAAGGCTTACTGATTCGTGGGCTGATGAAGAGGTACACAAACTTTCTGTATCCGATTCTACAAAAGGATTAACACGTCTCTTTAGAAACATTACGACGGAGACAGCTGGACCGAAAGTGGGACGAATTTGTACGGCTGTCTCAAGCAGCTGTACCTCATCAAGCTTGCCAACCGGAAAATTAAAGTCCTCCTTTCCATTGGCGGCTGGACTTATTCTCAGGCCGGTCATTTCGCCTTCGTTACATCCGAATCCAGCCGGGCCACATTTGTCTCCAATGCCGTCACTCTCATCGAGGACTACGGTTTCGATGGAATGCAAGTCTCTTTTTCTATTCCGGCTCTCCCTGCATTAACCTAGGCCTTAGTGACCTTGATTTTGAATACCCATCCAATGCCGATGAAGGACAAGGTTTTGCCGACCTTATCACGGAACTTCGTACCGCTTTTGACAATCTTACCAACTCTAAAGGCGATAGCACTCCGTACCAGCTATCCGCAGCTGTGGCTGCTGGGTCCAATAACTATGCCAATCTCGTCGTACCCCAGATGAATGCTGCCCTGACATACTGGAATCTCATGTCCTACGACTATTCCGGTGAATGGTTGGACTACTCCGACAACCAAGCCAATCTTTACGGTGGTGAGCGCACAGGTGTCAACACCGATGCCGCTGTGCAACACTACATTTCGGCTGGCGCGGATGCCTGGAAGATCAACATGGGTATTCCTCTCTATGGACGTGCCTTCGAGAATACCGACGGTCTGGGAGCATCTTACAGTGGTGTACGCTTCCGAGACTATTTTCTGATTGCCGTTTGATTTTGACATCTATTTTCAGGTCGGCTCCGGAACCATCGAAGCTGGGGTGTATTCATACAATGTTCTTCCTAGTATGTGCCTATTTCTTGTATCTTCACATACCCGTTTGACGCTATTCACGCACAGTCGGCAATGCCCAAGTCTTCGAAAATACGGGTGATATCAGTAGCTACTCGTATGACTGGTCTTGCCGGGAGCTCGTCTCGTACGATACACCCAACATCGTCGCGCTCAAGGCAAAGTATATCAACGACTGTGGACTTGCTGGTTCTATGTTCTGGGAGGTAAGTTAATTTTGACGGGTTTATCGTAGAAGTCTAGGCTGACTCGACTTAGCTGTCAACCGATAAAGTCGGCTCCGACTCCCTTGTTGGCGCGGCCGCCGGTGTCCTGGGCACCCTTGACAAGACCAAGAATCACATCAGCTATCCTAATAGCAAGTGGGATAATATCAGAAGCAACATGGGCCAGTGGTAGACTTATGGCACTTATATTATCTTAATTATATACCGACCAGGCAGGATACCATATTTTACTTTCCTTCGTTAGAGACCCAACCGTATGGACTTTATAACAGCCGAATACGTATTGGGCACTTCATCCTCTGTTGTTGATCTTCGAGGGTGTGGTGGAATGTTTTCAGTATGTAGTTGACAGTTGCGTAGGACTTATTCTCGGTCGTCTGCTTTACAAAGCTGAAGCAACAAGTATTGTTCATTGATTGACACATTTGATAGAAACTTATCTTTCATCCTGTGATATTGAGCATGATCCACGTTTGACGTATTATGTCCACCGATGCTATTCCTTGTAGTCGGGTTCTCGGGTCATGACTTATAGCTTGAAGCTTCATCGACAGGACCGCAAATGCACGTAGCGCTCTACTAACCAGACGACGTGGTGCTTAGCAAGAATTAGTTTTATGCAAGGTAGCTCAGCGTGCAAACATTTCATAAATTCATAAAAAAGATCTTCTCATATGAAATGATGTTATAGTTTTCGCTCCAACTATACAAGTCAAGTCGTTCATTTTGAGGTCATAGCTGCAAGGTATTTTGCCACTTCCTTCTCAACATCATACAGATGAGTTGGATTCAACCACAGCATAACGCGAAGTGGCAGATGACCTGCGACGATAAAGTTAGACTCCAAAGACGAAACGAAGTGTGAGAAGAGCATACAAAGAATCCAGAGCACTAAATCCCTGACTACCGCCTTAAACCGACTAATCTCACGCTTCCCATCCGTCTGGCGTCTTTCCAATCTAAGGATCCTTCCCACACGGGGAATCCTCATCTCCTCGTATGCCTTGGCAACTTTGGGAAGTGACTCTGGGTCGGATAGGTAATGGCGGAGGAGCAGGCCAAGCATTTGAGCGTCTTCAAATGCCAGAGACGCGCCATGCCCAGAATAGGGTGAGGCCACATGAGCTGCATCGCCCACGAGAATGATCCTGGCAGAGCCCGTTGAAGGTCCCAGGGCCGTGCCATGAAGGGACGTCCAGTACGGTAAGGGTAGAATTTCATAGCGAGGTAAGACGAGCCATCTCGTGAAACGTGAATCCACGTCAGTGGGTTGCGACGCAGCGTCGATGATCTGACGGAATGCGCCGGTGTAAGGGGATCTCCACGAACCATGTTTCTGCATGAGGATGGCACGTAGGTCTTCGGAAGGCAGATCACGAGTTGGAGGCGTATCGGTCGCGTACGTAGACCAGAACATTACTTGCTGTTCGTCGACAGGGGTATCTGCAGGCAGAGAAAGAGCGTAACCAAAGAATCCATTGCGGCTGAATGTCATAGCCGCCTGGTCGGCTTTTATGCTCCTTTGGAGGGCGGGAGTGAGTGACGCGAAGGGTGCGAAACCGCCAATGCCGGTAAGGCCGCTAAATATACATTTAGGGAAAGTACGATAAATTATTCAAGGAAGAGACGTACTCGTATTGTGCTTGGTAGACCTCTTTGCCAAAGAGCGCCTGTCTGCATACACTCTTGACGCCATCAGCACCGATGACGAGGTCACATGTTTCTTCCGTGCCGTCTTTGAAGACAACTTGGGCAGCGTCTGCTCTCTCTTTCACCTCCACTACTTTTCTTCCCCACTTTGTTATGCCGGCCGGGATTCCCAGCAGCAGACCTTCGTGCACTGAGGCCCTAGGGAGCAAAATCCTATCATCTAGACCTCCAAGCTGGCCTAGCGTGGTTCCGTTCTGATTTCGGATAGCAAAGTAAGGGCAGATGTTGCCGCGTGCCCTCAGGTACAGTACGGAAGCTGGGGAGATGGCGTTGAGAGCACGAAGGCCGTTAGGGATGATGCCAATGCCGCCACCAATCCTGGACGTTGTTGTATTCGGACTTGGATAGGACTCGTAAACCTTGACAGAGACGTTCGAGGGAAGGTATGTCTGCAGAGCGTGGTAGGTAGCGAGGCCGCTAATACCACCGCCAACAATAATGACCTTCATCGTTGTATTGAAGTAGCAATAGTAGCGATGATAGCACCGGTAAGTGGTCTTTATCAAGGGAGTAGCCAGTATTTTCTGCCACACCGTTGTTGACAAACAACGCAACACCGTAGACACCGTAGAATCTATGCCACCGTGAACATCACATTGGTTTTCTGAACCAAGCATAGCCCTGAGTTGCATAACTTTGTAGGAACTCGATACAAATAGGATGATAGCCACCTATGGCCTAGTACGTATTTGCTATTCCTGTGCGCTTCCATATATGTGAGATGGCGACCATCCCCAATAAAGATGAAACAGAAGCGGGAGAAGGGGACGCCAATAGCACATGTGGAAGTACTTCGCAAGACATCTCAGCAAGAGTAAAAGAGGTCCAAAACATTGCAAATAATCGACGAAAGGCACAGAAAGACGTTGGTTAAAAGCAGCTGGAAACACGCGTAACCTGTGTCGGCGAACCTGACGAGGCTGAAGCTCACCACAGTCAGAAAACGCGGTGGGTACGGTAAGAGAAGCGACAGAGCATCCCTAGCCCCAGCAAAACATCGTACAGTGTGGTACCGCCAATCGGGGGATGTAATGCTTGGCTAGGCCATGGCGAGCTTGTTTTCGACCGCGTCATGATCCAAAGCGGGGCCAACGGAATAATGAAGTGTTTCGAACGGTCTTAGCTAGAATGGCTCAAAGATGACTCGCGAAGATTCCTAGTGTTCTTGACCAATTGCCCGGTATGGACAAGTAAAGGAGTCCTCGTGGAGAATAGTTGGACAACTTGGAGATGGAAATTCTGCATGGTCCCGTATGTATAATGCTAGCTTTGGCTGGGGAGTTGTCGATAGAGGTGAAGGATTCCAGGATATCTGGGGCTATGAGATTCAAAGGAAGAGAGCTTCTCGAAGAAGGAAACGATAAGACGTGTCGGCCTCTGACGTAGCTCCAATATGGCTGCACGACATGCATACAATCAGGCCAACCATAAAGATCACTAGACAATGAACACACCATTCCCTAGCGATGTCTCTTCAACCAAAACCTTTTTTCTTGGCCACAGAAAGAGGCATGACCCGGCTTTCTAGCAAACATTGGGGGAACACGAGGCCTTGTGCCCTTCTCTAAATGTCATAGAATTACTAGAGTCCACCGCAGTAGAGGCATTCACATTTGACGACAGATCCGCAGGCGATGCGGGCATTCGACGCGACTTTTACAACGGGTACAACTGTGCATCATGAGATAACCATGATACGTTGATTTTAGGCGTTCAATACAGCGCGACGAAGATAGATGTATGCGCACTATTCACTCGTATCGTAACCATAGACCCTGTAACGAGGATGGCATGGCGCCCTTTGCAGATCGTTTGCTTAAAGGATGGATCCCTTTCACCGCCGTTAGATTCAGAACAAAGAGCATCCTAACAAGACTCACGATTTCAAGGTCGTCTTTGCGCCTACAATCTTCATGGAACACACATAGTCATGGGACAGATCGCTGGTAGTGGCTCTCTTTTACTTTTTTCTGGTGACTGAGACGAGATACCATTGAGATACACACTAACCTGATACAGAGAATTGAGACGCTGGATAATGTCGTTTGACTTGGTGATGGTGGCAAATGGGGAAGAACGATCGGGAGACCCGGACCGAGTTTCCGTGTTGGTATTAAAAACATCGGCAGCTGGTATCTCATCAGAATCAAAAAACGACTACTATCGACATGTCTACGATTCGCTCGTCAATTACCTCGTAACTGTCGATCATCGTTTGGTCTTTAGAGTTGATAGAGTCGACACTGTATCACTAACCTTAAGTAGATTCGTCGACAAAGATATACAGCAGATAGTGGTAGACGAGCCGATCTGCTTAGTCGCTGGTGCTCGCCGATTCCTGAAGCAAAGCAAGTCCGTCTCGGATGTGGATTTCTACCTGTCTTCGGAGGCACGATTCCAAAATCGTTTCTCCACAACAAGCCTTATGGCTCTGTGCCTTGCTCATGTCTTTTCCGAACCTCGTTCTCTGGCTGATCTCTTTGTCTTTCCGGGGACGAAGCCGGAATGGGCTGCGCAAACGGCTGTCCGCGTTTCTTTCTCGGATGGTCTGAACGTGGAGCCGTTCTATTATACTCCTAGTACATTTAAATGCCTGGCGCACGTCTCCGAGAGTAGGGAAGATACCTTGGCTTGGCTGAAGCACGAGTACAAGACTGTATTCTGCATTTCCTCGGTTGGCTCTTCCGCCCCTGTTCTGCTTTTTGCATTGAAGCTCGCGGATGGGAGTCTTATCTGGGTATTCCTGAGCGTAAGCTTGGACGGAACCGCTGAGGAACCCCTTGCAGAGTCGGAAGTTTGCGACATACTTGCGAGTTTGCAGCCCGAACGTGTGCTGTGTGAAAATGTAAGTACCCAGTATATCAGTTGAACGTTCCCTCATATTGCAGTCCCAGGAGATTGAGCCATTGCAGGGTGTACAGAAGTTACGGACCCCTTCCGAGTTAGATATACCTCCGGGTGGTAGCGATGTGAGTGTGTCGTGCTCATAACAGAATTCTGTTTGACACATTGCATTGCTTAAGACTAATAACGAAAAGACGGACACTAATGAAGCGGGACCAACTGTAGAACGTTTGTTTCCTCTCGATCCTATTGCTCCTGCGCCGAAAGCGGCTACCCTTGGCCTTCCAAACGACATCCAAGAGCTTCTTGATGCCCTCCCTAGTCGCCGTGTCGATGTAGGCAAACATAGCATCCTGCGTGTTCTTGCATCCCTCCGTGCAGACCCTCAGCTTGACCGAGTTGTCGATACAGCATCTCCGGACCCGTCGCTCGCTTCACTGAACGTCCAGTATGTTCAAAGTATCACGGAAAAGGTCTCTTCGAAGGATATTTTAGAGGATGTTGTAGCAAACGCTGCCACCCCGAGTAAATATACGACTGTGAAGAGGAAAAACAGTGTTGATGGTCCTATAATCAAGCGGCAACGGTTAGTGCCATTTCTTTTGTGAAGCGGGTTGGGATTTTGTTGACGGAAGTATTTCAGCATTTTCAACCCTCGACGCGTGGCCTGAGGGTTTGATATTTATTGGAGATATTGATATAGTTACGCGGTATCTGTTAGTGTGTATATTCTACGAAGACATAGGTTTGACGTCAATGCGAGCAGAGGAATGGCGTGTTGGGTACCAAGTTTGGGAAACCTATGAGAACATTACTCGGTTATGGACACATATATTCGATCATCGCCCGACGCTAGAGGTTAACGGATATGTATCCAATGTCCTGACGCATCACACCCGTATACTAGTAGGATACATACTCTATATACAAATCCAGCCCGTCAGCAAAGGTCTCGGTGCTTATTTGCATAGCAGTTTCACATCAAAAGATGTGATTGCGATACACAGATGCGCTGTTTCGAAGGTCCACAGTAGGCGTTATCGGGGGGAGGATAAACGCTGACAATCAGTTTGCGGGGATGCTTAAGATACAGATCATGATGGTATCCAAATCAAAAGATTCCGGCGAGTTGCATATGAGTCCAAAGTGACACCGAAAATTGTAAGAGTCGTCCGATCTTGAAAGAATTACGGCCTTTGAGAGTTCTATCCGGTGAAAGGGAGGCAAGAGACTAGAATGTCTGCCCTGTCAGTTCCCAAGCAGTTAGGCATCGCCGAGTCTTGAGAGGAACCTTCAAAACAAGCTCAAACGCGAACCTAGACAAGAATAGCGAAGGATGTGATCCGGGCATTAGGTCTATTGTTAGGTACCTGTTTGACTTCCTTGCATTCCATCGCTGTTGGATATCGAACTCAGCTAGGAGCGTTGTACGCCATTTATCAGCTCATGTGTCGTATCCATCATGATTCATGATGTCGAGAGTACCGATGTATCACCCAGAAATGAGAACGAGTGTACATAGGATATTATCCTTAGAGCATTCGTAGTGGTGGATCGTCATGCGTCGAGCTTCGCAGTCGATGAGCAGCCAGACATGTGCCGAGATCAGGACCGTAGGTGTGGCATCGGGTCTCGGCCCGCCGTAACAGAAATGATGACATCACGGCAAGCACCTTCCCACGTGGCAGGAAAAATATCCTTGAACTTCGGCAACAGCTTGCTGCTTAATTCCCTCTGCCCACAGTTCCCAGCTGTCTATTTGATTTCCTATACCTTCCTTTTTCCCTCCGACGATACCCTGTACGCTCCTTTACTTAATATTATTAATCGCTGTCCAAGGTCATCGTCGAGCTCATGGATGGGGCGCAATTGGCGCGGTGGACGCGATTTGCAGGCAAGGGAGGAATTGGAAAGTGCACGGCAGTGAGAGACTGTATTGCAGAAAGCGGGGATGATTTAATGTTTCTCAAGGTATGTTGTTGATGTCTTCTCGCAGGCAACAGTTTCTGATATCTGGGCACGATATCCTTCTCACAGGACGACCCAATTATTGTTCTCATGCAACTACCCTCACCCGACGAAGGATGGTTCCTTGGCTACTGTGAAGGCGTCGTTGGGCGATTCAATGGCGCAGACGTTCAGTTCGAGAAGGGAAAACCATTGAAGAAACCAGTCCTTGCAAAACGAGGGAGCAGTCGACTTAGCTCGCTGGATGTCCTGGACACGCCCAAAAGCCCGCTCTTCTCAAAAGCAACATTCATTGAAGAGGAGAAGATCCCGGAGGTCGAGGATAAGGTCGATGACAGTTTCACCACGGTCATGACTGCACCTGATACGACCCCCGACGCTGTTGAAGACAGCCGTCCGCTCTCTGACGGCGACAGCGCGGCTGTTTCGCCGCCAGAATCAATGTCTGGGTCGTCAACAGTACGCGAGTCGACCACATTTAGCATGGCAGAGACAGCAGTGGACAGGGAATCGGCTGGGATGAATATTGGGTTTGCATTGCTGCAGGGGTCCGACGAAGAGGATGACAGCAGCGTGTACAGCGACGAAGACACGCTTCCCACAACGGAGACAGGCAAACAGATTACGGAAGAGACGTCGGAAGAGATTGCGCTTGAAACTGTGGCGATAAAGTCTGAGACGACGGCGACGACGACGGCAACAACGACGGCAGAAGAAGAGAAAGAGGAGTCGGAGAAGGAAGAGCAAGAGAACGACGAGGAGGATCCATCAAAATCGCCGAGTCTGTCGGTGTGGGATATTTACGACGACTACCGCTATTCTAGAGCGACGATGCACCAGTCGTTGTCGACGTCTTCCATGCATTCCACGAACGGCCCTTCGCAGTCATTGCCATCCCCCTTGCTCCACACCAGATTTAGTAATTCTTCCCCGACGGCCTCGCCAACATCATCAACATTCCCGCCCGACAGTTCTCCTGTTCCCTCTACGCCTTCACTGCCGCCACCATCACCCCTCGCGCCATCTCTTCCTCCAGAAGTAACGTCCCCGCCGTCAACGCCGCCTCTGGTGGTGAGAAAACGGATCCATCCATCTGCTTCGGATGGACCACGAGAATCTCTCTTTCTTCCTCACCCAAACGCGCCTCGCGCGCCCTCGACGGCCCCAGTGGAGCCTCCAACAACCAACAATCTCATCCCAACACTTAAACACGTTCTCACGTTACCGCACGGTGCCACGATCTACGGCAGAACATTAGGTGATCTCTCCAGTGCATATGGACCTGTGGGAATTACCTTCACCGTCGACCCTCCCCCACCGCCCCCTCCTCCACCGATATTCGCACCTCGAACCAGCAGCCCTTTGAGGACAACAAGCAGTGTCTCGGCTTTACGCGAATCTCCTTCACCACTGCCGCGACCGTCCAATGGGCCGCCTGCACCGCGCCCAAGAAGCAGAAGTTTTTCGGATTTGCATGCTGTAGCAGTGCAACAGATAACACCGTCACCAACACGTGCGCGGACAGCATCGGCAGCTCCACTAATCGTGACGACAATAACATCATCTCCGCCGTCCCGTCTTCGTTCAAACTCAGTGGCTCCGAAGCCCACCCTAAGGCTTTCACTCGAGTCCCCGCCTTCTCCGGCACCTTCCTCACCTACCACTACCTCTGCATCTCATTCTCTTTCTTTGCTCACCAAAATTCCCGAATCAAATTCCGAGCTGTTACCGCCTCCAACGAATGAATCTCCACTTACTGCATCATCTCCAGCATCCCTCTCTGCCTTCCCAATGCCTCCAAGGGGAAATTCACCTGCTTCTCTGTCTTCCTTCCCTCTTCCGCCGACATTACCACCGCCATCTATCACACCTACCACATCTCCGCCGCGTAAACTCTCCCTTCCAAATCTCCGCGCACGTACTGTCTCACACCGTGCTGCTACACTTCAAGCTCAACGGCCTCCGTCGTTTCAGTCTAGACCTAGCGTTTCAGAGAGTATACGGCCGTCTCTCGACACTGGCTCGATCAAATCCCAGTCAAGCGGGCAGCAGATCCAAGTCAAGAGCACCGAATTCGAACTTGTAGCACCATCCCCAATATCCACATCTCCCTCGTCCTCAAGTCCGTCTTCGCCATTTCCTCCAACAAGACCAATGCCTGTAGAAAGGCAAAAGTCGGCACAAGAAAAGCAATTGGATCGTGATCGCGAGACCAAGTTCCTCGCTATACTGTCCACGCCGAAATCGAAGCAAAAGAAGCTACGAAAACTAGTTATGGAAGGAGGTGGTATACCGATGAGCGTGCGGTGGCCGGTCTGGATGGAGTTGGTCGGAAGAGAGAAAGATAGCAAGGAACAGCCCAGTTCGAATGGTAAGATCTCCGTCATAGAGACGTAGCATTATTCTTATCAAGACCCACTTAGGTGCCGTGGGAGGTGGCATACTTACCTCCGGTCCTCGCGGAAAGTCTCAAGCAGCACTAACTGCTCTCCTTGCATCCGAAACTTCCAACGCATCTTCTCCAGCTGAAAAGCTCGCACGGGCATATCGTAGGATGTGTCCTGACGTGGTTGGGAGTGACGAGCTACCCTCGATTCTCGCGTTCCTACTCACCCTAGCACCTGAACAAGACGCGTTTTGGATATTCTGCTGCGTGATGGACTCGTCGTTACGCGGGTACTTTACGGCAGACGAGCAGGCGCTAGAGATTGATGGTGAACTGTTCGCACGGGCGCTGGGCAAGGCAGATGGTCAACTTGCGCATCATCTCCTCACGAAGCTGGGGATACCCGCTGGGAAGCTCATACGCGAGGCTGGAGTGAGGAAGGGGTTCGTCGGTGTCATCCGTGACTCTGACGGCGATGAAGAGGAGCTTCGGCGAGTATGGGACGCGTGGGTATGTGATGGCCTGCCGACGGTGATAAAAACTCTCTTGACGATTGTGACCCTCCTTGGAGCAAAATTGATGAGCTGTAAGACCGATAGCGAGGCAAAAGACCTTCTCAGACGGGGCGTGTGTGTTGGGAGAGGTGAAATTGAACGGATCGGACGGGAGCGGGGGTGGAAGGTCCCAGAGGATGAGGTATGCGGGTCTATCATCTTGTCCTTTTGGTTTCAGACTCTAACGTGGCGTCACGGCTACAGATCCGTCGAGAACGTGCACGGATGACCCGTGTTTTGCTTGAGGCTCGAGGGAAGGGCCGAGGAAAGGCCCATGTAGGACTTGCTGGGGGGCGAGGAAGAGGGATATCGTTACCTGTAAGATGAACGAACTAGGTATTTGTATGTTATTCCGTATCGTGGCGTCGTTTCGAAGGAGGCGACAGGGTTCGTTGCGAAGGTAAATATGGGGAAAGTAAAGAGGGTGTTGTCGTCATTAGGGCTGGGTTTTTTTAAAATGCTTGCTTTTTTAGTTACTTATTTTATCTAGGATTTTCATACGTGTATAGACTAACATGCTTTTTGGGACTTTTTTTTTCTGGTGTCTGGGAGTGAGTAGTATGAGGTAGTGTACCCCGGTGGGTGGCTTCTGACACCGAAGCGGTTGCTATCATTCCGGCTGTGTTCGAATGGGTTTATTTGGAGGCGGGCTGTGGCTACGTAGTTGAGACGGATGATCGTCGGGAGCCACGTGGATACTTCCAATATCACAGAAGACGACAAAAACAGAAATGAAAAAGTTAAATTTTACCTGAGTACATATCTAAACGCCTAAATGTCTAGCGGTTCCGAAGTGCTGAGCGTTGAAAGTTAACATCGAACGCGATATACCCGCAGTACTAGGGTTGTGCAGTGAGATCTCGAGATACGAAATGACGAAATGCATGAATGTTGGTGTACTTAAGAAGGAACTCGAGACAGCGCTACCGTTAACGTTGGTATATTGGTAGTGAGAGCATCGGATACCGCCGTAGATACAGTTTTGGTCCGCATGGACTGAGAGATCGAAAACCCTTCCTTGTCAAATATCGATATCTTGCCGGAATGAATCTGGCTTTCTTTGAGCTGGAAGGTGAAATTATAATTGCAATGGTTGTCGTCTGTTGAGTACGATATTGGCTTGGGGCGGTCGAGCCTGGAAGCGTAAAGCTGGTACTGTAAGAACAGATACGCACCTTTGGCATTTGTACTACCTTAGAGCCCGTGGTCCACGAGATGTAAAATTGGGTATAGAGCAGATATATAGTTAGGTCGACCTCTAAGATACTCGTCAATAGCAGGGATCAAAAGTTTTTGCGACTGCTAAAACCGACTTGATACTGGTAAGACGAAGAGTGTAATAAAGACCGAAGACTACGCAGATAGTGAGATCCCTGAATTACGCATGTAATAGTACACGATACTGAAGGGAAATAAATATACGTCAGACTTATTGTATTGGCTCAAAAATCGCGTAGGCGCACCACCAAATCCATTCCTCCGACCACCTCCAGCAGCTGAGAAATTTGAACCTATGTATTCCAGAACAACGCTGTTTATCATCATCATATCAACGAGTCCAGCTTGGCGAGGACATCCAGCACGGCCGCGACGAGCTCAAACGTGGTATCTTCCCCCTCTCCCGACGGTCCCCCAGCCTCACGCTTAACTTGACTAACCAAGCCAATCACAGCTTCTCTTCCATCACTCCTGCTGCCCTCGGCGATTCTGTTCCTCCTCCTAGAGCTATTCGCGTTCCCCAGCCCACTCTCTGATCCGAACGGCCAGACACTAAACTCTGCAAGTATCTCGTCGCATCGCTGGAACGCACTCTCGCGCTCCTCATACCCAAGCCTGCCGAAAGCATTGTCGAGCACGCTGGCAGTGTAAGCCGCGCAAACGAGACAAACGGCGCGCGCTGTGCGCTCCTTGACAGCCTCTTCCTTCCCTAGGGCTTCTGGAGGTACAGTCGACGTGGTGGCGGTAAGGAGAGAAACGACACGGGTGATGATGGATTCCTTCGTGCGCACGTCAGCAACTGGGTGAGTTGCCATGTCAAACAGGAGAAAATTGCGTTTCTCAGTGCGAAGGACACCCTTATCGACAAGGCCCTTGGCAAGGCGCTCTCGGACTTGCTTGAGCTGGAAGCCGATTTTTAGGACGTTCCACGTCTCGCCTGTATGAAGATATAATGATGTGTACTTGATGGTCATTACGGGACGCACCAGATAATAGATCAATCCAGCTGCCAACACTCAGCCTTTCAACAGATTCTTGGGTTTTCATCATTCTCAGCGTCTCGTCGAGAATGGTCTCCCCCGTGAGCTTATCACTTCGAACCTCGACTAGGCGCTCTGCAAGGGGCAAGTGCCGACGGTTCGGGTCATTGACAAGCAGTATCCGCCGTCGAAGGGCCAGTTCGAGCAGTATACAACCGCGAAGGGCATACGAAATGTTGTCGTTCCAAAAAGAGAGGTAACCCTGCTTGTCCTTGATGCCCAGCAACAGCACCTCTTCCATCAACGTCAGTTTGGGCTGCTGTTCAGAATCTGCACTCGCGAGATCTCGTGGGTCGTATGCGATCCTGGTGCCGCCTTCGAATGCTGAGCCTGCGTGTCCGCCGCCATTTGCATTGGTATTTGAAAGTGTGCTGCCGCCGCCGACGCTATTGGTCGAGGACGGAGTGGGGGAGGAGAGCGACGTTGACGACGAGGATGTTGCTACTCGTCGTCTCGACAGGCCTGATGCCATGAGATTTTAGAGGAAAAGGTAAAACAAGGTGTCTTGAGCGAAAGGAGGCTGAAGCGCAGCCTCCGCGGCAGTTCATCATGGTCACGGGACAACACTTTGATCCTTCTGGCCAAGTTGCGCCCAAAAATTCGGCCTCGTACGCCACTCAATATATTCTTTGCAGTCCCAGTTTTATCGGATCTTTCCATGTACTTTGAGGCTGTACATACAGGCGCTTAACAGTCCAGACTCTACAGCGGCTTTCAACAGCCTCTCAGGATTGGTAGTCGTACTACAATACCAAGCTGGCAAGGCGCTACACCATCGCTCGTATCAAACCTGCGAGATGAAAACAACATTGCAACTGTGGCGGTTCCGAAATGATCGATTGTCGGCCTGGGTGAAGGGCTCTCTTCTCTAAACGAGAACTTGAAGTCAGTAAGTAGATGGAATGGCCCGAAGAAATGGCGAAACAACTCACTATGACGCACAGACCGCGTCAATGGATTGAATAGCTCATTCTCAACCCGTTCGGAAACCAATTCCACTCATCGAAACGGCTTTATGCACCGGTGCCTAGCGGGATTTACCGACATGAGCAGAAGCAATGATGCTAATCTCTGTCCTCGAACATGCAACGCTGTCTTCATTTCCCTGAAAATCACGAAATCGACACTCTTGGAAGCCATCCGCGAGCGACATTTTTTGCCGTAAGTCTCTATTAAATATCAAGGAGTAGAGAATCTGAATGTTCACTTCAACTTCATGGCACCGGTCAAAGTCGACGCAGACGCAGAGTCCAGTATCTCCCTCTTCTCTCTCCTACTTTCAGGGCGGGGATCGGCTCTTTCCATCGTCGCGTGCGCGATTTATTTTTCCGATTCTGAGTATATCCATGTCTGCCTCCGATGAGTCCAAATGCTCTCGTCCAACGACTTCGGGGAACCGTCGAAGAGACTATCGCCCTCTTCCGGGAGCACGGTCGCTTACTACTAGTAAATGTCGCGGATATCAACATCCAGTTAATACGGTATATATCGGAAAATCATACTCGCTGAGCACTCATCGATATATATAATTCATAGCTTGGAAGCAGATACGTGCGCACCGCTATCAACGAAAAATCAACGCACTGAAGAGCAAAATGGAGGTACGACTTTACGGCATGGAGATGCACCATTTTCTTGACAGGAAAACTTGTTTACTAGATTGTGATTATCCAGGATCGGGAAGGGAAGTTGCGCGACGTGGTGGCGTGCAGGCGGAGTGGCCTGAGCATGGATCACAGCGAAGGAGAAGCTCCAAGGCTCCTTTGCCGTCAGTGCTCCGGCTGCAGTGAATATCAGGTGTAAGTAAGCCAAGCTGCCTAACTGTTCTCAATTGAATTCATAATCGATCAGCAGGGAATAACGCACGGCAAATCATCTTGCGGACTGATCCTTTGAGTACGGATAGTATTGACTCGCACCGCGTTTCGTTGAGCCTTTGTCGCTAGTGCCTAAAAGATCCCTAGATTGAGATTAGTGTATATGAGATTAGTGTATATCGTATCCTTCTTCGTAATCGTACCGTCGATAATTCAGAATTCACGTAGAAACCTAGGTTCGTAGTAGTTATCCTCTTTCTGCATGCATATAGAAATCTCAGTCGATAGGAAACATTGCCGCATGCCAATACGCATCGTATACAACATCGAGAGTGCTCCTAGTCAGTTTCTGAGCTTGTACCTCATGGCCACTTATTTCAGGTGCAAGCCCCAACGCCGCCGGCGCCAACGTCAAGAATACGGTGACACGCGAAGCAGTGGGGATAACGGGGAAGCTATCGCAGAGAACCATGAATTCGGTTTATGCCAAAGCGCCAGTAATAGCCCCACCAGAGTTTCAAGGGTGACTGGAGGGGAACGAGGAAAATCGGTAATCACCGAGTCTTACTTGACCTATTGACTGGACGCCGATCGATACCGGGACAGCCACCAGTGCGAACTTTGTTTTATAAAAGTGACTAAATGCCAACAAGGGCTATATAGAGCACGTAATTCCGTCGAGAGCTGGTGATATCGAATCCTGATTCCTCAGTATAAAAGGGACCGAGAATCAAACTGGCAAGTTCAACAGCAGGGCTATCCTTAGATTTGGTTCAGATTTTCTCTTCGTAATGGCCTCCGATATGGCCTCTAACATTCAGAGGGAGCTGTTTCGTGGCGCTTTACATAGGACCGGAGATAGGGGATCAACATGAGTCCAAATGCTCTCATCCAACAACTCTGGGAAGCCCACGCGCTATTAAAAGTCGCTTCTCCCTATCAGACGATGAGTGCGTCCTCGACGGTCCAGGTCCTGGGCACACGATGCGTAAGAGACATGGGGTGCATCGGAGCGATGTGTACGAGAGACATTTGATGGGGACCAGGATGAACCATAAAGGATGTCGGTAGAAATGGGGCGGCATTGATATGGGTCCTGGTTGGTGCAGGTGTTGCCGAGGATCTTGGGGAGAAGACAACTTTGAAGCAGCTTCCAAAGGATGAATTATAGAGTCTGATCATCAAGAATCCTGCCGACGTTGAACTCGAGCGCCAGAACATATCGAGAACCATTTGGTTGGCACGCGTGAACACTTATGCCCACTGCTAAGAGCAGGCGGAGCTCGTGGTGGCTTCTAAGGCAGCGAAAACAGCGTTGACTGACTATTTGAGAATGGAGAAAGTGTTTGTTGTCGAGGTAGGAGATTAGATTATTGTCTTCGCCGATGGCTGATCCCCTGGTGCAGAACGAGGTGACCAAATCACTAGTACTGGTCAAAGAACGAATTTCTTGAAAGCCTCGTAACATTGTAGGATGGCACGTCGATTATCAAGGGGTTTCATGCCCTCACTGAACCTGTGATTGGGACGTGGGAGATCAGGGACATGCCCAGGGACGATGGTGGGAGCAGGTGGGAATTGTCCGGATTCAACACATCGAGTCAATTCTTGGGTGACTGGGATCTTGAAGAAACTTGGATGAGTCCCGACCATGATTATACCGGGGATGACCTGAGTCTAGGATGAATAAGAGTGCAATCACCATAGGAAGATACATACCTTACTGTCCAATGGATCAAGTCCTACTGCTCGCCTTCGAGCATTATTGAATTGGAACGCGGCTATGGTCCCGGCAATGAGTTGAGCATGAACGTCACCCGGGCCGAACCGTTTATCCTCTTGGACCAGGAGGATAATATCGTTCGTATCTCGATTGAGGATGCAGATGTCAGGTTTAGCGCACTTGGTCTCCCCGCAGATTAGGAACCGTAATTCTTTGCGCGTCCGAATGGCTCGAGGACGATGGATATATCCAAGACAGTGGAAAAACGCCACAGTAAAATCAACGACTGCTGAATCTTCCGGTTCGGAGGGCACCATTGCGAGTTCGAGTTGAGCGAGGAGATTGTAGGACGAGTCGTCGACTGCGTCGTCAGCGATAGGGGCTGTAAGGATCTCTTGGTGAACCGAGGGCGCTGGTAAGGCTGTTTCGTCGAAGAACATTTGAGCATCCTGGAAAGTGATTCTGATTTTATACGCGTCCAGGTCGTTTGTAGTCCATTCGTTTCCGGGCTTGGCTGAGCGGATATTATTGGCCATCGTTGTGGTTCGGTGGAGATGCAGTGGGCCCGGCTCGGGCCGTGGGCAAACATCTTTTACTTAGCCGCTTTCTCTTCTTTTCCTTCAAGCTCCTTTTGCTGCATCCTCTCAAGCTTTCGAAGATATACCCGCAAGTTTCTGGGATCCGTCCCTATGCGTTAGGGTAGAAACCTTACCGAACAATCTATTGCCTTCTGCAGCGGCTTCGACCTTTTCTACCATTGACTGACTCTAAATTCTTCTCAAATGTGGCATTGTTGACGCTATCCGGAACAATTCCGACTATCAAGAAGCAGTACACTAGGTCAGTATAAGAAATTCTCCTGTAATCCTCTACCTATTCCGTTCGACGATCCTGAACCTCAAGTCAGAATTCCTTATACCACCGACCACCCATGACACACCCAGATTCATCGTGACGCGTGTTTATTTAATACGGGGATATTTGTCCTCTCTCTGACCCCCGTGTCGTGGTCGACCTTCACTTCTTCCTATGACTCACCACTCACTACTATCAGGATGATGAATGATATGATCAGCACTGCTAACTTCCTCGGCGGCTACCTTCCTGTGTCTGAACCCCAATTCATGGAGCCTGGTCTTGCTCTGCACATCACGGTAAGGCGAGTCTCCTGTTATCGCTGTTCCATGCTTAATTCCCATTAAAAGGGCACCGCCCGCATTAGGACTGACTCTGCAACATCTGTCACTGATCCCTCCAAGGTACTTGGTCTTACAACCTCTGGGTCAGCGGCAACGGATGCATCCTAGATTTGACAGCGTGCAACCCTATCTCACCAGCGTAAGTGTCGCGGCTAACTCTGGATCTGAGGTACCTTAATTCCTTCCTAGGTCGCCATTGCTATTAAGGATGCGGAGTCTGAGTACTCATAATTCGACATAACGGCAAAAGAACAGTTATTGTTATTCATGCTGATATCAACGTGTACCTGGACTGGAATTGTAATCAGTGTCGATGAAGGTTGCCTTGGTTTCATAACAACGATTGTAGACGGACGTGCATGCAAGCGAGCGTATATGTTCCCAGATCGTCGACATCCTTGGACGTCCACCGTCTTTTCACCATCTCGGTCGGTTAACGATGTTCTGGAATACGAGGTTCTAGGTACTACTCCGAGTGGTCATCAATGTGTGAGTTTGATTCCTCGTCAATGGTGCTTAATCAATATTTGTAACCGACGTTGAGACTTGAACCGAAGTGATGAATCCTGGTGTATCAGTACAAACGTACGAGAAGCCACCACAGCTCGTCAAGTCAAAGTAGCAATCGCACGTGATAACTCAGTTCCCGGCACTGCAGGGAAGCGACTCGGATAAGGACATATAAAGAACGCAATAAAAGTAGAACCAGAAAATTGCCTGAATACTGTCGAGAGCCTTTAACGACGACACCATGCGTGTCCAACAAAGCCAAGAAACCGATGCCTCGAGCTCCCAAGTCCGAATTCGCTTCCAACATGAGAAGACGCCTATTTTTGTGGGAATGTCGAAGAAAAAAGCTCAGGAATAGACTTGTCCGACGTCGAACGTCATTATATACATGCTTCGACTTTTATCCTATACATCAGACAAAGATAGTCCTTAGAAAGTGGATACCAAGGAGGACTACAGGTAAAACAATCAACACTCATAAAGCGAGTTTCTAAGAGCGATCCCAATGAATTACATTGAAAAAGGGATCCGGCTTCAAGTTGCTTGCTTGACCTGCATGCACACATACTTCTTTCAAAAAAGCCCCGAGCATAGAGATAAAAAAAGAGTAACAGAAAACTAAACAGCAGTTATCATGTAAGAAATAAAGCAGTAAAAAGATGCGGCTCTTCAAAGATAAATTAAAAAGCACACAGATGCCGTTTTAGATCGAACAACGCCTTAACCCCAACATGAAAGAAGAACAACGCAGGGAGAAGACGCGGAGACCAAATTCGACAAGAACCTTGGTATATGCAGTTATCGGTATTGAGATCCGGAGTAAAGGGTGGAGGGAGATCGTAGGAAACTGGTGGGGATGGCGGGGCAAAGCTTTAAAAAACAAAAAGTCCGAAAACAAATATCACCAGTTCATACTGCTCTCTCTCAAGATTGGAGCCGAGATCGCAGAAGGCATGACGGCCCTTCGTTGGGTCATCGCCGAAGGGCTGGTCGTCCGTGCATCGTAACTGTCCTCGACAGGTCGTTCTCCCTGGAAGCCTCTGAGCGAATCCTCCGCGTAGAAGAAGCTCCTCCGCCTCTGCCCACCGACAGTGTCCTGGTCAAAGTCTCTTCCTGCTGGCCGAATACCCGCCGTATCAGGCGGATCGGAGAGCCTACGGTGCGCGAGCTCCCGGCGACGCTGCACAGTGCGATAGACGAGGAAGAGAAGAACCAGAACAGCGATCGCGCCCAGCGCGCTGACAACGCCAATAATAGCGTCTTGGCGGGTTGTATCGGTCGACGTGCTTCCAGAAGCAGCGCTGGAAGAGTCGGTAGATCCAGAGGAATTGGGATCGGAGACGGAGAAGAGTGAAACGGCGCTCTGAATCTGGGAGGCAAGTTCATGGGCGACAGGGTCCGAATCGTCGGTATAGATTAAGGACGACGAGACACGGAGGAGAGACGCAAGCGTGTCAACCTCATCTGAAGGGATGTACCCGGTCCACATGGTCTGTAACAGGGCGGCGTCGGACGCATTCTCGTATCCAGATGGGATGTTGACTTGGAGACACCATGACATTACTTGATCACCTGTGAACATATGGATGTTAGTACCTGTTCATAACATTGTAGATGATTGACGTACTCGTCAGTCCAAGTGCATTCACTAAAATGGCAGGCGTATAAGCCAGGATTTGACTTGATGTAAGAGAGTTTTGAGTGACATAAACCCATCCTAACGTGGCAGTCGAGAACGCGATGCTGATGAAGGTATACCCGGTAAGATCCTCATCTCCAGTCATGCCGTTTTTGGGGAAAATCCTCGACGGGAGGTTGGTAGGGAGACTGGCAGCAGTAAATGTCGTCGCGGGCGTACTCTGAATATCTGAAATGCTGGTGGTGACCTGGTCAGGATCGGAAAAGCTCTGGGAAGACGTTGTTGTGGGTTGGCTATCGATCTGGAGCGAGGATGCTGTCAACACAAAGCTGAGATCCGATGGGACTTGATATTCGGTGGTTGTTGTCACGCTAACACTGAATACAGAGGAGGTGATGGTAGCAGTCTCCGGAGTACTAGTGCCGGAAGGGAATGTGATGGTCGAGGTTGACGATAGTGTCGCCGTGTTGGTGTACGTCTCACTGATGATAGAATGACTTGCACTACCAGTCGACGAGGCAGATACAGATTCGCTCGCACTAGCACTCGTCGATAAGGAGACGGAATCGCTGCCGCTCTGAGTAACAGAAACACTGTCTGTAGCGGAAACACTGGCGCTTTGTGTTACTGAAACACTTTCCGATACTGTTTGGGACGCCGAAACGCTCTCCGTAGCGGAGACACTACCGCTCTGCGTCACTGACACACTCTCCGTAACAGAAACACTGCCGCTCTGGGAAACCGACACACTCTCAGAAGCAGAAACGCTTGCAGCTCTGAGTGACCGACACGCTGTCCGTAGCAGAAACACTTGCGGACTGTGTCGCCGAAACACTATCTGTAGCAGAGACACTCGCGGATTGAGTCGCCGAAACACTCTCTGTTGCAGAGACGCTTCCGCTCTGAGAAACCGATGCACTATCAGTGACAGAGACACTTGCGGTCTGCGTTACTGATGCTGATGCAGTGTCAGTGACGGAGGCGCTTGCACTTTGCGTCACTGATGCGCTATCGGTTGCCGATGCGCTCTGGGTGGCCGGTACACTATCGGTTACTGATGCGCTCTGGGTAGCTGAAATGCTATCACTAGCAGAGGCGCTCCCACTCTGCGTCACCGACACACTGCTGTCAGTAGAGGAAACAGGGACGGGGACAGAAATCGAGACGGAGACAGAGATGGAACCTGTCGCTGAGGCGGAACCACTGTCAGTGGGCGTTGAGACGGAGGCACTGGCGGTAACAGAACTTCCATCCGACGTTGTAGACACGGGGACAGAGGTACCACCGGACGTCGATTCGGGAGGAGTAGAGACGGTAGCGCTACCACTGTCCGAAGAGGTGGAAACAGGCGCATCCGAAGTCGAGGTTGGCACATCTGAACCGGTTGACGAAGAAAACAGGATGCTCGTAATACTACTCAGGATCCCCCCATCTGAGGAGGAGGAAGCCGGTGCATCTGCACTGCTGGAGGTGGACGCGGGAGGCTCTGATCCACTGGAGGCGGGCTGTGTGGGATTAAGAACGCTACTTTCATCTGAAGAAGTTGATGTAGAGGCATCATCAGTCGAAGTCGATGCAGGTGCATCAGTCGCTGACGTGGAAACTGGACCATCAGTACTGCCCGTCGAGTCGATAGCGGTAGTCGAAGCAGATCCCTCCGAAGAGGACGTGGAGGCGGGTGCCTCTGTTGCACTCGAGGATGTGGAATCGGGAGAACCAACCATGCTACTACTATCCGAAGATGACGTAGATGCCGATGCATCGCTCGAAGAAGTCGTTTGAGCATCAGCGGAGCTGGTGGCCGTGACTCCGCCATCAGAGGAGGATGCGGCTGCAGGGCTCGAAGTCGCGGTATCGGCAGTGGTCGAGGCTGGTGTACCTGTACTGACAGGGGTCGAACTAGAATCAGAGATGGTGGTCGATTCGACAGATGAAGTGGTCGAGTCTCCAGAAAAGAGAATACTGGTCAAACTGGAGATGAAATTCCCATCAGTCGAAGAGGAAGTGACGGTGGAGATCGTGGAATCTGTTGCGGGCGCCGCGGTAGATGTTGGCAATGAATCAGTTGATGAAGTAGAGCCTGACGAGCTCGATTCCGATGACGTGGCGGTATCTGATGGAAGGAGGACACTGGTATGAGTGGAGACAACACCGGAATCAGAAGATGTAGAAGATTCACCAGTGGACGCGGTCGAAGTCGAGGTCGCTGAAGCAGTTTCCTGGGCCGTCTGGCTAAGCGTATCAGATGAGGAAGAAGACGAAGCCGATGAGTCGGTCGTAGACGCCGTGGTCAGGGTGGCGGTATCAACAGAAGATGTCGACGACGTGGATGAATCAGTCGTCGACACTGTTGATGACCCCTGGGACGATGATGTGTCTGTTGGGGTCGCCGTGACTGCAGGCAAAATACTGATATCGCTGCTACTGGACGAGGAGGTGCTGGTGCTCGTATCCGAAGTACCGCCAATGATATCCTGAACGAGACTGGAGATGGAGAGGAAATCAGTCGATGACTGACTCGCAGCGCTGTCACTGGTTGTGGTGCCGGCGCCGTTGCTACTTCCAGAGTCTATTGTCGGTCGGTATGTGAACAAATGGATGAGAAAAGAAAGCTGGGAACGCACCTATGGCCAGGTCAAGGATCTGCCGCTTATTCAAAAGAGAGCGACGTGCATGGGATCGTTGGTAGGAAGCGTGAATAGCGTCGACATTGAGAGCGAAGAGCGAGATGAAGAGAACAAGGGAATAAATAAGTAGAAGACGGTGCATGGAGAGGACTACGGGTCGCTGTCGCTGTCGCTGGACAGCAAGGGAAATAAGACTGCCAGTGGTAAGGCGGGTAAGGGAAGGAGCGTGGGGGCTGCACGAGCGGACGAGAAAGTGGCGTAAATGCCAAAAAGTCAAAGACGACGCCAACCAGAAGAAAGAGCGGCGAAAAGAGATCAGAATGTGACATCTGTGACGCATCTCGGCTTCCAATATCATAGCAACGAAAACAACGACAAATACCCTCTTCGGAACAGAACCGGATAATATTATTTTCATCTTTCTCAAAATATAATTAATCACATGATCGCAGCAGCTCATATTGGGTCCTATCGCATACAGAAACGTACTACGCTTAGATGAATCCAATCTGAATATCCATACTCGGTCAGTCTTCGCTCTTGATACCGCAAAAATACTCCACTTGCCTTGTTGGCCACATCCAGAGCATCGTGATCAGGTGTCAAGCGAACATATGCCTTCTTCTTGCCGTCCGGTCTGTCCAGTCATCAGAGCAATCCATTTAGATTTTTTTCACAGGGCCACCTACCGGATAAGCGTGTTCACTTTGGCCGCCTGAACATCATACAACTTCTTCACAGCATCCTTGATCTGCCGCTTGTTCGAATTGATGTCAACAATGAAAACCAGCGTGTTGTGTTCTTCAATCTTCTTCATCGCTGATTCCGTGTTCAGAGGTCTGGCAACAAGTCAGACCTAGTATCAAAGCAGTTGTAACGCGTAATCCTACGAGACGATGGTGCGGAACTGATCCATCCTTGGTGTGTGGGGAATGGATTTGCGCGGGTATTTGGGGCTGCGGGCCAATCGGAGGGTCTTGGGGCGGTGGAACGACACTGACAGCCGCGTCTTGCGTGAAGAGTGCGAGTGGGCTCCCTGGAGCGCTGCCTTTTTGGCCGCCTTGGCCTTGACGTCTTTTGGAGACTTGGCTGCACATTTCATTAGTTTATGTAGAAATCGACCAAATGGCTACACACCTTTTGAGGCGGCAGCCTTGCCCTTCGTAGCTTTTGTGGTGGCCATAGGGAATATCTACAACGTCGTGGATCAGTGATTCTATCACAGCGGGTTTGGCGCAGGGAAGCAAGCCGAATGAAATTTTTGGCAGCGTCATCCAACCAGACTTTGAGCCATCCATCCAAAATACCATCCTAACGGATCTTGTTCTCGGTTCATACGTTCGACCATGCCCCCAGCGCGCAAACAGAGAAAACGGGGAGTCTAACCTTGAGGTGCCGACCGGTAGGGTGTTGAGAAAGTCGAAAGCCTTGTGTCGACCGACTGTGAGAAAGTTGCCAAGGGTAATTGCCTTTTTCGGACAAACCGACCCTTATTCCCGAGACCACTTGCTCTTTCTTTTCCTTCCCGTAACTCGTATTTGTTCCAGTAATATTACATACTAATAATCTATCTTGGTGTCTGTCTAGGCTCTTTCGGTGAATCCTAAGGGATCTTCTAGCACGATTATGCACCGCCAAAGGGGATGTTTTACGGGATGGACCCATTCCGCAGTAGCTTCAGAACTCATCGTTTATTTCAATGTGCTGCTTCCGCAGGCCGAACAAAATCTGCGCTTACGTACCAGATCTTTCATGAATATTTTCTTGTGGTGCAGCGGCGCCCCCTCCTCAAATGATACCATCTGAGCGAAATTCTTCAACGTCCAAGGAACGATAACTTCCAAGTTTCATTGGCATCACATCATAGGTACTTCCATCACATGTTCGCAGTTAATGCGGGTCCGTACGGAGAACTATCATCAGACTTGGCAGACTCCCTTGGGCTCAAGCTTCTGCAGGCTACATTCCGGCGTGCTGATGGTTTTGAGGTCATTCTCCAGCTGTGTTCCCTCATCAAGCCCGAACAGGTGGTCTCAGTAATTACGCGAAGCATCATGCATCACTATCGAAATGATCCTTTGCTCGCAGCACATAGGCACCCGTAATAATTCCATTGCGTCTGTCTGTAATCAAAATTTTGTCACGCTAGCATCGATAAAGGCGTGAATAAGCCTTTCAGTACCTTGGATATCGTTATATACGTATCCTCAGGCGAAATCTTGAACTAAGTAGTTTACCTGAGTCCAGCCAATCAGCAAGCAGAAAGATGTCAGGTAATCGGTGCCGGCGCAAGCCGGAGCAAGCGGGATAAATCCGTTGACGCCCGGAACAGCTCACACCTCTTTTCAACCTCGCTGGTCGTCGTCGGCGTCATCCATCATGCTTTCCCGCTTCGTTCGAAGCGCTATTCGCGCTCCTGTAAGAGGCCTTCTTTTTCATTTTTTATGTTTACCCTTATATTATGTAGCGGCCATATAGAAGGGCGTTTGCGACGGTTCACAACGTCGGGCCCCAGACAGAAATCACGACCCTCTCGAACGGTCTAACTGTCGCGACCGAATCTCAACCTCATGCGCAGACAGCGACCGTTGGGGTGTGGATTGACGCGGGTTCCAGGGCGGAAACCGACAAGACGAACGGTACCGCATCACTTCCTTGAACATATGGCCTTCAAGGGAACCGGCCGACGGACACAACACTCGCTCGAAGTAGAGGTCGAAAACATTGGCGCACATCTTAATGCCTATACCTCTCGCGAGCAGACTGTCTACTACGCCAAAAGTTTCAGCAAGGACGTCCCTGTGGCCATGGACATCATCAGCGACATTCTGCAAAACTCGAAGCTCGAGAACTCTGCCATTGAGAGAGAGCGTGGTGTTATTCTCAGGGAGCAGGAAGAGGTTGACAAGCAGCTTGAGGAAGTCGTCTTTGACCACCTTCACTCTGTCGCCTTCCAAGGTCAGTCGGGCGTCCTACTCGACATTGCACACGACATTGACTTTTTTTTCCCTACAGGACAGTCTCTTGGCCGTACAATTCTCGGTCCCAAGGCGAATATCCTCTCCATCAATCGCAACGACCTTTCCTCCTACATAAAGACCAACTACACCGCTGACCGCATGGTCCTCGTCGGTACAGGAGGCATTGAGCACGAAGTGCTTGTTAAGCTTGCCGAGAAGCACTTTACCTCTCTTCCCGTGTCCTCCAACCCCATACCCCTCGGCCGTCTCTCGCACCCTAAGCCCACATTTGTAGGCTCAGAAGTGCGGGTCCGTGACGATACCATCCCCACTGCCAACATTGCCATCGCTGTTGAGGGTGTCGGCTGGAGCTCGCCCGACTACTTCCCCATGATGGTCATGCAATCCATCTTCGGTAACTGGGATCGCAGCCTCGGCGCTTCTAACCTCCTTTCCTCCCGGCTCTCTCACATCCTTTCCAGCAACAACCTCGCCAACTCGTTCCTGTCCTTCTCGACCTCTTACTCTGATACCGGTTTGTGGGGAATCTACCTTGTATCCGAGAACTTGATGAACTTGGACGACCTCCTGCACAACACGTTGAAGGAATGGACGAGGATGAGCATTTCACCTGAGGAGGTTGAGGTTGAACGGGCTAAGAGTCAGCTCAAGGCCGGCTTATTGTTGAGTTTGGATGGTACCACCGCAGTTGCTGAGGATATTGGCCGACAGCTTGTCACCAGTGGAAGGAGGATGTCGCCTCAGCAGATCGAGAGTGCTGTTGATGCCGTCACCGTTGCTGACATTAAACGTGTCGCGCAAAAGTATCTTTGGGATAAAGATGTAAGTTTTGCATGACTCTTTGTTGTCTGTATACTAATGTTGCCGGGTTCTAGTTCGCTTTGGCTGCTCTGGGAAGTATTGAGGGACTGTTCGATTACAACCGCATCCGTTCCGACATGTCATCTATGATCTACTAGAACAGCGTAGCATCGTTTTTAAATAATAAATTCATTGCCAAATGTTAGGACTGTACAAAAAATACAATGAGTGTGGCGTGGGAAACAAACCACGTTGCCCTGTTTTGAGGGCTTCCGGTGGTGTCTGTGACACCCTCTGCAACTCTCCCGTCACTGTCCGTCACGAACCTTGTCACTGTAGGCCGGCCAACGAGCACGTCCCGGTCACACTAGCATCACAGCACATCCAGGACGGTACCACTACCGTACCGGGAGAAATCACAATTTATTGCTAGTTCGCCATGATGGAAGCGGTGCCACCAGCCACTCCCCTCTCCAACAGCTCTAGACGACGGGCAAGAGAAAACGAAACACCCAGCCAGAGAGTAAAGCGAGAAAAGGCCGCTGAGCGTCAGCGGCGCAAACGCGAACGGGACAGAGCCATAGGCCTCGGTCTCGTCGTTCTTGCTCACCAACAGCAACCATCTACATCACAGCAACCTGCAGCAGTCCAACAATCCCAGCAATCCCAACAACCGGCAGCTCCAGAGTTCGTTACCCACGAGATGACCGCCGACGAAATTGCTCGTCGCGATCGTGTGCGTGCTGCAGCAAGGGAACGGCAGCGAAAGCACCGTCAGCTTGTAAAACAACGCAAGATGCGCGAACTTGGCCTGGACATGGGCAATGAGCTCCTTCAGGGCATGGACGAAGTCCAATATCGCGTGGAGGAGGAGCAGTACCAACAAGGTGCTCGGCGAGCTTTCACAACAGCAGCCTGCATTGGCGCCGCATGAACCCCCGTTTCCAAATGGCCAGCAGCACGGTGGCCAGACGTTTGCCACTACCTTACTACTCTCTTTTTCCTGCGCGCCGTTGCTTAAGCAGCACCTACTCCGGACTCTCAACATGTCGAATGAGGAGCTGGCGTCGTTTGAACCTATCATTGCCGACGCGTGGGATCAGTGGAATCACCAGGTACGTGCCCGTTTTCGTTCTATGGAGGCGCATAATGACCTTTTTTGTTTGACAGCGTCAATTACACTACGAGCAGCAGGCGGCAGCGGCAGCCAATGGCGGACCTCCCCCTCCACCCGCTTTTACCGTCGACATCGAACACAACACTACTGTGTACCAGCAGCCTCCCCCGCCGCCGGATCCAACTAATGAGTTCCGTGCGCGGTTCCATCGCTCCCTCATTGCACCGTCTCCCTTCCAGACATCATCACAACCGCCAGCCACCCCTGCCTCTGGGCCCGTTCCAGATCAGATCGACCCACATCTCGCCGCACCTGGTACCAAAGGTAAGTATTTGTTCTACCTTGTCAGGATGTGTGACTAATAGTAGATATCTTGACAGAAGAGAGCTGAGCATATTTACATCTTTCTGTGAAATGAATGGACATGGTTGTGTGTTATTCATACATGTATATCTTAATTTTCTTTGAATGCATTGTGTAAACATTTATCATTGATGGCAAGTACTTTTCTTTTCTGAGGAACCTTGAGTTGTGGCATCGAGAACATTCATTGCAGTCTGTGTTGGTTGGTGATCTTGCTGGCCAGTGTGGGGTGCAGATTGTAGATTTTACATGCTGTGTAATCTAAAAGGAGAGTTGTATCACCAATTGCACAGCATGTAACCCTGAATTGTGCTGTGTGAGTACACCACACTGCTGGAGAAATGTCAGCAGAAGGTTTGAGCAATCTTAATTAGTTGTAGCAGACCCACTGTGATAGCCATGCATAGATGCCAGCATCACCAAAAGTGGCTAGGGCTTTGCACCATACAGTATAAAGTATGCAACCATATAGCCACAGTAAAATGACAGGAGACAGTAAGTCCATAAACCATTGTCAAGGGGCCACCACAAAAGTGAGAAAGGTTTACTAAAAATTCTAAGTACTAATCAGCAAAACTCAGAAAAAGTCCATTGGCTCTTAGTGTTAGGATCATGCTGATAAGGACAAGGGAAGGGATTGCACACAGTGGAAGCTGTGGAGTGCATAGGACATAGGTGAAGCTATTAGCAATGTCACCCCTGAGCTGAAGCCCTAAGATGAGTACAGATGGAAGTCCATGGAGAGACAGAGATAAGGTAAGAGGTAAGTCCAACAGATTGGAGTTCCATAGACTGAAGAGTGAGAGTTTAGACTTAGAGTCAAAGAGAGAGTTGGGCTGAACCAAGTTGATATTCAAACTGAGTATGTACAGTGTAGTTCTACAGTTTATATACTGTTTAAGAGTCTGATCTAGTTCCTACTTGGAGTAGTCTGCATTCTAGGGTGGTCAGGAGTTGTAGTCTACTGGTTGGTAGCTGATGGAGTCTGATGACATACTTTGCTACTGACATTAGGTTCTTGATAAATTAAAATGGAGAGATGAAATATAAAATAGAATATGAAATAGAAACTGGAAATCAGAATCCATAGGATTCTGAAATGCAGTTTGTTGGAGATGAGCTTGGGATTGGAGTTCCATCAGTATGCACATTGCAGTATCTCTCTCTTAATGTTCTTACCCTCAAAGATGTAGATTCCAATGGCTGAGTATGCCTGCATGGAGTCCTCCAGAGACCTTTGATGGGAGTGATCCATTCAAATTGGTGATGTTGGGATTTTGCCAAAAAGTTCTAGAAGGAGCAATCCAGCATCATGCTGAGAGTAGCTGAGTAAGCACAAGACTAGTAGAACAGTGTAGTACATTCTAGATTACAGCACAAAGTAGTATAAATACAGGCTCTGTAGAAGCCTAGAAATAATAAGTTTATATCAACTGGCCTTAACAGCTAGGAGTCTACCCTGCACAACACCAAGGATTCCAACAGGTGAATATGCATTTCTGGCATAGATACTACAGTGAGGACAGGCTCTGAAAAGCCTTGGAGGCACACAATAAGTTCTTGGACACAAGGAGGTGGTACTATGGGCATGGCAGCTGACAGGAAAATTGTGAAGCATGTATGTAAATCATAAGCTTTAAGTTCGATTAGAAGCCTAGCAAGGTGGTTCCTAACTGTGGTGTATAATGATATGATGGAGGTGTCTATAATAAGGTGGCTACAGAGTCTGATGCAATATAATGGATGTAGTCTAAGAGTGATTACAGTTCAGAAGATAATTCCTAGTCTCTTTTCACAGAGTGTATTCTCTAGCCTGACACAGGTCCTTAGGGAGAATCACACACTTGGAAGTAAGAAGGTAAGAAAGGATGATGCATTAATCTTCTACAGGCTGTATATATACTACTATTTAGGAGTCATCAAGAGTCATTCCAAGTCAAGAAAGTAACTAAATATACCTACCAAGTCCAAATATAAGTACAGTAGTCATTAGGAATCACTATGACAGTCTGGATAAAAATAATCCATCACATAGCCCCTCCACTTTTTATTCATCCCTTAAGTTGCCACTATACCCATGGAAGGCCTCAGGAATAACCATGGAGTTCAGCCTAATGATAGTCCAATCAATAGGGTAGGCCTCCTTGAATAGCTCCACCTTGTACTAAGCATTATAGGCAGAGTACACGTACAAACTTTCAGCCCATAATTCCCTTTCAAACTCAGCAATGTAAATACCTCATTCTTCCATGATGAGGGTAAAAGCAATACTGCTAACCACTTCTTTCCAGTGTTTCTGCATGAGGACTTCTGCCTTCTGGGTCCACACATGTACAAACCCACTCAGGAATCAATAGATGATGTAAACCATTGGCAGTACTGATCGTGGCCCTCAAAGCTCAGAACCAGGAATGAACCTGACTAGAACTTTCTCTTCTTCAACCATGATAGATTCTGCTACTAGCTTGACACCATCTTCACCCTTGATAGGTAGAGTTGCAAGGTGATTGAAATTTGCCATGATAAAAGAGGGCCTTTCTAGAAGTTTCTTTACTTCTTCCTTGCTAACTAGCCATCTGGCTATCCACCCTACAGTATTCCCACAAGCTATAGCCACCTCAATATTCATCCTTCTAGATACCCCTGAAGCTTCCCATATATAATTTGCACATAACAACTCAAAACTGAAGGCATTGCTCAGCTGCAGCTCTTGAAAACCAGGTTGGAAAGGTATTTCAGCTGCCAGGACTTTGGCAGGGGAGTAAGCATCCTCTGAATGTTTGAAGGCAGGAAGGATGTGCCTAGGGATGGTCAGCTTAAAGCTAACATTGAACTCAATACAGTGAAGAATTAGGCTCTCAACACTATTGAAACATCACAGTGAGACAATAGTCCAGCCCTTGATTACAGTCATATTCTTCTCACTAGTGTAGAAGTACCTGTGTTCTAAAAGGAGGGAGTTTATTTCTGGTCCACTCCCTTCTACTTGAGTAAGCAATAGAACATTTGAGGCAGTGAACTGCAACCAGTTCATTGAGTCCTGTCAGAATTTCTGACTAGGGACATTCAAGGATCCCAGAGGGTAGTGTCCAAGAGAATATTAAAGTCTAGGGTAGCCAAGTAGATGTCTGTTGATCTTTGGATATGGACATTTCAGTGCTTATTCCTTGGCAGCAGCTTCCACTGATGAGCTACTATTACCAGTGAAGAGGCTGGCTGTGGGCACCTGTGGAATAGTGAGCAGGCTAAAAGGTGAACCTCAAAAACCCACACACACTCTCACACAACTACACAAACTACAATCACCCTCGTAAGTTATAGGGAGAGCAATTATTTCTAATGCGATCCACCTATACTTTAATATCTCAAAGAGTTTCTCTTATTCTCGATGCTCTTAGCAAAGCTAAGCTTTTTCTAATGAATTCCTAAGTCTAGGAACTTTTACAGGAAGGTCATTCACTGGCACAATGCAACCTTCAAGGCAGATTCAAGTTAAAATACACAAGGGACACTGATCCCAACAGAAACAGAGATGATACACATTGAAACAATAGTGAGCTTACTAAAAAAACACCACAGGCAAGCACTGACTTAGCCCACTCGCTACACAACTGTATGTAGGGGTTCTCCAACTAACTCCAGTAGGTTATCTCGACTCAAGAACACTTCAGAAGTGCTCAGAAACTGATTTCAAAATGGAACTTTGAGCAGAACTGACACAGAACAGACTGAAACAGAACAGAACAGAACAGAACTCAGATTTCCACTTCAACATATTTTCTGAACAGACTTATCACACTTAACAGAACAGAAACAGCGTCACTGATTCATATTCACTCTGACTAAGTTCTCAAAAGTCTTATCAAAAGGGTATCTCGTATTTCTCTGAGTGAGCTTGCTAATTCTATGCAAAGCTCGAAGTCACAAACTGATCCTTTGTTATAGTACTGCCTTCAACATGTGCACAGGAACTCAGAGGCTCAAAATTTGGCTTCTATCTACTGGAACCATCCTACTTATACTACAGGGAATTTAGAATTACAAACGTCATGCAGTACCCAGACCCCTACATGCATAGCACATTGCCACTGCCACCTTACTGAGCATCCAAGTTGGACTTCCCAGTTTTAGTCTCACTTCTATAGTGAGCTTGCTAAATGCATGCCAAGAGGTGCTCTCCTGACACCTGCAGGCTTGCTCTCTGATGACTGTGTTGTGAGCAGGTTATTAGCGCAGTGAGTACGTGCCAGGCTGGAGACAAAGGTCAAATGCTAGTAATATTCTAGACTGTGAATGATACATACCTGAAGATGAAGGTCAAATGCTAAGGAATGTTGACCTTCGATCTCCAGTGTTTGGTAGCTATGATTATATAAGGTAAACGTGACATGGAGGGTGTCCTACTACTTCAACACTCCCCCTCGACCGAACATGTCTACGGAGGTATTGAGACAAGTCCAAGTAGTGTAACCATGTGCTTGAGCTTCTCTCTCCCCAATCCCTTTGTCAAGGCATCAGCTGGCATATCTTCAGTTCGTAAGTGGACCACATGGATGCGTCCCTTCTCAACTTCATCATGGAGCCAGTAGAAGCAAAGGTCGAGGTGTTTAACATGGCCATGGTGTTCCAGATTTTGAGCAACTGATAAGGCGGACTCGTTGTCAATGTAGAGTACTGAGGCATCAGTGAATGAATACCCAAACTCTGTGAACAGATTGCGAAGCCAAAGAATTTCCTGGCCTGCAGACACAGCTGAGACATATTCTGCTTCTGTTGTTGAAAGTGTCATGAATGCTTGAAGACGACTCATCCAGCTAATGGCTCCAGTTCCCATTTTTACAACATAGCCACTTGTAGAACGTCCACTATCTTTGTCTCCCCCATGATCTGCATCGCAATAAGTCTTGAAATTGAAGACTGGCGATTCTGACTTGGGGTCAGGGGAATAGACAATGCAATAGTCGAGCGTCCTCTTCAGATAGTGTAGAAGCCATTTGAGAGCTTCCCAATGAGCCGTGCCAGGGTTCTGGCTGAACCGTGAGAGTACGCTCACAGGATATGCAATGTCGGACCTGGTAGCAATAGCAAGATAGGCTACAGAGCCAAGCACATTGAGATATGGGACCGTCCTCATGATCTCATATTCTTCTGGTGTTTTGGGGGACTGATCTGCTGTAAGCTTTACATTTGGATCCAAAGGAGTCAGAACAGGGTTGCAGTCAGCCATCCCTACATGCTGCAGGATATCTAGGATGTATTGGCGCTGGGAGAGAGAGAGTGTCTGGTTGGCTTGGTCACGCTTGATCTCGATGCCAAGGAGGTAAGACGTTGGGCCCAGGTCATGAAGCTTGAAGTGCTTCTTGAGATCATTGATGACCCTTGTGACACCCTCTGGTGTCTTTGTAGCAATGGTCATGTCATCAATAAAGACAGGGACAATGATGCGTTCATCATCTCTCTTGTAAACCCATATGCTGTGCTCACATTTCACCTGCTCAAATCTCATGGCATCAGTCAGTGTCGCATGTAGCTTCTTGTGCCATTCTCTCCCAGCTTGTTTCAGTCCATATAGAGACTTGAAGAGATGCCAGACCCATTCCTTTCCTTTCTCCTCAAACCCCTCTGGCTGCTCCATATATACCTCTTCTGTCAGCTCACCATTGAGAAATGCTGATGAGATGTCAACACTCCATAGCTCTAAATCCTTGAGGGCATCAAGTGCCAGAACAGCTCATAGGGCAGCCCATTTTGGTGTTGGAGAGAATGTTTCAGTGTAATCAAAACCAGGCCGTTGTGAATATCCCTTTGCAACAAGCCTTGCTTTATGGTGCTCAATTGATCCATCAGCATTGCATTTTACTTTGAATACCTAGCGACTCCCAACTGCCTTTCGATTCAGAGGGCATTTCACCAATTCAAAGACACCATTTTCAACAAGTGCTTGTATCTCCTGCACAGTGGCCTCATACCAGCTTGCGGCTTCCTCTGGAGGGCATCTCATTGCTTCGTGGAAGGATTTAGGTTCGTCATCATATGCAGATGCCTTGTGAGCTGTTTCTGTCATACCCTCAAATGCAACTTCAAGTCCTTCCTCCATCGTTAAGTAGGCCAATGTCTGAGTAGAGAACACTATGCCCTCAAGGATGGCTTCATCTGGCATGGTGGCTGTGTGTGCTTGCTCCTCTGGATTTTCCTCATTGTGATGTGTGTTTCTTGGAGGCCAAGGACCTTGGTAATTCCAGAGCGGATGACTATTACGGTTGCCATTTCGATGCATCTCACAACCATAACCAAGGCCAGGATCATATAAGCCATCATCACGTGTTGTGTACTCGTGCTTGCCCAGGCCTGTGGATGGTGGTGATGGTGGTGGTGACGGTGTTAGCTCTGGAAGAGATCCATTGAATGGTGAACCAGGAGGCATTATGACATCAGGAAGGAGAGGTGATGCTGGAGGAGGTGGACTTGGAGGAGGTGAGGCTGGAGGATTTTCCGGAGGTGGAGGATCATCATCATCGTCAGATTTCGAGTCTCCCCCTTGATTGGGCAGCGTAGGAGGATTCAATTCTGAAGGAAATAGGTCACTGAAGGGATTGGTAAGTGCTTTCGTGTTTCCTGGAAAGACTTGCTCATTAAAAATGACATGGCTAGATATGATGAACTTCTTCGTCACTGGATTCCAGCATGTCCATCCCTTTGTACCTGATGGATACCCAACGAATATGCATTTGGTGGTACGTGGTTGCAAGCCTCATCACTTATTCTTCTTGACATGGACATAAGCTAAGCAACCAAAGACGCACAAGTTAGAGACATCAGGTTTCCTCTTGTGCCAGCCAGTATAGGGTGTTGTTCCAGGAAGCGGAGCAGTGGGGCAGCGGTTGTGCATATATACGAATGCAAGTACAGCAAGCCTCCAGAAGGAAGGAGAGAGATGAGCCTCATAGAGCATAGTGATAGCTCCTTCAGCAATGTCATGGTTAGCGCATTCTGCAACTCCATTTTGGTGAGGCTCATCAGGCTCAGTATGGCATCTTGATATCCCTTCATCAATACATAGCTGGTCAAATTGATGCCCCATATACTCCCCCCCTCCATCATCTTGCTCCTCCAAGATCTTTAGGCCATGAAAATTTTCAGCATAAGCCTTGTAGCATTTAAATTCAGCCAGTGCATCACTCTTTTGCTTCAGCAGAGCAACAACCCAAAATCGTGAAGCACCGCATATGAAGGTGATCCAATAGTAATACCCTTCAGGTGTAGCAACCGGCATGGGACCCTTGAGATCAGAGAATACTATCGTGAGAGGATGGGTAGGGAGGAGCAATGGGCCTTGAGGAATATTGTGTCGTCAGTGCTTGCCCATGAGGCAGGGTTTACAAATTGGATCTGGGCTGGAACTTGTGTTGGACATCTTCATATTTGAGACAAGTTGATTCTCATACATGTCCCGTACAGTGCTGACACCTCTGTGGCAGGTTCGTCGATGCCATAGATTTACATCAAGGGGACAGGTGCTAGCAGCATTTGAGGTAACTGGTCTTGAGATGCAAGTAATACCGTTGAGGTATCTGATGTTGTTGTCATTAACAGTGGCTGAGAAATGAAGCACTTGGTCTTGAAAGAATTGAACAGATGACCCAGCTATGCTGATCTCATATCCCTTATGGTGTGTGAGGTGGAAGGGTGAAAGCAAATTATTGTACAGATCAGGTACATGCAGTACGTCTTGGAACTCGACAGCCTCACCAACCTTCCCATTGTCCTCTCTTGGTTCAAACACAACTGTCCCCATACCTGCTGAGTAGATGACTGAGTTATCTGCCAGTCGAATTGGAACAACGTGTGGTGTCCAAACATGGAACCAGTTGCGACGGTGGCTCATGTGAGATGAAGCATCTGTATCTGTGTTCCAGTTAGATGATGCTGGAGACAAGGGATTGATACTCGCTTGGCTAGCAGTCTCCTCCACAACATTGGACTTCTCTGCCTTCGCTTCCCCTCCCTTTTTGCCTAGTCTCACAGTCCGACGCTCCTGGGTACACTGTGCAGCTCGTTCCCAGGCTTTCTTCTTGCTGAAACACTGGTCCTCAGTATGTCCAGAGTTGGTACACCAGCTACAGATAGCATCAGATGAGGCTGCAAGGGCAGCTTGGACTTGGATGGCAGTCGCTTTGAACGACGTTGCTGAGGTGGTATTGTGAGAGCGACGCTGCGTCTCTTAGTGTGAAAGGCAGCGACAAGTTTGTCTAGGCTGAGGGAATGGAGGAGGAGAATCGATGGCACAAAGTTGTCGAAGTCGGATGGAAGGGCACAGATGAGAGCCATGGATTGGAGCTCTTCGTCAAGTTGGTCAATAGTGAATTTTTTGGGGCAGAGAGCTTTGATGTCTTACATGGCCCTTGAGACACATCCGACAAGAGTAGAGAGGGACTCATCATCATCCTTTTGAATGCTGAACAGGACTGTCATAAGCATTGAAGTGGGTACCCGGTTTTTGCTGTTGGTGAATGTCCTTCAGCTTGGACCACATGGCTTCTGGCTTGCCCATGAGGAGACCAATGTGAGTGCACTGTGATTCGTCGATGCAGAGCCAAAGGTATCCCGCTGCAGAGGAACGATCCTGCAGGTAAGCCTTCATCTCCTTCCTCTCGGCCTTTGTAGGGTTGTCAGGGTCCACTGGCTCCAGCGTGTCCTCAGTATTGTCGAAATGGCCAAAGAGCCCCTTGATACACATGTAAGCTTCGAAGGAAGGCACAAACTGATTCCAGTTATCGGTGTGGAGGTTGGGGAATCCACGCTTGGTGGAGTCAGTGTCTGAGTCATTCATTTTGGTGTGGGAATAAGAAGACTAGTGGGGTTAGAGAGAATGTGATGGTCCATGATGGGTGGATGCAACTTCTGATTGGATAGTGATATCCCTTTGAGGGGTTGAGCGAGACGTTGATGTCAAAGAAATGGTTCGTGAGAGGGAACGAAAATTTTTGTCTTGGCTTAGTAAGGCATGGGGCCCATAACCTGTTGTGAGCAGGTTATTAGCACAGTGAGTATGTGCCAGGCTGGAGACAAAGGTCAAATGCTAGTAATATTCTAGACTGTGAATGATACATACCTGGAGACAAAGGTCAAATGCTAAGGAACGTTGACCTTCGATCTCCAGTGTTTGGTAGCTATGATTATGTAAGGTAAACACGACATGGAGGGTGTCCTACTACTTCAACAGACTGACAGGTCTAGGCATACAGAACTATCAATTCTGACATATGTCCTTCAGTACTTCTTTCTTAGATTCACAGAGGCTTCTCATTAATATGGCAACAAGTGAGCCTTTGAACAATGGGACTCCAGACAATGGAATGTGGGCTCATGGACTTTGGCTGAGACCCACTGTCCCAGTTCACTCCGGTGATATCTGTCATCTCAGCATAAGGATTTTCCCTGGATTTTCAGGTATGGCATGTTATAGTTAGTGAGCACTGCTAAGTACTTTCAGTGTTAATGCAACCTTCAGAGTAGCATCTAATTCCTGTGAGCATGCTTGTAAGTTAGAGCATAGTGCACTGGGTATAGGGTTCAGCCTTCTCATCACACATGCCCATCAGGTACAGTGCTGTGACTAAGTCCTGTTTAGAATCCCATTGCTTCTTATGCCATAAGTTATATTCCGCATCATTGCACCATGTAGCATTAGTGTCAACATGTCATTTTAGTCTGCTTGCTCACTATATCTCTGTGTGCATGTAAAACATGCTAGATTGCAAAATTCCATGCGTAAGTAGGCTGCAGTTGCAACACCAGCTTCAGATGATGATGGAGGGGAAGAACTTGAAGGTACTGACCAGATGGAGTCCCTGAAGCTTTTTTCCAATGATGAACCACTGCCCACTAAATCACAAGTCAATATGCAAGCCCTTTTGGCTAAGGGGTATGGAGTAGGGCATCTTTCCCTCCTTTTTTCTTAGACTACACCTGTAGTAGAAATCAGATATGTTCTAGAATCAAGGAAAGATTTAAGGACTTGCCCTGTTTGACCTCCCTAATCAACTGAGTGGCACATTCCAAGTTGCTCGGTGTTACAAGGACAGGCAATGAAGGGTCTACCAACCAAGGAAATCGAACGTTATCCAGCAGTTATGGCTGCATCATTGTAAATCCCTTCATCTCATTATGACTTGAGTTCAATGTCTCCTGAAAAATCTATTTGGTACAGCCAGGGTGGAGACCTATCCCAGTAAAGGATTCACATCTGGAAGAAGTCCTTAGGTTGAGAGGTGAGCTTACTTTTATACAGGATGGGAAGTTCAATTTATGAAAGGGTCAATCACTGCCAGAATAAGTTCATGAATCCTAGCTAGGGCTGAAGGAGACAGAACAATGGATGTGCTATGAACTATACCTGAATGGTACACTATCCTCCACAGCTTCTGCAGCTCCAGCATGCTCTAAATGATCCTCTTCACTAATTTCAACCCTTGAATTTGTGTTTAAAGCACATTCTTCTGTTATGATGTGCTCCACAATATCAGATATGGGAAGTGATGTATCATCATCCATTTCTTCACCATATGCTGGTTCTTCTGCTGATGTGGCAATAGTTAAGTCAGTCGATGAGGTCAGCTCTTCATACAATGCTGGATTCTCCTTTGGTAGCTATAGGAGCTCTTGAACAGTCATCGCAGAGGTCAGGCTCTCATGTGAACAATCATAGGTACCAACATGACAGAGAGAGAAGGCCTGGTGAGAATCTATCAATGACAGTTGTTATAGAATGCAGTCCATCACTTTACTTACCTTTAATATGAGATCCTTCCTATTTATATCCTCATAAGCTTTGACAAGCTATGCAACTGAATAATCATGAAGCATTCTCTTTGTGATATCCATCTGAACATTATCAGAATTTGCTCTGAGCTGAGCTGAGCTGAGACCTCCTCAACAATGTTGTGATGTGCAGTTCTCTTCATGCTACTCTTTAGTGATTGTTGAATACCCATGTCTAGCAGCTGCCATACACCTGTGCACCCTCCAGGAATAAACACCAGAATAATGGTCAGATATTGACTTCTCATCCAGCCATGGAACTCTGCCTACTTATGAACCAACCAGCAGTCAATCTTTCAGATTGACTGCTGAGTTTGCAGAAGATTGAGCTCCTTCTTCTTCTCAATATATGGCACAATGATTCTATCCATGAGAGAATGCATGGTCTCATGAGATGACCAGTAGTTTCCCTCTTTCCCAGATGGATCAAAGTGAAATCCAAGCTTTGATGCCTCTTGGTAATGTGCCACAGACTTCTTGGGACAAGACCCTGCTGTTTTTCCATCATATACAGCTCTGAGATAAGCCAGTAGCAAGGCACAAGTGAATGGCTTATCAGAGGATAAGATAGATTAGGCAGACAGCAAAGCCCTTTAGTATATACTGCCACAAATAAACATTTCTTTGGGGCAGCAATAAGCAGTCCATCACATCCATTTCCTTTTCCACTGTCTGACTCCCTCTCTGGCCAGTATCAGGCCATCTTCCTCTGTTCTTTTGTAGTCCTCCTTGCTATGATACAGGTGCTGATTCTGCCACCTCGAGTCCACAGAACCCATAAGACCGATGCCATAACAGCAGCACTTTGGTCCCTCCCTCTGGGTGACAGGCTTGAGAAGAATGCTGACATTGAAGCCTGCAACGATGCATGATACATCAAGCATTTCAATCATGTCTCTGATCCCACTACATATCTGGATGATGCATCTGACTCAGAGTCAATCCTCACGATCAATGATGATGAGCTGGTGACCCTGCACAATCCTGGAGTATTTGCTCTTTTCCCAAAATACCCCAAGGCCACCATGGCCTGGTTAGCGGCAGAGAATGCAAAGGACAAGAAGAAGAGGGAGGCACCAAAGATGGTGGAGGAGTCATAGGAGGCCAAGCACCATTGCAAGGATGGCTCAGATTTAAAGCCAAGGATGCTGGGCACCCAGCAGGAGGTGTCTTTTCACCAAATATTATATGATACTGACGATGCTCATATACATATTCCTCTCCCTTTTTTCACCAACAAGAGCCTCCAGTACATAAATGTCAATGCTGCTTTGTTGCCAGTGCAGAAAGCGAATTTGCTCGATTGCGAGAAGAAGGGTTTCAACATCCTCAAGATTGAGGAGCTGATGCCTATTCTTGGGGCAGAGTTATCCATAGATTATGGCCTTCATGCCAAAGCTATGGCTAATCTCTACCATTTCCAGAAATCTCACAATCCTTTGGGCTTGAAGGGCAATCATGCCATCTGGTATGAGAGTCATATCCTCTTCTTTGATTGTCAGCAAGACAAGATCGAATACTGGGACTATCTAAAGCATCTTGAGATGGAGCTCCACCTCAAACATATCAGCTCCCTGACAGCATTTGACCTTGATTACTATGTGCAATGTTACAATGAGGTCAAGAACAATGCTCTTCTCCAAGAAAAGATGAAGGAGGATATGAGATGAGAGATGGCTGAGGTTGAAGCATGGGTACGTGCTGAACTTAAGGCCAAGGAAGAGGCATGCCATTCCTCATGTGGCTTCTCTGAAGGAGGTAGGCCCTCCCAGCCCTTTCCATCTGGCAGTGGGAGGTCAGGCTCGACTCCTTGCTGCATCACGTGTGAGGGCCCCCATCCCATCTCGAAGCACTATGATGGATCAATCACAACCTGACCCCGTTGGGCACAGATACGAGGAAACGACCTCTTCACACCAGATGGCAAGTGCATTTGTATCTTCTTCAACCTCCACTCTCCCTGCACTTGCAACCATAGCGCCTGTCAACAACCAACTATAATCGACTTAGATCAACTAAGGATCGCCACTTGCACTTCAGTGGATGATACTCTTAGAGGTCAAAGGAGATATAGGAGAGTCGATTGAGGACTTAGATAGTCACGAAACAAGGAGCTTTGAGTTGGGTAGATTAAACCTTAGCCGAAGCTGGAGTTTAGGCCAGCGAAGGCTGCTACTTAAATACAAGCTTGAAAACTATAAATAGTACTGTGGGAAGTCAGATATGCTGTGATCGCATAATAGTAAGCAACAATACGTAAAGAAAGGGAAAAGAAAGAAAAAGAAAGAATAAACCGTAACATTACCCCCTCCTCAAGACTCGTTTGTCCCAAATGAGTCTATGTCGTCTTCTGTGTTTGGTGATTCGGTGTAATAGGAGTCAGATTTGGCATTGTCCTCTTCTTTGTCACTATCCCATTCCCAGTTTTCATGGATCCGTTGTAGATTCTCCAGATTGACTTCTGACTCGTTTTCGATATCATCATTTTCTACTATTGATACTCCGTCGGCTTTGTCGGTGGTGACTTTGGGCCATTTCGAACGTATGAAATCTTCTTCAAGTTCCGGGTTAAATGCTGGATGCCAATTTTGAGCGTTCATATTGATGGATTGTGAAGATTGGGAAGAGGGATAAGAGTCTTGTTGGGTACTGCTGCTATATAACAATCCCTCGTCAGCTCGTTCAATCTTCCCTTTTATCCGTTGAACCCTCGCCTTGTATTCGTTGACTAGGGTCTCCACGTTGGCCATGTTTGAGCGCTTCACCCAAGAATTTTCCTCCACCAGATACCCCTTCCACTTTACCAGATATTCGGTTATGGTGTGACAGGTTCGTCCTCGACCAACAACTTTGTCTTGCTGTTCCACAATTTCCTCAATCTCATATTCTTCCTCGTCATCTATTAGCTCAGGAGGTGGCCTTTCAGGTCGGAGTTGGTTAGGGAATTCAGGAGCATGGTACGGTGTCAAAAGAGACTCGTTGAATCGGTTGTGAACTTTCCATCCTACCGGGAGCTTGAGTTCGTAGGCGGAGGGTCCCTTTTTGGCGAGAATGGTAAAAGGCCCTACCTGTCGATCTCCGAGTTTCTTGGTAGGTCGCGGTAGGTTTAGGTTGGTAGAGTCCAACCATACCTTGTCGCCAATCTGATACTCTACGGCTTTATCTTTGTGTTTGTCGTAAGCCCTTTTCATAGATTTGGCCGCCTGCTCCAACGATTCTCTCGCCCTCTCTTGTACCTCCTGAATACCTTGAACTATCTTTGAGGCTGCGGGAACAACGTCGGGGCGTTGGGCAGTTTTGATAACTTGTCCGTCCCTTCCGAAAACCACTTTATAGGGAGAAAAACCCATTGCCGAATGTTTTCAATTATTGTGAGTGAATGCGGCTAACAGTAACCACTTGCTCCAGTCATCCTGTCGGTAGTTCACGAACATTTTAAGGTACTTTTCAATTTCTTGGTTAACCTGTTCCGTCTGCCCGTTGGAGTCATATCCCTTGGAATTGGGTAACTTAGTGATCATGTCTACCGAGATGTGAGTTCAAGGTTGAACCGGGATCTCATTAGGGATGAGGGGAGCCTTCTTTGGGCGATGATCTGTCTTGGTTCGCTGGCAGATTTTGCACCCTTTTACATACGCCTCCACTTCCCGACACATTCAGGGCCACCAGTAGTCTTGCAAGACGAGCTCCTTGGTTTTTTCTATGCCAGGGTGCCCAGCTGTTACGTGATCATGTCGTAGGGCGATGATCTCCCCTTGCAACCATTGGTTCCTTGGGACATAAATCCGTCCATCATACCAAAGCAACTCTTGGTCTTGAAAGACCCCCTTTTCATGATTAAGGAAGTCTGAGATACCTTGGTCCCATTTGCGGGGGTCGTGAGTAGCCTGCTTGATCTTCTCGTGCAGTTCCTCCTGCGTGGGCATGATTAAAGCCCAGAAATGTTTGGCCTTTAGGATGACTATGTCCTGGTTATCTTTTTTGCCCTGGTCATGGTCTGCTCTTCTGGACAATAGGTCCGCTTTGCGGTTCTGGGCTCCTGGTTTGTGGTGCAACATGAATTGGTATTCCACCAATTCTGTCACCCACCATGCCTGCCTTCGATTGAGCTTTTGGGGTTTACGGAAATATTGAAGATTGGAGTGGTCCATCCAAATCTCAAAGTCTTCTCGTGCACCCATCAGGTATTGACACCATTCTTCCAGAGCTATCATGATAGCAAGGAGTTCCTTGTCATAGATCTCATAGTTGCATTCTATTGTTGACAAGGCTTTGGAGAGGAATGCGACAGGGCGCCACTTGTCATCCTGTAATTGAGATAGCACTGCCCCTACTGCCCCTTCACTCAAATCTGCTTCTACTCTGAATTTTCCTTCATCGAGTGGGATTGCCAAGACTACGTCTTCCTGGAATAATTCTTTCAGCTTTTCAAAGGCTGCTTGCTGTGCTGGGCCCCACCGCCACTCAGTTTTGCCAGTCAGAGAAGTCAGAGGTTTAACATGCTTGCTGTAGTCACGAATGAATTGCCGATAAAAGTTGCAGAAGTCTAGGAATGACTGGAGCTCCTGTTTCTTGTGGGGGACCGGCCAGTCTAGTAGGCCCACAATTTTTACGGGGTCCATGCAAATCTTTCCCTTGCTAATGATTACCCCCAAATACTCGGTTTCCTCTACTTCAAATTCGCATTTCTTGGCTTTTAAAAACAACTTGTTGTCCCAGAGTATCTTCAGCACCTTTCGTACGATGCGTCGGTGGTCTCCCTTGGTTTTGGATGCAATGAGTATGTCGTCTAGGTAGACAGACACTTCTCTGGCCGCTATGAGGTCCTTGAAAATGTCGTTCATCATCCACTGAAAGGTGGCTGGTGAGTTGGTGAGCCCAAAGAACATTACTAAGGGCTCATAGAGGCCGTGGTTGGTTCAGAACGCCGCTTTCCATTCATCCCCCTGTTTAATCCTAACATTGTTATAGCCCCACCATATGTCCAGTTTAGTGAAGTACTTGGCTTCCTTCAGCCAATCCATCAGTTCCCCAATCAACGGTAGCGGATATCGGTTTTTAATGGTCATTTCGTTGAGTTTTCGATAGTCCTGTACCAGGTGAAGCTTTCCATCCTTTTTCTTGACGAAGAAGAAAGGTGACGCCATGGGGGATTTTGAAGCTTGAATGCGACCTGTGGAGAGGTTCTCGTCAAGGAACTTGTCCAACTCCTCCTGTTCTGTGGGGTTAAGAGGATAGACTTTACAGTCTAGATTGGCATTGGCATTGGGGATTAGTTCAATGGCGTGGTCCCAAGGTTTCCGCGGGGGTAATTTATCAAAGTTTTCCTTGTCGAAGATGTCTCAAAACTCCTGATACTCTTCTGGTACAATTTCTTCGAAAGACTTCACTGTTTTCTTGGCGTTGGCTTGGGCAGCTAATTTGTTGGCTTTAGTCCTCATAGCCCGTACGTGGAAGGCTTCCTCAAAATCTATCACCAGGATGGTATCTCCCTCTTCGTATTCATCCCAACGCAAGGCAAATACATCTTGAGTGTCCAAAGTTTCCAGCTGCATGTTAATTGATACATTGCGCCCCTTCCTTCCCCATATGTACATGGGAGGTTTCTTTAGATCCTCCATCCATTCCCACTTGTCTCTGGCCTCTTTTGCTGTTTCTGGTTGCTCCTTGAGCAAATCCCACAACTCAATCGTCACCTCCTCAACTCTTCGAGGGTGCACCCACCGTTTTAGAGTAGAAAAGGCAGCTGATTTGTCCTTGGCGAGCTGTAGCGCCTGGCGAGTCCAGTGTGTCCCAAAGGGCTCATAGTACATGTCGAGAATGGCTCTCTTCGCTTCAGGTGCCAATTCAGGCTCGGGGGTCACAGGAGACTTCCCCTTGGGTATTGTAACTGGAATGTCAGACCGTAGGTGGGCTTCCTCATCTTCTACTTCCTCTAGTGAAACGGGGAGTGTCTTGCCTCGAGGTGGCAGTTAGTCACTGGGCTGATAAGGGCCCCTCGGCGGCACTTGGTCACCTTCCGTTGAGGTGGTGGAGGAGGGCTCACTGCCCTTTGTTCGGCCCTGGCCATGGGCGCTTGTGCTCAGCATTGTAACCCCCACAGTTAATCCATACTTATCCTCATTCCTAAACCTGGTGGTACTCTCGGTAACCCCTGGTGGATGCACACATATTGGCTCCCCAAAGGGGTCTGCACCATTTGCGGATGAGGCCACTACTAAGTGAAGGTGGTTCCTTTGGTTCCTGGCCTCAGCTGCTTTTCCATCGCTGGCTGGAGGAACAATTGGGGTAGGCCCGTCAGCCAGGGTTGTCGGCCAATTCTCCCTCCCAGGGCAACTGCTACCATGTCTGGCACTAGTCTGGACTTGACATGAGGTGCTTGCTGGGTTCTCCAGAACTTTCCCCATGCTGTCAAGCGGGGGTTCCAGTGGTGGGACGGCCCCTCAGGGTTCATTGCTGGATGCAGGCTACATGGAGTGGCGGAAATCCCCTCCTACACCATTGGTGTTTGGCGATTCTTCTTCCTTAATTTCTTCAACTGGTAACATGGCGAAAAAGTTGGTATATTGTTCATACGGAGTACCTACATACATAGTATAAGTCCGACCAGCAGCTAGGGAGCACGTACCACTAGAAATTAAGTCCTTTGCCGATGCCATCGAATCGCTTA